ATCTTTTCGCCCTCACCCGTCCTGCGGGCAGCTCTGTTCATCCCCCCCCCCGCAATGTAACATCCCTTCCACCAGCGCTGCCACTGGTAGTGGAACAGGCGTCCCACAATTCAACTACCCTCCCCCTCCCCATCCCCCACCTTCGCAGTTTGCCCCCCATCAATTCGACTTTGCCCCCCCTCACCAAGGTGGTCAACCAGGCAGCGTCACTGGTTCCCACCCGCAGTGGAGTTACATCTCTCCCCAAAGCGCCCACCCTGGTGGTGTTCCTGCTCCGCAATTCAACTTCCCCCTCCCACAAAATGCCCAACCAGGGAATGCTTCTGGCTCTCCACAGCACTGGAATTTTGGCCTCCCTCCCCAAGGCGCTTATACTGGTGGTGTCGCTGGCTCTCTCCCCACTCCCCAATTCAACTTTGCCCCCCCTCCACAGAGTGTTCAAGCAACCAGCACTTCTGGCTCTCCACAACGCTGGAATTACGACCTCTCTCCCCAAGGTGGTCAGTCACAAAGCCACAACACATACTCCCCAGGCCCTCCGACACTTTCAGACTTTCCTGGAATGGACGACGACGACGATAACCCCCTTGCTGATGATATGGAAGACCTGCGTATGGATGAGTCAGTTGGTCGTCATGATGACGACAATGTCTTCAATTTGAACAGCCCCCCAAAATCCAAACGGGGCGGCAAGAAACGCCAGCAGCCTCCATCTTCTCCAACTCCGTCCCCCCCCCCCACATTTGTAGCTCCGCAGAAGCCCCGCACCTCCACCCACGACAGTCGTGGCTCCTTCAAATCCCATGCTGGTCAGCTCATGGTGCGCGAGGGTGCTACTAATAGCACCCCTTCTGTCACGTCCTCGAAGACTTCCCGCAGCTCATTGGGACGTGGACGCGCTGGTAGGCAAGGCTCGTCAGTTCAAAAATCACCCACCTCACAAACATCTGTTTCGGCCAATGCAAAAGGCAAGGACTCAGTGTTGAAACGTGTCCGGTCAGAAATTCAAGAACAAGTCAACATGTTGAACGATGACTTGGAGAGCATACACTCTGAGAAAGTCTCGTTGTATCAGCTCAAAAATGAGCGACTGATGGTGAAGATGAACTCTAACTGCCAGCAGAAAGAGCACGATTTCATTCGTGAGGAGTGTGCCAACGAGCGCGCAGATGCTGCTATTGTCCATCAACACATGAAGGAGGCCAAGGAGACGGAGATTCGCCTGCGTGAAGCAGACGCCAAGGCTCTCAATATGGAGAGGGACGTGATGCGCCTGCGGATCGAGTGGGCCAAGCTCAATGCTGGCAAGAGTGATTGATGTCTCCCGGGGCTTCAATTTGTATGTTTGTATGTTTGTTCACTGGGTTTCGTTTCTGTTCGCACTTCCGACTTGCTCATTTGTTTTTTTTTCATATCTCACCCTCGCATTTGCCTTGTTCTCGTGCATCTTTGTACGGCTGCCACTGTCTTCCATGAGTTACTTGCTATATCTACGTACTACAATTGTTTTTGTTTCAAATCATCCGTGTTATGTGCTCACCCTTCGCGACATTGAGCTTCTGAATGAGGGCTGTCGAACAACTGATCCATGAGCCTCGCCCTACATGCTTACCCGGTGTACCCTCGTATGATCTATTGCCTATCGCCTCATCACCATCCGCTTCTTCAAACTCACGGCGCATAGTATTTAGCTCCTCCCTGACGGCCCATCTGATTGTTGAGCAGTTGTGCTGTGTCTCAAAGCGGATGATCATATTGTGGAGTATCAGGCAACACCTGACCCAGTGGAGAGTGATTTGAAGGTCCCTTTGATTCTGCATCGGGTGACGAAGTTCTTTGAGCGATTGGAAGTGTCCTTTCAAAGCAGCGAACACATGCTCGACACAAACACGAATCTAAACCGATTGAAAGTTAGTAAATATTCTAACGAGCAAGAAAAATGAGTACATACGCGAGAGAGATTGACATTGAAGGTCTTTTGATTCCTCATCAAGCGGCCGTTCCGTGGCTTCTTGAAGGGAGGAACACACCATTTCTCCAGCGCATAAGCGCTATCGGCCCAGACCCAGTGGTCAGCCTGAAGAAGGGCGTTGTGTTCTTGATAAACACGTGTCAATTTGAATGCGTATGCGTCGTGTGTGCTTCCAGGATGACCGAGGGAATAATCGATGATAAGCAAGTTATGAGGCATGATAACTCCCTAAAGGTTTCGTTAAATTTCATACCATTAGAATAAGAGGAAAAAACATACCTGACAATTGAGAGAATAATTTGATTTCCTGTCATAAAATGCTTCACCATAAAGACCGGGCTTTTCATACAGATTAATTGCAGAGCCATCGACTGCGAAGATCCTGTTTCTCCACTCAGGACATGACCTTGCCTCGACGAATTGGCGAGCCTGCTCTGCATCATCAGAGTCAAGAGCGGGGAAGACGATAAACGTATCGTGGAGATCAAGAATGGCGACCATGACACGATTGCTGCAATTGATTACCGAGCCGATGCTAACACCAGCCCACTGAGCTACATCTTCTGGAGATATGGCATTGCCGTAGTGGCCGGCACGGTTAAGAAATATTGCGAGTTGGACCGCGACGGGGAGCTGCGGGTTATTTGAGCGATTGGTGAAGATGGCGTGACCCGAAATTTGATCTAGGATGTCGTCAAATGTGTCTGGATTGACACGAAGCTTCTTTCGGAACAGGTGATGTCGAGAGTCCCCAAAATCATGAAGGAGTTGTATTTGGGGGGCTCGCATGGGAGGTGCGTTTGGTTGATGGAGGACATGTGCCCTGATGACCCTCATCATGAAGGGAAGTGATGGTGTCGTTCAGACGGTCATAACGTGCGGCGAAGTGGTCAGATTCATCGCTGGAGGAGTCAAAGTCAGAGCTGTCAGAGAAAAAGGGGGTAGGAGGTGACGGAGGTGTGATAATTGTGTCGAGGTCAGAATCGTCCGAATCCAAGTCATCAGAATCAGAATCGGAGAGATCATAACTTCGGATTGCACGCTGAAGCCTTGCCTTTTTCAAGGCTAGTTGCGCCTCGTCCAATTCATCAAGGAGCTCATTGCATAGGGAGTGACGGGGCATAGTGAAGGTAGAGATAAGATATTATTTTAGGCTCCGACGCGATGCCGAAGGGCAGCACAGTTGAGTAAGCTAACTTCAGAGAAAATCAAGCCTTATGTTAACTACCAGCAGGACATTTTACCCGACCTTTACCGACCTTTACCGAGCTTACCGAGATTTCAGGAAATCACCTTGAGCGCCATTTATGATTAGCTGTATATATGAAATCGAGCTTCAGCTTACCTGTTCGTCCAGTAACCAATGCTAGCTTTGTGGGTCCTGGAGATGCATCCTTTGCAATGTTTAGGACAAGTCCAACGTCCACTTCCGCCTACGGCGCTGAGCGCTGATGCATCATGAGTCAGTGTTGTAAATTTCACTCTTGATCTCGAGAAGCAAGTTACATGAATTAAAAAAGAATATTGTTCCCATATTCCGAGTCGAGCCTAGACTCGTAACCAGTCTGACTATGCGTCAATTTGAGATGGTGAGATTTTTTTGACGTAGTCAGACTGGTCGAACTCGGAGTGATTTGGCAGGCGAAGCGAGGAGTTTGAAATTTGGCAGGTGCCGGTCGTGCCGCTTTGGGTAGTCATTGTATTTGGACAGCGTTGACCATACAAAGTTCCTTCATTCGCATCGTACAAAGTATCGTATGCTTCTCACTGATTATAGCACAGCGAGCAGTACTAAATGTTAACTAGGACAATCAAATGATACAATTTCATGCATTATACCCACCCATGATGCAGCCTGAACCTTTGGCTTGGATGGTCAATCCTTCCAGCCTGGACGAGCAAAAATTCTCGCTGTCCTCAAGATACTTCGTGGATTGCGGATGACAGTCATGGACCTCATGTTGCACTCGATCTCACAAAGACCCTCCATGGCAACTTGGAGGGAAGGTTTTTTTCGGAGCAAGGCGCTTGTGCAATTTCTTAACGTGTTGGACACCGACGAGCGAGCGAGCAACTTCGTGTCAGTTTACGACCCCTTGCTATTGCAATGGTTGTTGATGAGGTTGACGCTGAAATGGAGGCCCAAAGATGTCACCCCCCGAACTACTCTTCTCATTTAATCTCGACACGTTGTTGACAGAGCCGTTACAAGAAACTACTCCGTTGCTACGTCGCATTCTTCTGTCAGCTATGCAGACGGTGCGAGCTGTGAAGGAGAACAAACATCAGAATGTTGATCGGACGTTGTGATCCTTGGGAAATAAGATCGAGTTGCGAGAAGACCTCGAGAACTTGCGGGTGTTGTGTCGTTGAAAGGGCACTCGTAAAGTCCATCGGGCGATCTTCAATCGCATCTCGAGCAGCGAGCGATAAATGTCGTACGGAACTCATGGTTAAAACTTAACATATCATACAGTCTGAACGTTGAGCGACGGTAGACGCATAAGTTGTACTACATACCATCGAGTACCACCGGCACGACCGGCACCTGCTAAATTTCAAACTCCTCGCTTCGCCCTGCCACGCCACTCCGAGATCGACCAGCCTGGCTACACCACTCGAGTATCCGTGGTAGTATACGCCAGGCTGGTCACGAGCCTAAGTCGAGCCTATGTGCGCCACTCCAACGCCACCCAAGTCACGCACCCCCATATCGCAAAGTGAAATCCAGGCTGGACATAAATTATTGACAACCAAGTTGATTGGTGAGGCTTTGAGGCCAGGCCTGCAATGTGCATGCGGCTGTGTCCATCCTTGGGTATTTCGCTCGACCAAGGTGTCGTAATAAGCGAAACCTCGGCTCCAAAATATATCACGAGCCTAGTTTTTTCGTCGATGGCACCACATACCGCCGGAGCAACTTTAACCAATGTTATCTCCGAGTCCAACGGTGCACCGGTGATCCACTAGCTGAGTCTAGTTAGCTCCATTGCGCATGCTATATAAATATCGGCAATCGAACTCCCGGGATGCATCTGTGCTTTCCGCAGTGCAGTCACTTGCACTTGACCTTACCGTGCATTTCTTCAGGATCCTCACATCGTCACCTGGTACCGATAAACGCTTTGGCAAGTCAGACACAACGATCATACCGTTTCCTATCACCTTGCATAACTTAGTGTGGGCACGATGAGTAGCTCTGAAGGATCGGCGAACAATTTCAATGCACAGCTGGCCATCATTGGGCCAACCCAAGTCGGTGGGCTTTTGAGCGCTGCATTATTCGGTTGCCTTGCCTGCCAGTCCTACTTGTATTTTGCAAGATTCATGAGCGATGGCTTCGCTGTAAAAATAACTGTGAGTCGGCCGCTGCTGTGCAATTGATGTATCTTATCGATCGCATCATACGGTTAGGTATCTGCAATCATGTATGTTCTATGTTCGATTTGGCTTGCTTCGAATGGTATTGATACCCATTCTGCAGTTTGATTCAGCTGGGCCAGTTTGTCTGCATGATATCAACATTGTGGACAATGACTGTCAGCACCTATGGTGACCCATCTCTGCTCAATGTCCTTCCTCTAGTGGCAGACGTGTCCCTTCTGTTGAGCGGCATGACGGTGTTCATCGTGCAGGTAAGTGATTTTGAATGTATATTAATTATTTGATGCTTACGGGTGGTGTTAGTCATTTTACGCATTTCGACTTTGGAAGTTGACTAGGAGTATTTTCTTACCCATTCTTTGCGAAACGATCTCCGTGGTCGCACACACTTCCATGGTCGTTCTCTTAGCGAGGGCGATTTCTATGACGGACCTCGTGACTTTTATAAACAGTCAAACTGTGCTGATTGCGCTCTTTTGGATTGCACGTGGAGTTTGCGACTTGATCACCACTGTTGGAGTCGGCTGGAGTTTGAAAAAGAGACGAGTCTCTCATTTCAAGTATGACTATTATCTGATGTCGCCTATCATTCCTTACTATCTCTGTTATAGCACGGTGACGATGGTCGACCGGTTGATTTATTGGACACTTGGTAAGATAGGAAGTGCCTTAATTGTGCGAATGCCTTTTAACGTCACCTCTACACAGAGACTGCTCTGATCACCAGGTATTTACCTCTTTCATCAGGTATTTCCTTTAATGATCTGTCAGTTTGATATCCATTGCCATCGTGATGTTGGTAAGGATTTTGCCCATATCACCCCCCGAATGAAGTGTTCTCTAACTAGCTTTAAGTTTGTATTCCAGAAACAAAACTGTGAGTGCGTTGGCAACGCATCTGGCCACGACTGAAATGACGCAGTTGTGTGGTTTGGAGTATTGTTGATATGGCCTAATGGTAATGACATGGAATACTTTGAATCAAAAAATATTGACCCGCGTATTGTGCAGTCGTAGGGAACTCCTTGTTAGCCTCGTCAGTCGCCAAATGGACTCGATAAATGATAATCACGATAAACTTACCAACCTGGCATACAGGTTGAACCGGCGGTTACTGCTTCGAGAGACTCAGAGAGCCTCAGGAGGTGATGTCCAGCGTCGTAGTGGTAGTTCGGTGAGCACCATCTGAATAACTGCGCATAAATTATAATTCCGTTTTAGAACTCAATTTCTTTCAGAGCCGGAGCTACGCAATCACGCGGTGACTCGCTGGAGAACTTCGAGATTGAAGTGTTCCGAGAAACAGAAGGCTTAATCGATCAGGAGCAAAAACGGATTTCGAAGCCTGCAGTGGTCCATATACGCGAGCATGTGTTTCAACATGACGAAACTCATTGCTGATTATGGGGTGAGTGTACGGCGAGATGATGTGATCTTCAGTGGGTTGACATACATTAGGCATGAAAACTGATCGAAGCTTTGTGAATATACCACCAAGTTCCTCAGTAGAGTCCTAGCCATGCTGCATGGTATCATACAGTATAGTGTAATTTATATGCAAAAGCGGCTACAAGTCCCACAAATCTAGGGAAATTGGTCAAAATGGTTCAAAACAGGTGGAGCGCACCTCTAAAACACGTCGAGAGCGGATCAGAAAAGAAGAGTGAGGAGGTACTAGAGAGCGGAAACAGCATGGCATCGAAGAAGCCCAGAAAACAACAGAAAATATTGAGGTGCATGATACATTCTACTTTCTTGGGGGATAGACGGCGGCAGGATGCGAGGACAATTAAAGCCAGATAAAGGCGATGATGGGGAATAGGCGCGTCGTTCTTCTTCTTCGTCGTCGTCTGCAGGTGGTGTGGCATCACCGAATATTTGTTCCAGTCCGTGCGTGCTCGAGATGAAGCGGAGCAAAGGTTTGATGCATTTTCGGTTGTTCAACGGATTCTTGAGACGACCAGCTCGGGGGCCTAGTTCATTCTGAAGCGCATAGTGCTGTCTTGCATGCACTGGACAGGCGATCAGGAAGCGGTGGACGGTCTCTTCGCGCTGGTGGCATTGTTGGCAGGTAGGGCTTGGGACTTTCATGATGAGATGGAGGTGTTTGTTCAGTGGTGCGTGTCCGGTGCGGAGCTTGAAGAGAGGATGTCGATGCGTTTCAGCTTCTCTAAACGGCGAGTAAAATCATCAACAAGTGCCAAAATTCACGGTGAAGACATGGCTTTAGAGGCTCGCGTAGCCGCTGATAGACAGAGCTTTACAAAGCTATGTCATTTGAGATGCACTGACGACAGGAGGGGTATGCTAGTAGAACAGTGGCCACCTCAAGGCCGTACAAGTTCTGAAGCTCAGCAGTAAGCAATGTGCCCCGTGTTCTTGTGCAAGCAGGTGGGACAGGTGCTGTCAAGAGAATCTTGAACAAGATATCCGAGTCATCCAGCATGCTTGCAAGCTCTGTGCATTTAAAAGTGGAATGAGACATGATTACATTGACAATCCTTATCATATTGCTTCGCGCACCTGATCTTTTAGTTCCAAGTTCCAACTCGTAGTGCAACACCACGCAGAACAGGCGATCTAAGACAAGACTCGGAGTTGTTCCTGTGGGAGGCGAGTGATTGTTGTGACCAACAACAAAAAATTTCGGCTGTTGCATATACAGATTCATGATATTGTCCAAAGCATTATAGAATAGAGGACATGTGAAAGATGTTGTGAGGCGGGCAATCTGTAGCAAGTACTGAGGATCCGAGGAGACGTGGCCACCATTTTGATCAAAGAGAAACACATGCACATTCTGAATAAGTTATGAAGTTCATCAATGAAATAAGGACACCGAGAGAAACTAAAAAGACGTAACACAGGTTTCTCCGCTGTAAAGACGACACAGACTACCACATCCATCATGCATAGTTTTTCCAAAGGGGTCCTACGCTTCGGCGGGTGCCTGAACATCTTCCCACTAACGTGGGAGTCATGGATATGTATGCCGCCGAAATGAACAACGATGAACTTGAACATGCCAACGACACACGAGTTACGCATCTCCGAGCACCGTGATCGCAACAGTGAAATACAGGTATTTTTGAGACGAGTTGATAAATCAATTGGTCTACGGTAGTACGTACGAAATTCTGACAAACGGTGCAGTCACGTGCGTCGCCCACCGTATAATTATTCTAGCCTGAGATTCGTGCTGTGAACATCACTCCTTTCCGCTGCAGGGAGATAGTAGTCCCGAGCACTATACCCATCATCAAGGCGCTGCAAACACAAGTATAGAGCATCAGATGGGCGATGATGTTACGGGCTGTGTTGCCAAGTACACGAATTTGGAGATATGAGTCGTTCCCTCTGAAGATACTTTCGGTGATTGAGACTCAACTTCCCTGGCAAGCGCATTGTTATATGTATTTCACACATCAAACTTGAGCTTGAGGCTGCTTCATCTCTATCTTTTGCAAGTTTGCGGTTGTTACACTCGAGCTTTCCGAGCCATTCGTCTCGCATTTCCATCTACTACCTAACGTTTTCGTAAGTCACATTCAACGATCATGCTGTCTCCTATAACTTTGCATTACTTTGTAGTGTGCACGATGAATAGCTTAGAAGGATCCACGAGCGACTTTGATGCAAGTGTTGTCATCGGGCCCGTGCAAGTCTTTGGGCTTTTGAGTAGTGCATTGTTCGGCTGCCTTGCCTGCCAGTCCTACGTGTATTTTGCAAAGTTCACGAGCGATGGTCTCGCCCTGAAAGCAACTGTAAGTCGGTTACAGCTGGCACAATCCATGTTGATCTTATTTATCACGTCATACGATTAGGTATCTGCAGTCCTGTGCGCCCTATATGTGACTTTGTTCCTTCGAATATTGATACATGTTCTGCAGCTTGATTCAGTTGGGCCATTTCGTCTGCATAATGTCAATGTTGTGGACAATGACCGTCAGCACCTATGGTGACCCGTCTCAACTCAATGTTTTTCCCCTAGCGGCAGATATGGTCATTCTGTTGAGCAGCTTTACCGTATCCATTGTGCAGGTAAGCGATTTCAATTATATATTCATTATCTGATGCTTACGGGTAAATATCAGTCATTTTATGCATTTCGACTTTGGAAGTTGTCTAGAAATGTTTCCTTATCCATTCTTTGCCAAATGTTTTCCGTGGTTGCGCAAATTTCGACATTTATTCTCTCAGCAAGGGCGTTTTCTATGACGGACCTCACAATGTTTGAAGCCCGTCAAAGCTTGCTGATTATGCTCGCTTTCACCACACGTGCAGTCTGTGATTGGATCACCACCGCTGGTATCGCGTGGAATTTAAAAAAGAAACGAGGCTCTGACATCATAGAGTATGACTATCCAACATGTTGCCTACCATGTCTTACATCTGCTGGTCATAGCACGACGACAATGATCGACCGGTTGATTTATTGGACTATCGGTAAGATAGGAACTGTATGGGTGAATGCCCTTCTTGATACCACCTCCACAGAAACCGCTCTGATCACCAGGTATTTGGCTCTTTCATAAGGGCGTTTCCATCAATGACGTCCGTTAGTTTGCTCGCCGTCACGGTGATAATATTGGTGAGGACTTCACTGCCTATATCTTCCCCCGAATGAAAGTTCTCTAACTAGCTTCAAGCTTCTAGTCCTGAAACAGAACTGTGAGTATATTGGTACCACATCAAAACTCGACTGAAATGACGCAGATGTGTGGTTTGGAGCATGGTTGACGTGGCCTAATGGTAATGACATGAAATGTTTCACGTTAAGTAAACTGACCCGCGTATCGTTGTAGTCATTGGGAACTCCATGTTGATCTCGTTAGTCATTGAATGGACTCGACAAATGATAAACGTGACGAACTTACCGACGTAACTTGCAGGTTAAATCGGCGGTTACTCCTTCAGGAGACTCGGATGCCCTCAAGAAGTCATGTCCAGAGTCGTGATGGTGGTTTGGTGAGCACCATTTGAATAACTGCCTATAAATTGTAATTCCGTTTCAGAGCACGAATATTGTGTTCAGAGCCGAAGCTACGCAACCACAAACAGTCCCACTGAAGAACCTCAACGTGTCCCAAGAAGCAGAACACCCAATTGATCAGGAACAATGGCAGGATTGCAAGCCTGTGATCCACTTACGAGAATGTGTTTAGCAGATGATGAAACTCGTTTCTGACTACGATGTATGATGAGATGATTTATTCTTTACATTTTGTAGGTTGGCATTATTAGCCACCATGATAGCATTCAAATGTTCTTTTCTGGCACCATCGGTGCCTGCCAGTACATGCTAGTATGCGCCTACATAAAGTATATGCAAGTAGTCAAGACTGTCGTCCGCTTAACCGTTGGCCAGAAGGCAGTGATACTGAAAGCTTGTGTTTCAGTATCTCGGACAGTATTTATGGGAACTTGAGTGCTAAGCCAGCGTGCTTACAGTATACGCCAGGACAGCCAGCTAACACATCCTACGTGCACCGAGAACGATCATACCAACAATCACAAATCTCCGAGCACATCGCAAAACTGAAATCCGGTCCCGGGGTTTTCAAAAGAATCGACGTTCAATCCACGAGGTGAGCTAGTTCCAAAAGTCTCAGGGAAACCAAGCTTTGTTTCAGTGAAGGTTCCACCAACGAAGTACTTTCTGTCCGTCGATACAGGTTCGGACATATATTTTCTACTACCTGCAAGACTTCAACCGATGTCATCAGAGGCTGATGACAACGAGCGACATCAATCGAAATCAAGTAAGGGAGGCCAAAGGAAGAACGCCTCGGTGTATCTTACACCTCAGAGAGGCTGTGGTAGTGCAGTAGCTCTGAAACTACAGGAGACCTTCCAAAAGACCTTTCACACCTTTTGTCCCAACGATTCTTTCCAGTCTGAACTTGTCATACTTGGAATAAATGACTTTCGACATTACATCGGAGGCCTCCACCCCATCGTCGAGGAATGGGAAAGACAGGAACTCGGAGAAGAACTGAGGATGTTCTGGAGGGCCGTAGAAAATGAGATTGCGGATGCCTCTGATCTTGTATCTGCAGATACGGGACTCGTTGTATAAACCTGAATTTTACCAATGTTTGAGTGACGTACCTGCGGTAAAAATGAAACCGCTCGCTAACGAGTAAAAAGGCCTTTTTACTAGAGAAAAAAGTTTCTCGTGCTCGAGAAATGTCCTGGTTGGTAGAGTATCTACATGTAGTTAGCTAACGTCCTCGGTTTTGTTATGTGGAGCTCACTCGGAGAGTACAGCGAAGCTCAGGGAAGACTGCTTCCGGAAGTAGTTGTGCACGCGAATGAAATCGAATGAGGAAGGTATGAAGATCACTGTGTTGGCACTCTGTACTGCGGATTTAAGTACCCTTGGTAGTAGCTTAACAATGTAAGACGAGAGAGGTTAAGGTTGAAGCAACAGAGGTTACCTGAGTGGTGAAATAAGCAAATCTCTTTTCGGGTTCGTCCTTAGGGTTTGCACAGTCGAAAGGAACAAACATCTTTGCATTGTTAAGGCTGAATTCATGAGGCAGTTAAGAAGGCACTCACTTGATCGACAGACTCTGGAACCTGTATAGCAGGCCATATTTTTTCGACTCTGACCTTCCCTGCAGTATTTTTGAGCGTGGTGTTAAACAGCGCTCTCAATTCTGGCGTCTCAAACGGTGACAAGAAGATGGACTGTCGAAGGTACGCAGAACTCGCGGAGACTAAGCATCGTGCACAATGGATTATCAAGAAGAAACCCACTGGCCATCTAGATACCATGGCTTGATACGCGAGAAGTCCGCGTCATGGGAATCTTTTGGCAGGTTGTTCATGTTTGAAAGGACATACTGGCATGCACATAATCAAAAAAGGGGATTAAGTCGAAATATGACATGGGCACACCTGGACGTGCTCCCAATTTTGCATTGCCAGTGCGTTCATTTGGTCTATCACCAAGATCTCGATTGATGACAAAAAATCTGCGCTTCTGAAGAGAAGTTACGATCGACCGTTGCATTGGGTTCGCATAATAAACGCACTTTTCTTTCTCGATTGACATCCTTAAACCGAGCGGACTTGCAAGAATAACATCACACCCATAAAAATCGGCGAATAATTTGACACTTTTCCTCGTGAGTTTAATTCCAACTCTGAAATTATCGTCGACATTGCCCTTGAATGTCTCAACATGGTCTCGGGGGTATGTCCCCGGTTCGGCAACTGCAAGCTTATCGACTGCATCAGGTGGGAGAGCGTATTCAGATAGGAAACGAGAGTGGTTTTCGATTTGATATGACGGAGAGGGCGTGTGTGTGGTTAATGCATCTAACCAAGCGAGGGCCGACGAGCGAAACGGGAGAAGAACAAGTACGGAGGGTCGAGTAAAACCTTGATCTTGAACGTCCTCTGGAGGCGAGACTGAGGCTGCTTTCGCATGTGCGAGACGTTCATTGTTTTTCAAAACTCGTCTTCGCTTTCTGTGATTTTTCTATGAACACGCTCAAGTCTAGAGATGCGGAGCAACAAACTTTGTGATGTGGTCCAGCGCGTGCAATGCAACGACATCTCGTACACTTCGGTGATCCTCCAGAGAAAGTGCAGGATTATATAGATCAAGGTGGGCGGACAAGATCGAGAGTAGATCATCTTGTACCTGCCTCTGATCTGAAATGTACAGAGATCAATATCATGCCGTGCAGCACACCGCTGGGCATACCTGACGACTGCCTCGATTGTCGCGCCCGAAATGGGCTTCTCAAACGTTGTGGTATCTGGTAATCATTCCATGAATATTTCAGCAGCGTGTAATATACTACAGGACACAACATACTGCTGTCTGTTTGGCCAGTTTTTTCGATGGAGGAGTGATGTCCTCGTTTCGTAAACTAAACACAGTTCGTAATGCGCCAACTGTCTCCCTCGAAGACGTCCAGCGTCGTTGATCCACAGAGCTTCTTGATACCTCTGATACAAGATCAGTATTTGGTCCGTAGTGCTGTTCGTATGGCGATGTGATATCTGACGAAGTGCATTTGAGTACATCTCTCTAAACTATACTGATAATGTACCTTGTAGATCAACACCGTCATTTTCTTCATCACCTCCAACGACCTCGTCACCTGCGTCATTGTTAGTTCTGTCGTGTAATATCGAGGGGCCTGGGTCCAAGGTAATATCTTCTGCAAGCTTAACCGTCTTTCGCTTGTTTAACTTGGGTGCTGGCGACTCTTCATCCCGTGTTCTCTTTCTACTTTTCAAAGCAGATACATTTAGTAGCGTCAGGAGACGAGTCGTAGGGGTGTTGACATTCTCGCCGAGATCCATAGCATATGATTTTGAAAGTGGACGCTGACAAGGATACAACTTAATCCGCTACCATCAACATGAAAAAAACACGATCACATGATGAGTCATGTGACTATAACGCGCTCATGCTGTAACTTTTATTCTGCTTATCTGATAATCTGAAAACGTGTTCCTTCGTTGTAACAGGAACTAGTGCGTGCCTCATGGTTTCGAGCGTCTCACCGAAGTCGCAAGGATAAATCATCATTCCTTGTAACGAAATATTATGCGAGTAGCTATCGCGTCCGATTATTGGCCGAAAAGCATTATGAGAGTACCGTACATGCCGTGGTCCACGTTCCACTTCCAGGGGTGCGGGGAAGTCGTTAGAACTTAGCTACCGGCCGCGCTCGCTACCGGTGAGCTTGAAATCTTCGTATCATTATTGGTATGGCATCCCTCTTAAGGCTTAGCGTATGGGCCAGGAGTGAAGCGAGATTCCTCAAGTAGCTATAAAGTCCAGAAGGTGTGCTTTCCTGCGTCTCTGTTATCTACCAATGATAAGCGCTGCTTCTATGTCCGCTCTTCCTTTCGAGTTGGAGCAAGATATTTTTGAAAACGCTGCCAACAGTGACCGTCGTTCGGCCTTGAATCTGGCCTTGGTGGCCCAGCGAGTACGGTTCTGGTGAGTCAGTTCACAAGGAAACGAAGACCAATGGTAATTTTCGACCACAGGGTGGAACCTGTCATTTACAACTGCGTCGCACTGCAATATGGAGGTAGCGATTCAGCAAGAGTCTTGGAGGGATTTATTTCTGCCATGAAGACCAAGCCCGCCTCGTTTTTTGCTAGATATGTCAAGACACTTCTCCTCTCTGACATTCCGGCGTGCTTCATGATGGAGATTCTTGCAGTCTGCACCGGCATTACAGATCTTAGAGTATGGCCATACACTCCATCAGCCGTCGCGCAATTTGTCGTTGCCAGCTCCATCCGCCCCACTCACCTGTCTTTTTCTGCTGAGCAACTCGCAGCACATAGTCGCGCCCCAAACTTTGCCCTTCCATTTTACCAGGAGCTTACGCATCTGGAACTACATGATACCTGGGGCCAGTTAATGGCCTGGGCACCAAATTTTGCAATGCTCCCGCAATTGACACACCTTGCTTTCGTATTTGGTTCCCCATTCTCGAGCGGCGCTATAGCCAGCTATGCCCTAAGCGCCATATTGGTAAACTGCAGCAAGCTCAAGGTCTGCGTACTTCGTTGCATACTCAGCGAGGATGAACTTCGGTTTGGGCAGGATGCAGCGATTGCCAAATCCATCACGGATCCCCGTGTCGTGGTCGTGGGTTGGCGCCGTTCACAGGCGAGGTGGGCGGGTGGTTTGTGGAACGAGAAGACAGATTTATGGAACCAAGCAGAGGCCATTGCCGCCTCACGGTGATTTGAAAAGGCCAAAATCAGAATGGCACGTGTTTATCCTGCAGTAATGTTAGGACGAAGATGCCAGTGGACATTTATGCGCGGTGTAGACATATATTATGACTATGCTCCATTTCGTTACTATTTGTACGATCAACCTGTAGGGACAGTGAGCTTGATGTGTAGAATAAGTATGGTGATAGACTGTAGGCCAGCGATCGTCGTACCATACACGGTTGAGTGGACCAAAACAGTGCGCTATATGTACGTCTGAGCCGTCGGATGCATATGAAATGCTGTGACGAGTGATGTGTGCGAGATCACGCTACAACTAGACACTTTCAACGAGATGCAAGGATGGCAGGGTGTGGTCGAATGGTCTAACAATATAAGATTACTGTGTTAGTTAGCTTCATCCACTGGACAAATTGAACCGTTTAGTAGGTGGTCGTTGCAAACGGCGAGCGTTACGTATGATAAAAAATGAGCAGGACTTGTAGACCGTGCCACCATCCTCATCGTAACTCTAGAGATGGTCACTGAAATCGGGAACTGGAAGCGATACAGTCCTCACCATGATGGAACTCTGTGCGAAGTTTTCATACATGAACTCATCATATTATCCGATTTCACTGGAGATGATTGATTGCCCATGGTGCAACCCAAGATAGCCTGGGTGAGCCTTCAGGGATCGATCGATCAAGTGACACCATAGGTATTTGTCCGGATGTGATTATTTCTTGGTGCCTTACGAATTATTTATCCTGGCGCAGAAACTGCGGCTGTATTGGAAAGATACACAACCAATTCACATCGCAAACGCACGCATTTTGGTACCACTGCAAGCAAACTACAAGATCGATCAGATTGATTCGTCGAGTTCATTACTAGCAATAGTACTACTGACCTTATCGATGCAGTAGGACCAAACATATTTCTGCAGCAGCTCCATTGGGTGAAGGATTGGTCGCATCTTGGTCCGAGTCCGTGACATGGGACATTGCGAAGACCGGAAAGTATTCTTGAGTGCCTGTTTAAAAAGTTTCAATGGCCACATGGTGAGAGCAATCCGCATTTGAGCATGTCTTCTTGATAGTGGACGCATCTTTTTCACGGTGCTTCTTTCCATCAACATCATGATCTGGATGAAAGTGATCCAGGCATTTTCCCTGCATAGCTCATTGCCTGGACCACATCTCGTCCGTGCGACCTCGATTGTGATATATCGGTCACAGCAATATTTGATACAGTGGTACTGAAAATACGTACGATTGAGACATGGTGCAGCTTGATTTCGAGTCTTCGACGCGGCGATATGTCACGCTGAAAAGAACGATGTTAGACGTTTTTGATTGGCGCAGTAGCACGTGCTTCGCGGAGTCCCAATCCACGACGCGTGCTGACCGTGTCGCGTTTTGTCCAGTCAAAGTGGGACTCGGGGTGCAGCACCGTTTCTCGCGAGCACGTCTGCGCACCAATCAAACCTGGATTTATTCCGGTAATTCCGTTCTGTTACAAGCTACGCAACCCAGTTCGACAAATTAAGGACCAGGCTTTTCCACACTCTTCACACAGAATCATTCTTCAACTGCAGCATGCGAGTTCTTTGTGTGGCAGAGAAGCCTTCCATAGCTCGTTCAATCAGCTCAATTCTCTCTGGCGGTCGTCTGGAAACAGTGAGCTGGAGCTTTCTGTGTACTGCCATTCTCAAATCCATACATTTTGCTTCCAGCGTCCAACGTCCAATAGATTCATCAAGAACTTTGATTTCGATTACCCACAAACCAACTCACAATTTACAGTAACCGCTGTCTCTGGTCATTTGCTAGCTCACGACTTCCCAGAGGAGTACAGGCAGTGGAATTCTTGTGACCCTATTACACTGTTCGATGCACCCATTCACTCCTCAGTACCCGCAGACAGCAAGAGTATCGAACGCAATCTCTTGACTGAAGCGCGTAGAGCAGATACCCTTATGATTTGGACAGATTGTGATCGAGAAGGAGAGAACATTGGGAGCGAGATTGTTAAGGTATGCAGGAAATCACATCCACAAATTGTTGTGAAGAGAGCTAGATTTAGTGCCATCATTCCTCAGTGAGTATCTGGTCCTTGGCCAGAGGTTTTTTCTTACTAATAGATGTTCGTGATCCCAGACAAATTCATCGTGCTGCCCAGCACCCCATCGATCTTGACATGGCTCAAGCCCACGCTGTCGAGGCGCGCATCTTCCTTGACCTGAGAATAGGTGCCGCATTCACCCGTATGCAAACTCTTACACTACAGACACGTCTCGCCCAATTTCGTGAAAACAGAGAAGTCGTCTCGTATGGTTCGTTCATCACCGAGCCGCTTGTCTTTTCATGACACACTTCCGAGCAGGTCCCTGTCAATTTCCGACGCTCGGGTTTGTCGTCCAAAGATACAATCAAGTCAAGTCCTTCGTTCCTGAAGACTTCTGGTATATAAGCTTTTGTGTGGATCGTGATGACAAGAAAGTCGACTTTAACTGGAAAAGGGGGCACTTATTCGAATCCGATATCGTTGCTGAGATATACGAGGAGGTTTTGCATAGTCCCACTGCTAGAGTGGTGAAGGTAACACAGAAGGATGTCAAAAAATAGTGAGTTTTCTACTTAGTTGTTTGAACTGCACTGGACCGGGCTGAACATCCTAGCAAACCACTCCCATTAACAACCGTAGAGCTGCAGAAAGCAGGATCCAGATTATTAAGGCTTGCTCCCAAGAAGGTCCTCGATGTGAGTTGAACCAAGATCCAGGCGCTTCCTGCTTTCCGGCTGACCGTGGTCATACACATCCAGATTGCCGAGAAGCTTTACCAACAAGGCTTTTTGTCATACCCACGCACAGAAACAGACCAATACGATCCTCAGTTCAATTTCATGACACTCATCGAGAAGCAAACCGCCGATCCTGCTTGGGGAGGATTCGCCACTGGGTATGCTTCCCAAAAATTTTGTAAACGCCAGACTTATCCTACATGCTCAGCCTGCACGAGGGCAATTTCAATACTCCAAGGCGGGGCAAAAATAACGACAAGGCTCACCCGCCCATCCACCCCACTGCTCATGCAGGCAACCTTGCTGGTGACGAGAAGAAGGTATACGAATTCATCACCCGGCGCTTTCTTGCAAGTTGTAGCAAGGATGCGGAAGGCAAAGAGACAATTGTGCAAGTGGATTATGGCGGTGAAGAGTTTAATGCAACTGGTTAGTACCTCTGCTGCGACTACGACTCATGTTCACGCCCTGGTAGGATTGATTGTTCTTCAGAGAAATTACCTCGAAGTATACCCATATGACAAGTGGTCGGCAAAAGAGATACCGAACTTTCAGGAAGGAGAGCGGTTCGTACCTACGGTATGTGAAATCAAGGACGGTCAAACTTCCTCGCCATCTCTCCTCACTGAGGCGGACTTGGTCACCCTCATGGACAAGAACGGCATTGGTGGGTTTCCGCACACGACGTTATTCGCCCCAATCTGACCATCTATCATTCTGCAGGCACTGATGCTACAATTGCCCAGCACATCCAGACGATTATCGACCGAGAATATGTCATCGAACGCATGGATGGTGCAACAAAGCATCTCATGCCCTCGACGCTTGGAATTGGGCTTATAGAAGGATACAATGAAATTGGGTTTGAGAGAAGCTTATCAAAGCCGCAGCTCAGGCGCGAAACTGAACGCAGCATGGTTCGAGTTTGCGAAGGTACCAAATCCAAAGCAGAGATGCTCACCGAGAGCATCGAACAATATAGGGAGATGTATGTTCTCGCAAAGAGAGAGTTCGATAAAGTTGTCTCTGTATGTGGTCTGGTTTACACTGGTGTCGTCCCGTTCACGTTGTACTTTAGAGCGTGCGCAGGTACATTGAACGTAACGCAGGGGCAAATCAGGGTGGTGGGGGTGGCAACGGTGGTGGCGGCGGTGGAAGGGGCAGAGGTGCCGGTGCAAGAAGGGGTGCCGGTCGTAGAAACAATGATGATAATGATGATGATAACGACAATGGAGGAGCCCCACCAGGAGGTGCCGGTCGTGGCCGCGGTCGAGGACGAGGACGACCACGAGGTGCTGCAGCTCCAGCATCTGGAGGCCGTGGACGAGGCGCTGCTAGGGCAGCCCCACCGCCACCTTCCAATGACATTGACGGTATGCAAATTTACGTTATGAAAGATGAGAATTAATATGGTTGTCTAGATTTGAATGATGATATGCCCCCGCCTGCCCCACCACCTCGAAGCCGTTCACGAGCATCCAATGGACCATCAAAGCCCAGTGCTCCTGTCTCACGGACAACTTCTTCCGGAAGTAAACCTACGTCCTCGAGGGCGATTACCACGACGGCTACTCCCCGACCCAACCCCTTGCCTTCTTCAAGCATGACGCCAGAATGTGAATGCGGGATTCCATCTCAGCGCAAAACAGTCACGCAGAAGTCAGCTCGTGAAGGCAAGGAGTTCTATGCCTGCGGAGTCGGTGACGGATGTGGGTTTTTCAAATGGTGTGATGACGGACCGGTTGGTATGTCTGCAAATCCCATGCCGCTCGTCCCAGCCAAGCGCGCATTGGCTAGTGAACGTTCAGTGAGTTCATGTTCTGTACTACGTTTTGTTCCTTACAGAGCTGTGTGAGTTTAATCAGGTCGATGCCGTTGCACGTCAATGCCAATGTCGTGAAGACGCGGCACGGCGTACTGTCATTAAGGAGGGGCCAAATAAAGGACGAATATTTTGGGGATGTTCCAAAGGAAAGGACGGGGGGTGTGAATTCTTCGAGTGGGATGATGAACCATCCAAACCCAAGAGCGCTGCTGCTCCACGTCCCATGTCGTCTCGATCAGTAACCCAAAATGATTCAACTTCCAGTAGCGGGAAATGCTTCAAGGTTCGTGTGCACACTTAACCACAATGTTTTGAGGCACTAAACTTCCATGTAGTGTGATCAAGAAGGCCATTGGGCGTCCGGTGGGTAACAGTAAAATTGTGTACTGTTAGAGGTCACTAAATACATGTAGCGTGTCCAAACGGTGACATGACTAGCCGCTCTAAATCGGCGTTGCATGCCGGAGGATCGGCGTCCGGTGACGCGTGCTTCAAGTGTGGACAGACAGGACATTGGACTTCTGGTATGGTGCTGAATCTCTACATAGACGTCCCATTCATCCATAATATGACAGAATGTCCTGGTAATGGTGGACCTGGGCCATCAAAGCGCGCAAAATCTACTTCAAGAGGTTCGAAGTCTTCGTCGAACACCACCTCCCGAGGGAGAGGTGGGAAGAGAGGTGGGAAGAAAGGGGCCTTCAAGACGAAAGGAGGAACATTTGGCGCTCCAGATGATTTCTGAGGCTAAGCGGCGAATGTGCTATGGTTTTCGACCCGCTCAAAATGGAAAACCAACTTGATTGTAGCGTTCATACTCTTAGATTTGTCAGTTACTGTACAATTTCAAGACCCCACGAGCGGCAAGTCAATCTAGTCTCAAAGCTTAATAGCCTGAGTAAAATCTCTAACTTCCAAACTCATGTCTATGCTCAATGTTTGGTTATGTTTTCTCCTTCAGTGCCGCCGCTGGTGCGATCTTTTTCTACGTCCGCGACTCGCACACTGGTCATCATGAGTACTCATTGAGTCTCATCCTCCACGTCCGTGTGATCGGTAACGCGAAGGTATACCATCGGTGCGGCGAAGATCATGCCAGCGACCATTATGCACCAAGTCGACAGGAAGATGTTCATATATCTGAAGTGTTGGTCCAGTGGCTTGTTCACAGGGGATTGAGAAACTCACAGGATTCCAGCAGCATCAGCACTCCAGGAGCCCGCCGCACCCGCTGATTGCAGGGACTTATCTGTATGATGTCTAATCAGCATTAAACTCGAACTCAAAGGTCAATACGCGCAAAAGCCAGTAAACACGGCCAGCTTGGCGGGGTCGTTCGACATCGCGCCTATTAGCCAGTATGCATATGTCTGCAACATTGAATCCAGGAAGCCATGAACTATCATAACCCAGACATGGGCAGCATAGGTTTCGTCTGTGATGTCGATCTTGTAAGCCTTCATGGCTTCAGCGCGGGTATATGTCCTAAGGAACATTTCCATGGTAATTTGGGGCTGTGGTATTGCACTGGCAGGATGACTCACTTCTGGTAGAAATACGCCCAGGCGTGGGCAACGAGAACCATAAGGAACACGAGGATCCAGCCGTAGAAGGCACGGACTCTGCGCCGGACTCTTTTCTGGTCAAGAATAAAGCAACCGAGGAAGACAGATCCAAAGACCTGCGACGCAGCAGACATTAAGCTATTCAGGCCCCGTGCACGAATAGTGAATATCGCGCCGTTGTAATTATTGTATTCTGCGTAACTTTTCAGCAACCACGCTGATCCCAAGAACAGTACGAACCCCAAGTATAGCAGTAGTTACTAGCAAAGAACATCGGGAAGAGGAGGACAATCCAAGGGTCAGTCTTCAGCGTCATGTACAGGCGGAACAACTCCGTCTTCCACGATGGGTGGCGGATCTGGTTCACGCGAGTCCCGTCCGTACGAATCACCTTGTCTGGGTTTGTCATTAACAGTGGGAGGAATACGCCGATGAGGGTCAAAATCAGGAAGCCAACCTAGTTTAGTGTCAATCTCTGGTGACAAGAGATTATCGAATGACATACATATGTGGCATTGCTAACTGAGGATGAAAAAATCAATCAGCTCCGCCGTCAGACTCATAGCCAGGGTATGCCTTGGCCCTTACCGCTGTTGGTCTGACGGTGGAGGACATAAGCACGGCTTTCCATTTACAAACTTAGCATATGTATCACTCACGGTATTCTTGAAACTGGTTCCAAATGCTACAGCAGAACCCATGATTCCTCCAAGATTGAAAATTGTCCAAAAGATAGAGATGAACATGCCCTTCTGAGCCTCCGTGGGGTACGCCATCATCAAAGAACCCTGCGCGGTCCAAAGTAAAGCTGCACAGATACCAAGGATGACACCGGCCGTGAGAACGAAAGCACTCGCGTCGGGATGGATGTTGATAACACTGAAGTGCAACGTTTCAGTAACATCACAGAATCGACGTACAAGTCATCATACAGGAACGAGGCAATATATAATGAGTAGCCCAAAGTTCCAAGCATCAGAGTCCACCGAGGACCAAGGATATTGTTAATGGATCTGCAACGACATGAGTCGCCATGGGTCAAATCGACAATGTTGACTCACCCAGAGAATAATCCAAAAAATGCAAAAGTCGCATATAAAATCGCGTTAGCGTTAGCCTGGACCCTACTATTGACTTGGCCTCCACCACCGAGACCAGTAAGCGCAGTGAAGATGCCAGGGCCCATGAAACACACGAATCCCAACATCAACACTTGGGTGACGGGGTGGTAGTAGTACCTCCTCCACCCCGTCGGACGATCGAAGGGCTCTGCGTGCGGATAAACAGACTCCTTGCTGCTGCCAAGTTTGTTGACCTCTACCCGTACCTCAGACATAGTAGTTGGAAGATGAAGGTACGAGGGCTCATTATCGAGAAGGGACCACTGTCTTCCTCTTATACGGTTTCTAAGGGCTTATGAATTGCAGGCATCCGGATTCCGTAGGTAAGACGTAGTACATACCTAGATAAACATCAGCGCGGCTCAAATAAATGAATGCCTGGCTGAAGCTTAAAATGGAACGAAAGCCCACATATCACATATGTATTTCATTAGTAGCGTTGGCAGGTGCGGAAAGAACCGATATGATTCAGTTGAATCAATGGCGATAATAAGTCGTGCACTGAAATCTAGAACCGAGAATCACACAGCCTTGTGAAGACTCCATAAACTAGAGGCACTCTAGGTCTGATCACTGTACGTGTAAATCTATCCGGTTAATGAACCACAAAGATGAATGGTGCGTTCACCAAAGGAAGATACTCGTGTCAAGATCATGACACGAATTCGAAGTTCGCCAGGTGGCCCAATGGTTACCACGGACTGGCATATTGGGACCAATATCGGCTCATCATTCATGAGCCATATGTACACGATGCTATTGATGTAAAGTTTATCAGTGAGGCCGAAGAAGCTACAGTACTAAGAATTAATGATTACCTTGACAATGTGACCAAAGCTAGTTGGTTCGTTATCTGTTGCAGCCGCTGGAAGGTAGATATTTTCCAGCCTCGCGATTTACATCCTGTCGTAGATGTCAACCGGTGACAGACGTTGGTCTTCATGGGCATTTACAGGCCCTCACGCTCAACGTACGTGTGGTCGGTAACGCGAAGGTACGCCATCGGTACGGCGAAGACCATGCCAACGATCATCAGGCACTTCGACGATTCATATATCTGAAGCGCTGGTATAGCGGTATGTTCACAGAGGAATAATGAACTCACAAGATTGCAACTACATCAGCACGCCAGATGGCAGACGCTTGCCGCACCCACTGATTGCACAAATTTGTCTTTATGGTTCTTGATAAGAAATATAGATAGAACTCGTGCGATAAATTCATGTCCAATATGCACAGAAGCCAGTGAACGCAGCCAGCTTTGCGGGGTCGTTTGACATCGCGCCCATCAGTCAGTATGCACGTCTGCCACATTTGAATCTACGAAGCCATATAAGACCATGACCTAGACATGGTCAATCTTTTATCAGTATGCCAGCTTCTTCAGTGTCCTACGGAGCGCATTCGTTTTGTATACCTTCTACTGATCAAGGAAAATATTCACCGTACTCTTGTAATCGGTTCCGAATGCTACAGCAGAGTCCACAACCCCTCCAAGAATCAATATTACCGAACTGATACATATAAAACATGCCCTTCCGAGCCTTAGTAGGGTACGCCGCGGCCATCGTCAGAGAGCCCTGCGGGATCCAATGTAAAGCTGCGCAGATGCTAAGGATGACACCGGCCACGACAACAAAAGCACTCACACGCGCACTAGAATGGATGCTAACAACACTGAGACGAAATGATTCAGTGAAATCACAGGATCAATAAATACATAATCTTACAAAACGAGACAATTAGCCCCAAGTTCCAAACATAAAAATCTGCCAGGAGCAAGTACATTGTTGGAACTCCTCCACCATCAGGGCTAGTAAGCGCAATAAACATGCCCGAGCACATCACTGAGTGCTAATATCGACACCTGGGTGATGGGGTGGTAGTAGTATTTCATCCATCTCGTCGGACGGTCAGAAACCTGTGCGTGTTTAAAAACAGAGTCTTTGCTGCTGCAGTCAAGTTTGTCGACTTCTACGTGGGCCTTATGGCGGCGCCGCTGCCACAAAGTCTTGCCAATAAGATTCCAGACTCCCGGTGGTAAGTCAGGCCCTCTCAGCGAGATGGCAACTGTAGATTGACAATACCTATTTGTCCCGGGTCAGCTGCCAACCCTAGTATGTAGTACGGTATAGAAGCACAGAGGATGTTAGTCATTCCTTCCTTACCGGATCACACGGCGGCACCGTACTGTACGCCGGGGTCCCCAAGGACTACGTAAGTCGAATACTTATCGTCGACCACGATGGCAACCTCCTTTTCATCCTCCGATGTACACGTAGTAGCTGTCTGTCGATCTCGTTGGGATGACGACATGATAGATGTCGGTGGAGCCTGCTGCTGCAGGATGGATGGTGGAAGCGAAAAGAAAGTAGCAGATGCCAGAGGGGTGTCCTGGGGTCTTGAAGCTTGAACCGAACCCTGTGAATGCCGTGAGGGTGTTCGAACTTCTTTCAGAGTATACGTACTTAGCATCATAACAGCCTGAGGGTGCTCAACGTTCAACGTTCAACGCTCGAGATCTGGGTGTCCCAGCCGTAACTATCACAGAGTTATGCCATCAGGATTCAAATATTCAGTACTCAGTATTGACTCATGCATTTATCATGAAGCAGTGGTTTTGACCCCTCCGGGTCAGTGAAACCGAAGAGGCTTCGGTCTGCGACCGAATGTCATTTGAATGCCTATGGCTACTACCCTGAATCTGGTCAACTTACCAAGGGTCGGTCCAGGATCCAGGATAACGTTATATTTCTGTCTTTTTTTTTTTCAATCCACTGGTAACTCCAGCACCACCACCTACTCACCGCTCACCGCTCACTCAAGTCGCTTGAACGAGATTTATCTCGACTCTCAAGATGACAAGCCGCTCATTTAACCAGTCATTCCTTTCAATTACTTTAACACAGGGCAGCACAGACTCGTTCCGCAAGGGCAGCATCGAGACGAACTTTCATATAGAGGAAAAACAAGTTGCCGAAGAGCTCAAACCGGGAGAAAGAGCGCGCATTTTGCGCAAGCTCGATTGGCATTTGTTACCGTTCGTGTCGTTATTATACATGTTGTCATTCTTGTGAGTCTTTCAAACCCCTGCCTCATCTAGTATTGCTTCATTTTTTATGCTGCCTTCAGAGACCGGGCCAATGTCGGTAAGTTGTGGGATATGCACATTATATGTTCTATTCATCACCATTACCACTGGCAGGAAACGCGAAAGTCGCTGGCATGTCTCAAGACCTGCATTTGATCGGCTTCAGGTACAACATTGCTGCAGCCGTCTTTTTTGTGCGTGATATGCCATGGTCACTCCGCTCAACACTCACACGCCTTCTCTAGATACTGTATAGCTTTGCCGAGGTCCCCTCGTATGTTTAACATCAAGAATAACATGTCCATTCTCAATGTTTGTATAGGAACATCGCCCTGAAGCTATTCAGACCATCGCGCTGGAGTACGTTTACCACGACCTTGTTTGCCCCACCGCCTAATATTTAGTCCAGTACCGACTATCATGATTGCGTGGGGTCTCGTGATGACCCTTATGTGTCTCGTCGATTCATTTCGATCTCTTGTCGTGTGCGTAGAACTTACCCACATGGTGAAAACTGACACATTAAACTATGCGGCGGTAGAGCTCGACTGTTCCTAGGCTTGACAGAAGCAGGTTTGTTCCCTGGAGTGACCTACTACATCTCTCTCTGGTATCCACGATCTGAACAGTCCAAACGCATTGCCATATTCTTTTCTGCAGCGACAGTCGCAGGTATGCAACAATTTGTTCAGCGTCGAGTTCATGTATGTTCAAATTTTCTTTGTTATTAGGCGCTTTTGGAGGACTCCTAGCGTAAGTCTTCAAACTTCTCGATCAAGCCGCGCCGTTGGACTTGACCTTTTCACGCACAATAGGTATGGTATCGAGCATATGGAGGGGTAAGTAATCTGTTGCCATTGACAGACCATTGTTGATTCGTTGATTAGCATCGGAGGATTGCATGGTTGGCAATGGATTGTATGTTTCCATGTTTGTAGGCTGAGTTGGTTGTCACTCATTTCACGTGCACATCTAGTTCTTATTAGAGGGTATTGGTGAGTCTGCTGGGTCTGAGAGGTGATACCGACATTCATCTTCAATCAGCCACCCTTCTCGTAGCGTGTCTCTCGTTTTTCTTGATGCATGACGTGGGTTTGCGCATCTGTTGTGTTTTTCACTGAACCTTCACACTTCTTAGTATCCCGAAACGGCCAAGTTTCTGACCGAGACAGAGAGAGCATACGTGATAGACATGCTCAAACAGGATGCTAATAATCTCGCCACCCACTACCACATTCGTTTTGTCTTGCAGGCCATGAAAGATTACAAGACTTACATTCAAGTTCTTATCTACATGGGGTACTCCCTGCCTCATATTGTCTCATTCATGAGCTGAATCCTTCCATAGACTGCTCGTCCCTGTTTATGCCATCGCCCTTTTTACGCCAACTATCATAAACGAGCTCGGCTATTCTGCTGCCCATGCTCAGTTGCTCTCAGCCCCACCATTTCTCGCAGGATGTATTACCACAATCTCAGTTGGAGTCTTGTCCGACAAGTATCAAGTTCGTGGCCCATTTATCATCGGTGGCGCCGTCGTGTCTATTGTAGGATATATCTTGCTTTATTGTGATGGACCAGCGGGCATGTCGTATGCTGGGGTTTGTCTAGCTGCTATCGGTGTCTATCCGACCATCGCAGTCGACCTTGCTTGGGCAGGCTCGAATGCAGGAGGCGACCTGAAGCGTGGAGTTGTGATAGCGATGGTCATTGGCCTTGGAAATCTGGGAGGGTACGTCGTGTCATGACAGATATACGTCGTCCGCTCAACCCTATCTTAGCATTTGCTCCTCATTCATTTACATTGATCCGCCGAATTTCCACATTGGGCACGGCACTATGATGGGATTCCTCTTTCTCTCGTATGCTTCCTCGGTTTTTGGACTGGAATATTAACGACGAGTTTCCGCTACAGAATTTTGCTGAGCCTGTTCGCTATGTGGGACTATGGCCGGCTTAATAAAAAGAAGAAAGCGCAATGTCAAGCGCAAGGTCTTACTGATAGCAGAAGGGATGAATTCAAGGACATGGGCGATGCCAGTCCGTTGTTTAGGTGAGATCCATCGCTCCATCTACAACCTTCGCTGATCTGAGCATGTAAGGTATGCCATATAAAACATACGCCTACCTGAGCTGTCCTTTTCAATATCCCTTAATCGTCTATGTTATCTTCTAGAGTTATTATATACTTATCATTGTGGTTTAAATAATAGCTGAATTCCAGGACCTAGGTACTGGTCATAGCGAACTGCTTGGGGTTTCGAACCTGCGAAAGTTCTCACCAGGGGGGCTCGATGAGTGCTTGATCAGCGTCAGAGAAATGTTCAAATTGATTGGAAGTGACGGTGTGAATTCTCAAGGTAGTTAAGGCGTGGTAAAGAACAGCGAAATGCCCATGTGTCTGTAACATTGAGTTTGCGCGGACTCAGGAGAATTTAATATTTAATATGACGGACTGAAAAATGTTGGTCTCCGTAAACATTCACGTGTCTAAAACGAAACTGACAAACGAGCAACGACAAAAACTTGAGTAAATATTGTGTCGTCCATCGTTAGATGGGAAATAGATAATAGATTGACGCTTTTGTGACGGCTGTGACTTTAGCCAAGAAGCGAAGATTCAGGGTGTATTGCACAGCTGCCACGCAGAGGCGTGTTCAAGTTAGGGTATACAAGTTGACATGCAAGGAGGCGCCTACTAGTAAAACCAATAACTGCACTCATACACAACAATTCATCGCTCCTCAAGCTTGCCTCGAGTTCTTCGCTGCTAAAGCGCTAGTCCCTCGGTAACACCAAAATATCATCTGTATTTCCAGCTGTGATGACATTTGGCTTTACCAGGGGGCTCATCTTCGAATCATTGTCAGTGTCAGTCATATAATATACTGATACCGGAAGACCTCACCTGTGCACTTCTGAACGCTTCTAAAGCATACCTTGCCCGTACTACTTCCTCACGGAGACGCAGCCATGGCTTCCGCGTCGACGAAGGCAGCCACCACGAAATTGATACTGGAACCAGTAAAGACATTGAAGGGTCATGGAGATATCATTCGATCCATATCCTACTTTCCAGACGGCCAGCGGATGGTCAGCGGATCTCAGGACGAGACCGCTCGGCAATGGAATATGAAGGTGGGCAAGGAGATCGAGGGAGCGCGAGGTGTTTTCGAGGGGGCCGTATATGCGGTGGCAGTATCAAGGGATGGTCGATGGGTCGTCACTGCTGGCGGAGATGACGATCACGGGGTGCTGAAAGCCTTTGGGGTTGACACGGGAATTGTGAAAGCATTCGAAGGACACTCATCGGACATCCACTGCATTGATATCTCTGTGGGCAACACCCTGCTGGCGAGCGGGTCAGTTGATAAAACAGCGCGGATATGGAACTTGGAGACTGGCAAACTTGTAGCTGGTCCATTTGAGAGCATTGGTGATGTGGGCGCGGTTCGATTTTCCCCAGACTCGAAGAAGCTCGCAGTCAAGTTAGGCTGGGGGACATGCCTTGAGGTCTGGGATGTCCAATCACAGAAATTGGATGTGAGGATAGGGAAATCTGATAGAAGAGGAATCGCCTCATCACCAGTTTTCTGGACAAACAAAAACAAGACTAGTATCATCGCTGCATTCGATTCTGAATATTCTAAGCCGTTTCCCAACCTTGCCGAGACGATCTATGAGTTTGACGCGGTTACGCTGGAGACTGTCGGAGCTCACTTTGAAGGGCACACCAAGTTCATCACCGGTCTGGCACTTTCATTCGATGGAGCTCTCCTCGCTAGCTCTTCCTTCGACAACACCATCAAGCTCTGGGCTTTCGAATCGCGACAGCTCCTCGCCTCCTTTGATGTTCAGACCGTCAATACCCTTATCCTCTCATCCGATTCACGCCGACTAGTTTACACGACATACACCAATGATGACTACAAGATCTGCATCTGTGATACTCCACCTGACATCCTTACTCAGGCCCGTGTACGCATTCCCCGCAGACATGTGCTGTTCGTGTGCTAACATCCCACTTACAGGTTATTGCAGCCCACGGGGATATACTAAATGTGCGCATCTCATTCTTTTACTCATTATATCACTCACCCATCACTATCATTGCAGTCTGATGCAACTCGTCGTCCCCGTGCTGGGTACCGCCGACCACCGATATCCGCCATACCTATGGCGCCGAGACCTCCGCCTAGAAGAGACCCACAACAACCAACTTTCCTTCGCCTCAGCAATCTTCTTCGCTTCTCTCCTCGGGCTAACAGAGTCCCTGGTCGTCACATCCAGCCACGTGATCCTCTAGATGTAGGTCATGACTCTCATATCTCAGTTCTTTCACAGTTGACTCCATGATGGCACAACAGGTCCCTGCTACATTACCCCTACCATCCTCTCTCTCAGATCAGCTCGCAACTCAATTTGATCGTGTCAGTCTTCAATTTCTATAGTAAATGCAGTACATGATTGACTCAGTGTTTGTCCAGTTCGAAATAAGTTCGCCTCCCCGCTCGAACGGAGTCGTGCAATCCCTACGGCAGCATTTTTCTTTCCTTGTACCAAGACACAGTCATGGTCCACCAGTCGTTGAAGTTGCACCAGGGCGGAAGGTCACTGTAACGTACATTTTCCTACTTCTCAGTGCCTTTTGCTGATTTGTGCCCTACAGAGGCTTCTTGCTGCCAAATTACCGGAATACAAGAAAGTAGACGATACACGACATCCGTCTAGCCAACAGGCTACCGTGCCGCAGGAAAACGACACAGCTGAAATCGATTCGCTCCCAGATGTGCATTGGGTCAAGGCGTTCCTTTGCTATTACTCGTGTTGGTCTCATGGGAGACTGAGGATGCCTCCTCAGTGGCGCCTGGAGCGCGTTGACGTACCTCGCCAGGATAGTGCAGCAAATAGTAGCCGTGATGGTGCTCATGGTCGAAGTTAACTTCGTATGCACTCACCCACAACTTGTTGTACGCCATATCCTCCATAACTGATGTTTGTGTATTAATTATATGCTATCTGCAATACTTGTTGCGTTTTCCAAATTCCATCAGAAGATGAACTTCATCATATCCTCATCCTCACTGACGTCCAAGGCATCCCCCACACAATGTTGATCTGGTCAAGATCGAAATGACCTCATTGTACATCATCACGGACTGTACTTGGTGAGACAGGTGGAACATTTGTTTGCGTCAGGAGCCTCATTCGGATGTCTCTCAATTGCTTTCTCGTATATATCAGACCGTCGTCCAAATCAACCTTCTCTTCTTTCTACTTCCACTTGCCTCATACAATTTGTGTGAAACTCGATGGCACGACACCAAACCACAAAATTGGTACGATTTAACTATCGAGCATAATGCGATTCTTACTACCTGGTTGTGCATGGATTCGAGCAAGAGTCCTCTCTCACTCTCAGGTGAGTCTCTATGACAGCTGGCCTTCGAACCCTCTTTTTCCTGACAGCACCTCTTGAAATCGACTGGATGCCGAGTCCCGCTTTACCAATTACCACTTCCGCGTCGATCTTTCAATCTATCTCCACTTCTCTAGACCCTATTCTCATGATTTATCTGGCATGGTTTTGGAATCCGACCACCTCTCTTGCAGTCTCTTCGAGTTCCAATGGTTCGCACTCTCAAGTATCGCTTTGGACACTCGCCTGGCCGACCTGATCATTTCCCGTCAATGGATTTACACTTTTCGACGGACCTTACTCCTTTGCAACGCTAGCTTCGATCCTTCAACAAAAGTTCATGCTCAAATCGACTGGATCGACCCTGTCACATCGCATAGTTCGATGTTTGATCCCTGTGATCCGCTTATACTTTCTGAATGTCATTCGAGTTTTCGACCGAACTTCACACTTCGATCTGCATCTGTGACGCTCTACCCGACATCCTTGTTCAGGTCAACGTACGCATTCCCTGCAAATGTTCACCATTCGTGTGCCAACATTCTTTCAACAGACCACTACACGCAAAAGTCAACCTTCGGCCATCTACGAAAAGTACGCTCCTTATCATTTTACTCATTCCATCACTCATCCGTTGCTATTATTGCAGTCTGATGCAACTCGTCGTCTTTCTGCCGGGCACTTAGATGTGGAGAATGTTTATTGTCTGCAGGCTTCAGACAATCAAAATTTTCCATACCTATGACCCAGAGACTTTCGCCCACAATTGACCCGCAGCGACCCACTTTGCCTCGCCTCCGCAGACTTTTTCACTTCACTCCTCGCGCGAATGCAGTACACCCTGGAAGGAACGATAAATCTCAGGATCCCTTAGATGTGAGTCTCTTTCTCTTGTTTCTTTCACATTTTATTTGACACTTGTGCTGCAGCTCCCTGCTACATTACCCTTACCTCCCTGTCGCCTTCACAGAGGGAGCTCTTCATCGACTCCCTTGCCCGGTGGGAGGACCTTTTTCATTTCCATCCGGTCGTTGTCCGACAATGGGAAGCAAAAGGCGCATGAACACAAACGAAAAACTGCAAAAATAGTTGATATTCCACTCGGACAGGGTACATAGGTTTGTTTCTACTATTTCATTGGGTTCGTAAGGTTTGACCACTTCATTCGCTAGGCCGATATTGTTGGACGGCAGAACACGACCATACATTCTCTTATTTTGCCTCAGCTGGTTCCAGAAAAAGAGAAGAAGCGGGAACCACAGCCATTCTATGACGATGAGCTTGAGGACGACGAAGAGGAAAAAAAATGTTCTTCATCCAGTCACCGTGCCTCCTCACGGGTACACTAAACCTATTCGTTTACAAAATTAGTTCACTCGTGTGGTCTCCTAGGGTACAGCACGAAGAAATTGAATTGAAATCGGTGGCTAGTCAGTCATAGCCGGAGGCGGGACCATCTTGCATTGTGATAGCTGACGAACACCTAGAGGCGCAGTCTTTGTGAGTATTTCATCGGTTGAGCATTTCAACTGTCGAATCTTGCAGTGTACCTCCAACTTTACGATTTATTTTGGAAGAATAAATATAGTTGCATCCTCACTGAAGTGCATTGACGGGTGGGTGATATAGTTTAGATATTCAAGCTTGAGTGTTTGAAAAGAGAAGCCTGATATATCGACACCTGTCATCGACGCACATGCACTTGTTCTCCGCCCAGACGAGTAGCGGACTCAAGACAGTTTATATAATATGACAGAACGAAAATGTTCACGCGCCCAAAAAGATAAAGCTGGTGTATTGTGTCGTTCATCATTGGGTGGGACATAAATAGAGAATGCTTTAGTGATGGCAGTGGCTTTCAAGTTAGCCGTGGCTGTGAGCCAAGAAGCGATGATTTAGGGCGCAATGCACAGCTGCCATGCAGAGGCGGTCCGGGCGTGTTAGGTATATATATGCAAGGCGACGCCCAAAACCAATAACTGCACTGATACTCGGTAACACCAAAATGTCATTTGTATTTCCAGCGGCGATGGACTGACGTTTGGCTTTACCAGGGCTCATCTTCGAATCACTAGCAGTGTCAGTCATATAATATACTGACATCGGGAGACCTCACCTGTGCACCTCTGAACGCTTCCAAAGGATACCTTGCCCGTACTACTTCACGGTTTCACTCACGGAGACGCAGCCATGGCTTCCGGGTCAACCAAAGCGGCCACTATGAAATCGGTTCTAAAACCAGTAACGACTTTGAAGGGTCATGAAGATTTCATTGAATCCATATCCTACTTTCCAGACGGCCAGCGAATGATCAGCGGATCTTGGGACAAGACCGCTCGGCAATGGGATCTGAAGGCGGGCAAGGAGATTGAGGGGGCACAAGATGTTTTCGAGGGGAGTGTAAATGCGGTGGCAGTATCAAGGGATGGTCGATGGGTTGTTACTGGTGGAGTTGGGAGGCCGAAGGTGAAGGCCTTTGAGGTTGAGACGGGGATTGTGAAAACATTCGAAGGACACTCAGATATGATCTTGAGCATCGACATCTCTGCGGACGACACCCTGCTGGCCACGAGCGGGTCATTTGATGGAACAGCGCGGATATGGAACTTGGAGACTGGCAAACTTGTGGCTGGTCCATTTCAGAGCAATGGTTACGTGACCGCGGTTCGACTCTCTCCAGACTCGAAGAAGCTCGCAGTCGGGATAAATATGGGGACGTGCCTCGATGTATGGGATGTCCAATCACAGAAATTGGATGCGACGATAGGGAATCCCAACCATAGAAGAGGAGGAATCATACCATTGCCGATTTTCTGGACAAACAAAAACAAAACCATTGTAGCCACATTCAATTTCAATTTCACCGGTGTGACAGATGCGGATGATCATGACGCCAAGACAATCTACGAGTTTGATGCCGTTACGCTGGAGACTGTCGGAGCTCCTTTTGAAGGGCACACAAGGAAGATAGGTGGTCTAGCACTTTCATTCGATGGAGCTCTCCTCGCTAGTGCTTCCTGGTTCGACGAGCCCATCAAGCTCTGGGCTTTCGAGTCGCGACAGCTCCTTGCCTCCTTCGACGTTCACAATGTCTGTGCCCTTATTCTCTCATCTGATTCACGCCAACTAGTTTACACGACAAACGGCAAAGACGACCACAAGATCTGCATCTGTGATACTCCACCTGACATCCTTACTCAGGCCCGTGTACGCATTCCCTGCACACATATGCTTTTCGTGTGCTAACATTCTGCTTACAGATTATTGCACCCAAAAGTCAGGCCACAGGGATATACTAAATGTGCGCATCTCATTCTTTACTCACTATACCACTCACCCATCACTATCATTGCAGTCTGATGCAACTCGTCGTCCTCTTGCTGGGCACCGCCGACCACCGATATCCGCCATACCTATGGCGCCGAGACCTTCGCCTACAAGAGACCTGCAACGTCCCACCTTCCTTCGCCTCAGCAAATTCCTCCGCCTCTCTCACGAATGGAGCGTGCCCTGATCGGAAGGATCAATCTCGTGATCCACTAGATGTGAGTCTCATTCTCTGGTTTCTTTCAGTTCACTCAACACTCGCGCCGCAGTTCCCTGCTACATTGCCCTTGCCTCCCAATCACCTTCATGGAAAAACTGCTCCGCCGACTCTCTTGCCCGGTAGGGCCTTTTTCAATTCTATTCGGTCCTCATCAGACAAGGGAAAACAAAAGGCGCGTGAACCCAAACGAAAAACTGTAAACGTTCCACTCGGACAAGCTACCTATGTTTGTTTTCTACAATTCTGTTGCGTTTGTGAGATCTGACTGCTTCATTCACTAGGGCGACGTTGTCGGTGTGGATGACGGAAGACGACCATTTGTTCTCTTCTTTTGCCTCAGCTGGTTCCAGAAAAAGGAGATGAAGCAGGAACCACGCCCAGTCTATGATGACGAACTCGAGGACGATGAAGAGGAAAATGCTCTTGGTCCAGTCGCCCTACCTCCTCCCAGGTATGCAAAATATATTCGTTCACAAAGTTCATTCACTAACAGTCTTTTAGGGTCCAGCACGAAGAAATCGAGTTGAAAACGATGACTAGTCAATCACGGTCAGAAGCAGGACCATCTCGCCTTGTAGTAACCGACCACTTGGAGGCCCAGTCTTCATAAATATATTATTCGTTGAGCTGTCATCTGTCGATTTTCGCGTTTTACCTGAGCTTTATGACCGTTCTGTGTAACATGACTTGTTTTGGAAAAATAAACGTCGTCGCACCCTCCATTGACGTGCAGGTGATGCCATTCAAGCTTGGGACGGGAAATTTGAAAAGGGAAGCCTGAAATATCTACGTCTGTCATCAATTGACATGCGCTTGTTCTCCGCCTAGACTGGCATTTCAGAATCTCCGGTCACTGTCAACAAACCTAGCCTCTGCCAATGATACATCACGTCTGTACCCCAGAGTATACGTACTTGGTGGGTGTCCCGTAACTATCAGAGTTATGCCGCCTATCAGTATTGACTCATTCATTTATCCATGAAGCAGTGTTTTAACCTCTCCGAGTCACTAAAATCGGAGTCGACACTTTGGTCTGCGACCGAATGAACATTTTAATGCCCATGGCTAGCCGCTACTACCATGAATCTGGCCAACTTACCAAGGGTCGGTCCAGGATCGATAACGTTATATTTCTGTCTCTTTTTGTTTCTTCCACTGGCAACTCCAGCACCACCTACTGACCGCTCACTCAAGTCGCTTGAACGAGATTTCTCTCGACTCTCAAGGCGACAAGCCGCTCATTTAATCAGTCATTCCTTTCAATTACTTTAACACATGGTAGCACAGACTCGTTCCGCAAGTGGGCGAACTTTCGGATACAGGAAAAACAAATTGTCGAGGAGCTCAATCCGGGATAAAGAGCGCGCATTCTGCGCAAGCTCGATTGGCATTTGTTACCGTTCGTGTCGTTATTATACATGTTGTCATTCTTGTGAGTCTTTCAAACCCCTGCCTTGTCTAGCGTTGCTTCATACTTTATGCTGCCTTCAGAGACCGGTCCAATGTCGGTAAGTTGTGGGATATGCACATTATACTTTCTATTCATCACCATTCCCACTAGCAGGAAACGCGAAAGCCGCTGGCATGTCTCAAGACCTGCATTTGATCGGCTTCAGGTACAACATTGCTGCAGCCGTCTTTTTTGTGCGTGATATGCCATGGTCACTCCACTCAAACTCACATGCCTTCTCTAGATACTGTATAGCTTTGCCGAAGTCCCCTCATATGTTTAACATCAAGATTAACATGTCCATTCTCAATGTTTGTATAGGAACATCGCCTTGAAGCTATTCAGACCATCGCGCTGGAGTACGTTTGCCTTAACCTTGTTTCCCCACTGCCTGATATTTAGTCCAGTACCGACTATTATGATTGCGTGTCTCGTGACCGAATTTCCACATTGGGCACGGCACTATGATGGGATTCCCCTTCCTCTCGTATGTCTCCTCAGTTTTTGGACTGGAATATTAATGACGAGTTTCTGCTACAGAATTTTGCTGAGCCTGTTCGCTATGTGGGACTATGGCCGGCTTAATAAAAAGAAGAAAGCGCAATGTCAAGCGGAAGGTCTGACTGACAGCAGAAGGGATGAATTTAAGGACATGGGCGATGCCAGTCCGTTGTTTAGGTGAGATCCATAACTAGTACTCATCCATAACCTTCGCTGATCTGAGCATGTAGGTTATGCCATATAAAACATACGCCTACCTGAGCTGTCCTTTTCAATATCCCTTAATCGTCTATGTTATCTTCTAGAGTTATTATATTACTATCATTCATTTGTGGTTTAAATAATAGCGGAATTCCATGACCTAGAATAGGTACTGATCATAGCGGACTGTTTGGAAAAGCGAAGCAAGCCGGGAGCGTCCAGCAGAGAGTCGCGAAGCAGACCACATCCTCAGCACCCGCTGCAGTCACCCGTCTCCTACGATAAGGGTCTGTTAGCTAGGGCAAGAGGGACGCTAGGTGACGGGGGATAGCAGCAGTTTCGAACCTGCGAAATTTCTCGTCAGGGGGTTCGATGAGCGCGTGATCTCAGCATCAGAGAAACGTTCAAAGATTGGAAGTGACAGTGAATTCTCAAGGTAGTTAAGGCACGGTAAAAGAAAGGAGAAATGTCCAGGTGTCTGTAACATTGTGTTTGTGCGGACTCAGGACACTTTAACAAGACGGAATGAAAAACGTTGGTCTCCGTAAACGTTCACGCGTCCAAAGCGAAACTGACGAACGAGCAATGATAAAGCTTGAGTATGGCGTCGCCCATTGATGGGTGGCAAATAGAGAATAGATTGACGCTTTAGTTATGGCAATGACTTTGGCCATGGCTGTGAGCCAAAAAGCGAAGAGAAGCAAATGAGATGAAATGGAAGGATTCAGGGCGCAATGCACAGCAGAGGGTGTATGAGAATATATATATGCAAGGCGACGCCTAAAACCAACAGCTGCACTCGCACTCAACAATTCATCACCCCTCAAGTTCTTCGCTGCTAAAGCACTAGTCTCTCGGTAACACCAAAATGTCATCTGTATTTCCAGTGGTGATGGACTGACAATTGGCTTTACCAGGGGGCATATCTTCGAACCACTGTCAGTGTCGGTCATATAATATACTGATAGCGGGAGACCTCACCTGTGCACCTCTGAACGCTTCCAAAGGATACTTACCTTGCCAGTACTAATTCACGGTTGCACTCACGGAGACGCAGCCATGGCTTCCGCGTCGACGAAGGTGGCCACCACAAAATCGATTCTGAAACTGGTAACGACTTTGAAAGGTCATAGAGATCAGATTCAATCGATATCCTACTTTCCAGACGGCCAGCGAATAATCAGCGGATCTTTGGACAAGACCGCTCGGCAATGGAATCTGAAGGCGGGCGAGGAAATTGAGGGAGCGCAAAGTGTTTTCGAGGGGACGGTATATGCGGTGGCAGTATCAAGGGATGGTCGATGGGTTGTCACTGGTGGTGGAGATCATAGGAGGGCGGAGCTGAAAGCCTTTGAGGTTGAGACGGGGATTCTGAAAACATTCGAAGGACACTCACAGATGATCTTCAGCATTGATATCTCTGCGGACGACACCCTGCTGGCCACGAGCGGGTCATTTGATGGAACAGCGCGGATATGGAACTTGAAGACTGGCAAACTTGTTGCTGGTCCATTCAAGAGCGTTGGTGACGTCACCGCGGTTCGATTCTCCCCAGATTCAAAAAAGCTCGCAGTCGGGATAAATGAGGGAACGTGCCTTCATGTATGGGATGTCCAATCACAGATATTGGATGCGAGCATAGGGAATCCCAACTATCAAGGAAGAGCAATCAGATCCCCATTGCCAATTTTCTGGACAAACAAAAACAAAACCATCGTAGCCACATTCGATTTCAATTTCGCTGGTGTGGCAGATTCTGAATATCCGGATGGTGTCCCACATGCCAAGACGATCTACGAGTTTGACGCGGTTACGCTGGAGACTGTCGGAGCTCTCTTTGAAGGGCACATCAATCGCATCACCGGTCTAGCACTTTCATTCGATGGAGCTCTCCTCGCTAGCGCTTCGGGAGAGAACACCATCAAGCTTTGGGCTTTCGAGTCGCGACAGCTCCTTGCTTCCTTCGACGTTCGAAATGTCTTTGCCCTTATTCTCTCATCCGATTCACGCCAACTAGTTTACACGACAAACACCAAAGACGACTACAAGATCTACATCTGTGATACTCCACCTGACATCCTTACTCAGGCCCGTGTACGCATTCCCCGCACACATCTGCTGTTTGTGTGCTAACATTCCACTTACAGATTATTGCACACAAAAAGTCAGCCCACAGGAATATACTACATGTGCGCATCTTATTATTTTACTCATTATACCACTCGCTCACCCATCACTATCATTGCAGTCTGATGCAACTCGTCGTCCTCCTGCTGGGCATCGCCGACCATCGATATCCGCCATACATATGGCGCCGAGACCTCCACCTATAAGACAGCCGCAACCACCCCACTTTTCTTCGCCTCAGCAAATTCCTTCGCTTCTCTCCTCGCGCGAACGCAGTCCCTGTTCGTCACATCCAATCTCGTGATCCTCTAGATGTAGGTTGCGACTCTCATATTTCACTTTCTGACAGTTGACTCCATGATGGCACAACAGGTCCCTGCTACATTGCCCCTACCATCCTCTCTCTCAGATCAGGTCCCAACTCGATTTGATCGTGTCAGTCTTCAATTTCTATAATAAATGCGCAACATGTGATTGACCCAGTGCTTGCCCAGTTCGAAATAGGTTCGCCTCCCCGCTCGAACGGAGTCGTGCAATTCCTACGGCAACATCTTTCTTTCCTCGTACCCCAACACAGCCATGGTCCACCAGTCGTTGAAGTTGCGCCAGGGCGGAAGGTCACTGTAATGTAATTTTCTTACTTCTTAGTGCCTTTTCGTTCATCTGTGCCCTACAGCGGCTTCTGGCTGCCAAACTACCGGAATACAAGAAAGTTGACGATACTCGACATTCGTCTAGCCAACAGGCTACCGTGCCGCAGGAAAACGACACAGCTGACAACGATTCGCTCCCAGATGTGCATTGGGTCAAGGCGTTCCTCTGCTATTACTCGTGTTGGTCTCATGGCAGACTGAGGATGCCTCCTCGGTGGCGTCTGGAGCGCGTTGACATACCTCGCCAGGATGGTGCAGAAAATAGTAGCCTGTGATGGTGCTCATGGTCGTAGTTAACTTCGTATGCACTCATCCACATTTATTGTACGATATATCCTCCATGACTGATGTTTTAACACTCGTGTATTGATCATATGCAATCTGCAATGCGTGCTGCGTTTGCCAAATTTTATCAGAAGATGAACATCATATCCTCATCCTCGCTGACGTTATCACCCAAAGATTGTTGATCTGGTCCACACCCTCATTGAACATCGTCACAAACTGCATTTGGTGAGACAGGTGGAACATTTATTTTCGTCAGGAGTCTCATTCGGATGTCTCAATTGCTTTCTCCCACATATCAGGCCGTCGTCCAAATCAACCTTTTCTTATTTCTTCCACTTGCCCCACATCATTTAGACCTCCAACTTCATACAATTTGTGTACACCGAACCACAAAATTGGGAAGATTTAACTGTCGAGCAGGATGCGACTCTTATGACCCGGTTGTCTATGGATTTCAGGAAGAGGACTGTCACTCTCAGGTGAGCCTCTATGACAGCTGGCCTTCGAACCCTCTTTTTCCTGATAACACCTCTTGAAATCGACTGGATGCCGAGTCTCGCTTTTCCAGTAACCACTTCCGTGTCGATCTTCCAATCGATCTCCACTTCTCTAGACCCTATTCTCATGGTTTATCTGGCATGGTTTTGGAATCCGACCACCTCTCTTGCAGTCCTTTCGAGTTCCAATGGTTCGCACTCTCAAGTATCGCTTTGGACACTCGCCTGGCCGACCTGATCATTTCCCGTCAATGGATTTACACTTTTCGACGGACCTCACTCCTTTGCGACGCTAGCTTCGATCCTCCAATCCTTCAACAAAGGTTTATGCTTAAAGTCAACTGGATCAACCCTGTCACCTCGTATGGTTCGATGTTTGGTCCTTGCGATCCGCTTGTACTTTTTGAATGTCATTCAAGTTCATCCGACCGAACTTCACACTTCGATTTGCATCTGTGACGCTCTACCCGACATCCTTGTTCAGGCCAGTGTACGCATTGCCTGCAAATGTTCGCCACTCATGTGGTAACATTCCCTTAACCGACAACTACACGCAGAAATTCAACCTTTAGCCATCTACTAAAAGTACGCTCCTTATCATTTTACTCATTCCATCACTCATCCGTTGCTATCATTGCAGTCTGATGCAACTTGTCGTCCTTCTTCCGGGCACTGCAGATACCCGATATTTTCCAATACTATGACCCAAAGACTTCCACCTATAATTGACCTGCAGCAACCCACTTTCCTTTGCCTCCGCAAAAAATTTCACTTCACTCCTCGCGCGAATGGAGTACACCCTGTTGGGAACGATTAATCTCATGATCCTTTAGATGTGAGTCTCTTTCTCTCTCTTGTCACATTTGATTTGCCACTTGGGCTGCAGTTCCCTGCTACATTACCCTTACCTCCCTGTCGCCTTGACAGAGGGAGCTCTTCATAGATTCCCTTGCCCAGTGGTAGAGCCTTTTTCAATTCCATCCGGTCGTTGTCCGACAATGGGAAGCAAAAGGCGTATGAACCCAAACGCAAAACTGCAAAAGTAGTCGATGTTCGACTCGGACAAGGTACATAGGTTTGTTTCTACTATTCCATTGGGTTCGTGAGTTTTAATCACATCATTCGCTAGGCCGATGAACCATGGCATATAAGAACTTGTGAGAGGGTGAAGCAATTGCAGCTCAGGACATCGGTCGAGACAAATCCTAAAGTTGAGTAGAGATAGGCCCTGGATGACAAGAAGTCTGACTACACTTACGGTCAAAGAAGAGGCAAACAACTGTTGTGCGCTTTTGAGCACATGAACTAGTAATGCATGCGGATATGATGGAATGAGACTTCTCGAGTGGCTGTCCGAACGTTCTTGCGAGATAAGTCAAGAAAGGTTCGATTAAGGTGGGGATAACTCCCGTCCAATTTCCATAGAGCTTTTGTGATGTCTTGTCAGAGAGGATACGACATTGGGACTCAATTGGTTGCATCTTGTCGGACTGATTCAGAAAGGGCTGATGTTGAAGTTCAGGTTTATCATGATCCGATTCATACACCCATTCATCGCCATCGTTCGATCTGTCTATAGTCATGTCAACATTAGAACTGGTCAAATTGAGTGCAGGGGCAGCAGTTGGCTCTGTTGAGCTTGCATTGACGAGTGCTTCCATACATAGGGCAAGCTCGCAACGTTTGATATCCGCACCAGGGATATTGACGAATGTTTGAGTTTTTCTTTTGTCTCGAGACTTGCGGGGACTGATGAAATGTTTCCCAAGCCCCCGGCTGGAGGCTGACACTTGGTCTGCACGGCGCATTATTGCTGGGGAGTGGTGAGTGGGGTGAATGTCGACCAATAGACTCAAACTGCATTTAACATTATACTGCATACTAAGACCACATGGATGCAGTAATGATGGTAGCAGCCTGCATGGTACCTCATGGTACTTAGTAATCACAACACGAAGTGGGTGCATGAGACTTCCATTAAAAAGCCATCATGATAATACTAGTAGTTGTACTTACTAGGTGCACACTGCACTTAACGCTGGACGAAGTATAGCGCTTTTAGAGGCCTATTGGGAGGGTTAATGTAGGCGCGTAGGGAGGTACTGGAGGCCCGCGAGGAAATGCGAGAGTATAAAATTATAATTAGATGACGGTTTGAGTAGTGCTAGAGGCCTATTGGGAGGGCTACTAGAGGCGCGCAAGGAGGTGCTGGAGCCCGCGAAGGAATGCGAGAGCATGAACTATAATTAGATGGTGGGAGGGTGGGTCTCGGAGACTAGTTTCCCATAACATAGAAACCGGGTCTCTTAGACCCTATATAGGCCCCGAGAAGTGCTGCCTGAGGTGCATATGCAAGGGGGTGCCTGCTAGTAAAACCAATAGCCGCACTCACACTCAACAATTCATCGCTCCTCAAGTTCTTCGCTGGTAAAGCGCTAGTCTCTCGGTAACACCAATATATCTATATTTCCAGCTGTGATGGACTGACATTTGGCTTTACCAGGGGGCTCATCTTCGACTCACTGTCAGTGTCAGTCATATAATATACTGATACCGGGAGACCTCACCTGTGCACCTCTGAACGCTTCCAAAGGATACCTTGCCCGTACTACTTCACGGTTACACTCACGGAGACGCAGCCATGGCTTCAGCGTCGACAAAGGCGGCCACCACGAAATCTATTCTGAAACCGGTAACGACTTTGAAGGGTCACAGAGATGACATTCGATCCATATCCTACTTTCCAGATAGCCAGCGAATGATCAGCGGATCTCACGACAAGACCGCTCGGCAATGGGATCTGAAGGCGGGCAAGGAGATTGAGGGAGCGCGACATGTTTTCGAGGGGACGGTATATGCGGTGGCAGTATCAAGGGATGGTCGATGGGTAGTCACTGGTGGTGGAGATTGGAGTACTGGTGGGGCGGAGCTGAAAGCATTTGAGGTTGAGATAGGGACTGTGAAAACATTCGAAGGACACTCACATCCGATCCTCTGCATTGATATATCTGCGGACAACACCCTACTGGCGAGCGGGTCATTCGATGAAACAGCGCGGATATGGAACTTAGAGACTGGCAAGCTTGTCGCTGGTCCATTCAAGAGCATCGGCGGCGTGGGCGCAGTTCGATTCTCCCCAGACTCAAAGAAGCTCGCAGTCGAGTTAGATTGGGGGAAGTGCCTCGAAGTCTGGGATGTCCAATCACAGAAATTAGATGTGAGGATAGGGAATCCCAAGAATCATGATGGAGGATTCCTGTCATCGCCAGTTTTCTGGACAAACAAAAACAAAACCATCATAGCCACATTCACATTCAATTTCACCGCTGATATGGATCTGAATGACAATGCCAAGACAATCTACGAATTTGGCGCAGTTACACTGGAGACTGTTGGAGCTCCCTTTGAAGGGCACACCAAGAGGATTCGTGGTCTAGCACTTTCATTCGATGGAGCTCTCCTCGCTAGCGCTTCCTATGATGACACCATCAAGCTCTGGGCTTTCGAGTCGCGACAGCTCCTCGCCTCGTTCGACGTTCAGAATGTCCCTGTCCTTATCCTCTCGTCCGATTCACACCAACTAGTTTACACGACAAACACCCAAGATGACTACAAGATCTACATATGTGATACTCCACCTAACATCCTTACTCAGGCTCATGTACGCATTCTCCGCGCACATCTGCTGTTCGTGTGTTAACATTCCGCTTACAGGTTATTGCACGCAAAAAGTTAGTCCACAGGGATATACTAAATGTGCGCAATGCGCATCTCATTCTTTTACTTATTATACCACTCGCCCATCACTGCTATCATTACAGTCTGATGCAACTCATCGTCCTCCTGCTGGACACCGCCGACCACCGATATCCGCCATACCTATGGCTCCGAGACTTCAGCCTACAAGAGACCCGGAACACCACACTTTCCTTCGCCTCAGCAAACTCCTTCGCTTCTCTCCTCGCGTGAACGCAGTCCCTGTGCGTCACATCCAACCCCGTGATCCTCTAGATGTAGGTGTGACTCACATATCTCAGTTCTTTGACGGTTGACTCCACGATGGCACAACAGGTCCCTGCTACATTACCCCTACCATCCCCTCTCTCAGATCAGGTCGCAACTCGATTTGATCGTGTCAGTCTTCAATTTCTGTAGTAAATGCGCAACACGTGATTGACCAAGTGCTTATCTAGTTCGAAATAAGTTCGCCTCCCCGCTCGAACGGAGTCGTGCAATTCCTACGGCAACATCTTTCTTTCCCCGTACCCCGACACAGCCATGGTCCACCAGTCGTTGAAGTTGCACCAGGGCGGAAGGTCACTGTAATCTAATTTTCTTACTTCTCAGTGCCATTTCGTTCATATGTGACCTACAGCGACTTGCTGCTGCCAGGACTACCGGAATACAAGAAAGCAGACGATACACGACATCCATCTAGCCAACAGGCTACCATGCCGCAGGAAAACGACACAGCTGACATCGATTCGCTCCCAGACGTGCATTGGGTCAAGGCGTTCCTCTGCTATTACTCGTGTTGGTCTCATGGGAGACTGAGGATGCCTCCTCGGTGGCGCCTGGAGCGCATTGACATACCTCGCCATGATGGTGCAGCAAATAGCAGCCGTGATGGTACTGACGGTCGTAGTTAACTTCGTATGCACTCATCCACATTTATTGTATAATGTATCCTCCATAACTGATATTTTAACACTCATGTATTGATTATATGCTATCTGCAATGCTTGCCGCGTTTGCCAAATTTCATTAGAAGATGAACATCATATCCTCATCCTCGCTGACGTCATACCCCAAAGATTGTTGATCTGGTCCACACCCTCATTGAACATGATCACAAACTGCACTTGGTGAGACAGGTGGAACATTTGTTCCCGTCAGGTACCTCATTCTGATGTCTCTCAATCGCTTTCTCGCACATATGAGGCCGTCGTCCAGATCAACCTTCTCTTCTTTCTTCCACTTGCCCCACTCATTCAGACCTCCAACTTCATACAACATGTGTACACCGAACCACAAAATTGGTAAGATTTAACTGCCGAGCAGGATGCGACTCTTACTACCCGGTTGTGCCACAAGTAGCTGGGGGAATGATGTATCACTTACTCGTACTATAGCGAATGTGTGATACACGAATGACTCTAAGCTGCAGGACCCGGTGATTCATCATACCGCTTGACTTTACAGTCCGAGTCAGTGCCGTGGCCTGAAGTTCTATACTATGTTACTAATCATAGAACCGTTTCTCGATCTCATGACAGATCTCGGTGCCTTGTGAACGTCAACCGGTTCCTAGTCATTTGGTTCTTAGTTGATCACGAACTTCTGATGGGCCGGTGATACAACAAGCTACAAATCATGATGTATTAATAAGCTACAGATCGTCGTGTATCAGGAAAACAACCGGTTGCTTATCTCACTTTATTTGTCACTTAATTAGGTGAAAAGAAGTATTAAGTCATTTGAGCGAAAAAGCGCGAGCCACCTAATTAAGCTCACTCCATCTCTGAATTTTCGCTTATTCAACACTTATTTTGCTTAAAAAACCAGATAAAGCAGCACAAGTCTTTCATAAAAAGGGGCATACTACACGATAAGCGGAAAATTAAGGAAACTCGCTAATATGAAAAGTGAGACAGCAGTACAGGAAAAAAAAAGGGGGGGCATGTGGGAGCAAATAGAGCAGTGGGAACAAATGGAGCAGTGGCAGATGCAGTAAAAAAAATTTGAAGATGATAGCGACAGCCTGGAGTTCGACGTAGGATAGTGAAAATTGTGCAGACACAACAAATAGAAAAATCCCGAGGTCATGAATGTCAGTGAGATGAAACCTGAATGATAATGACTTACAAAGCATAGCGTGCTCATCGTCCTCGGACTCCTCATCATCAAATGAGCCCTGTGCTGGATCCATCATGTCGTTCAAACCACGCATTATAAAGTGCCTGCACTGCCCAGTACCTTGGCGGTGTCAGACGTAAAATTGCTACATGCAGTTTTACACGTCAGTGCAAGAGATTAGTCAATTGCGCACCAATGTGGTGCAAAACTCATAACAGATACTTAGACTTGAATAATAGGACATGTGTAACTGCTGTGCATGATCAGATTCGAGTTTAAGTTGAGTTTAATAGAGTGACTCAATAGCTGAGCGACATACCTGCTCTTCAGGAAGAATTTGACATGGTGTCTGGAGGACCAGTGGCAATGGAGGTAAAGATATGGTGGATGAGAGACGAGAGTGACATACCTGCTCTTCAGGAAAAATTGGACGTGGTGTCTGAATCTGGAGTTAGATTCAGAGATACAGTGAATGGGAGACGAGAGCGACATACCTGCTCTTCGGGAAAAATCGGATGTGGTGTCTGAATCTGGAGCTAGATTCAGAGATACAGTAAACGAGAGACAAGAGCAACATACCTGCTCTTCTAGAAAAATCGGATGTGGTGTCTGAATCTGAAGTTAGATTCAGAGATGGAATAAATAAGAGACAAGAGCGACATACCTGCTCTTTGGGAAAAATCGGACGTGATGTCTGAATCTGGATTCTGGAGTCAGCGTGGATGATTGACGAGAGCGATTCAGACATACATACCTGCTCTTCAGGAAGAATCGGACATGGTGTCATTCTTGGTGATGATAATGCTAGGAGGGGGGGGGTAGGGGTGGCGCAGCAGCCCAGCGGATGATGAATGGTAGCTGATGGGAGAATCGCCTAGATGATGTTTCATAGACGTTCGTGGAACCTTAGCTGGAGGAGGCATTTGCTCAGCAGCTGGCGAGAAATGTCAACGTTGCTGCAAGTTAATCAGCGCCTATCTGGGGTTGTACTGAGTATTCTTACATTGCCCTGCTTTTCATCTGTTCTCGTTGTTCCATCAGGCCGCAATTCAGAGTCCCTTGTTATGGGGAGAGGGCCACCATGTGGTTGTTGGATGGTGGTTCATGATATAGATAGTGATATATCATTGATTGAAGTTGTGGTTGGTGAACTGTCAGGACTATAACTATGTTGTTGTGATCTTAGGAATAAGGACAAGTGTGAACGACCTCGTGAAGACATATGAGAGTAGTAAGATTCAGGAGAGCAAGAGCGCGATCGCGTCCCCACAGGTGATGGTGATCTGGAGGGTGGTACCATTTTCGGTTCAACAAGGGAGGTGTGGGCAGGGTTGGCAGGTAAGGGATGGAACTCCCGTCTCTGCCAGTTGTGAACAAAACAATATGAGAATGCGAGAGATAGCACAATATCAAACACAATGCACTTATTCAGGTCATCGTCATCGTCATTTCAGCACTGCTCTCTCTCCCACTCCTGATCTCTCTCCTTCTCCATCCCAATCGCCACGTGCTTGCCATCCGGGCCCATGTTCCCAAGACCATTCATCCTTGGGTGGCTCCTCTTGAGAATCCTGCATCCGAGGTTGCCTTGGTGAGTGTCCTAACCATTGTCTTGCTGTTGAACCTTTCGGTTATTACGACAGTGGTTGTGGTTATTGTTGGTGGTGGTGATGCAAAAGGGATGTAGGAGTCAGGTTGTTGAGAATGCAGATGAGAGCAAGGTAGGCGACCACCGATAATTTGGATTTGCGACTCACAGAACAAGATCAAACTTGGATCACTACACAAAGTCGATAGTGCACACAGGATTTTTGACCTCCTTGCACCATCTTGGGTAACCGGGCCAAGCCATCTGTTGAGCCAGACACTCGTCAACTTGGCGCATGGCTGTGTTCAGACTGGGCGCCTTCAGCCCATGAGACATGCAGAGGCGGTCCATCGTCCTCAATGTTGTCAATATTGCCACGCTTGCACCTCGATCTGGTGTGAGAAGCGTGCATGGTTAGTGTTCAAATGTCAGCGTTGAAGTGCTTGAGAGGTGGGTGATTCAGAGACGGGTGGTAGAAGTAAAGATGTGAAGATAGACTGAACAGCTTGGCAAAAATGAATGCAAACGAATGTTCAAATCATGGCGTACTACATAGAATCATAGTTTGACTAGTCTATTACTGAGGAATGTATTAGCAGAGCGCCTCAAGGTCAAAGAGACAAAAGACTTACCTGAAAGCGGAATTGATCAGATGTGCACTGGATGACCCGCCTGCTGATGCATCTCCCTTACACGAAGAAACATGTCTGTGTCGACAGTGTTGACAACGAGGTAATCAAGGGGGTTGCCACCTGAATCCTGTACTAGGAGTGCCCCACGAATGATTGATCGTACTGAGAAGAACTCGGCCTTTGTGCGTGGTTGTGCACAAACTCTGAAAAGGTTAAGCTGCTTGTCCTGTTGAAGTCATGGCCCTGTCAGAGTGTCAAAGGGGTGGATGAGAGTGAGGGGAAATAAGCCATTCCCAATGGCGCATTGAAAAAGGAAGACTAAATGTCCGAGGATGACGCCATTCTGTGTCCGGATGAAGACACAGTCATAATGCGGCGCATTGAAGAACTGAGGGCTGCACCGGAGATAGTCGGTATTCTGTTTCCAGTCTACCAGGGATTCGTAGTTGATGTGTAAGAATTGATACTCGGTAACCTGTTTCAAATGAATCAAATCAGTAGAGTAACAAAAGGCTGGATTGAACAAACGTACAGTATCATCTGATTGTAAGTGGATTCTTCTTCCATTTGGCAGTGGAATGTTGCAGGCAGGTAGAAAGATGTTTAAGAATGCATTCAGCTTGATGCGAAAGTTAGTGAATTCGACACGGGTCTTTTGCGCATTCTCGATGGAACAGAAAGTCTGCACAGCTTGTCTTGATCCCATTCTCACATGTTGTGATGGATCTAAAGTACTATCCACGCCGATGTCGGTATTTTCATCGTCATCTAACGAATCGTCATCCTCCGAGTTGCCATCTGATTTCCGCTGCAAATATTCATCAAAGTCCGAAATACGACAATCAATGTCATCAGCTACAAGTATCCAGTGGTCGATGCGAAGGATCTGATTATCATTATGTAGATAATATGCACAGGATAATTAGTAGGGAATCACGAATGCCATTGATGCTTACCTGCTCCGCAACATTTTTGAAGTTTGTCCGGTTCAAGTACCAGTCCTTCAAGGGCCCGTGCATTTGCTCATACGGTTTGGTGTTGTAATTGCGTGTGGCGCCTTTAGCCTCGATGTCGTTGAATATATGTGTCGTCATGTGCAGTTTCGGAAAGTTCCAATTCTTCATGTTGTCATCAGTGGTTTGTGTCATGTATTGCTGCTGATGTGTCAAGGTAGGGTTATCAAACTAACTACAATTTACATACCTTCATGAGTGCTGTGAACGCTTGGACAGTATGTCTCCCCTCCTTGATTGTATTTGTTGTGTGAACCTCCAGAGCAGCATACATGTCCATCTCGAGGTAAAGGCATACACACCGTAAGAGAAAATAACCGAGTGGAGAATCATTCTCGGTCAAGACATCATGGGTAGCGTAAATTATCATCTGAAAGAGAAAGTGTTAGTAGCCAGAGTAACCACATGAGTTTACAAACCTTAGAAATATCTTCATGGACGGAGCTGTCTATAAATGTAATGCCGATGACCTGGTTTGGGTGCTTGAGATTTCGCCAGCACAGAAATTGTTTGAATCTAATACATATAAGATTAATATCGAGCATCAGATAAGGGACGACTCGAAAAGATTCAAAAAAACGAACCAATTGTCAACTTGCGATACTTTTCCCCTTCCAAGAGTTACAACATATTTCTGCAGCTCAACCCAGAGATGGTGCAACCAGAGTCCACCATGGTTGAAGTGACAACGGTCATGTGACAATGCTCAATGCACGCAGGTGAATGCTACTGCCCAAAATGTGTTCTAAAACAATCAATCTTTAATACTGACATGCAGAAATATTTGCTCACATTAATTAAATGAAGCACTTGTTCTTTCAGGAGTTCCTCTCTTTCTTCAAAGGTTTCTTTCGCACGCGCTATTGATAGGTGACGAGACTTGGACTAAGGATGGGAACGGACTCAGTCTTGGATCGAAAGACTCAGATTAACTATGGATCATACCTAAGGACGGGAACGGACTTAGTAGAGTAGTAGTTAGTAAAAGGTAGAGTAGAGTTGTTAATAAGAAAGCTCACCTCAGTCTTGGATTGAAAGACTGAGGGAGATTATTCGATGAGGAGAGGAATTAATATGTTTGATTGAGACGGAGAATCAATGGGGAACATGTATGACGCATGGTAGGAGGAGTGATTGTGTATGTAAAAGGAAAAGGTTAAGTACGTATAAAGGTCATATCTTGATACTCCCACTCAGACGCAAATCACTAGAGACACATGTGTAGCTTATTCAGCTGGTTCTTCGTTTGAAGGTGAACAAAGGGCGAGCAAGTGGCGATGGCTGCAGAAAAGTTTTTGTGGTAGGGATTTCGTGAAAATGTCGGCAACCATATCGTGTGTGGGTACATATGGGATAATGATGGTCCTATCACTAACTAGATCTCGAATGAAGTGATAGCGGACACAAATGTGCTTTGCCCGGTCGTGGAATTGCGGGTTTTTCGTTAGCGCGCGACTTCCATTATTATCACCATATAGTGTGGTGGGGGTGATCAGTGACAGGTCAAGACCAAAGTCACATAGCAGCTGACTGAGATGGAACTACTCGCAGGCCACATTAGAGAGAGAGATGTATTCAGCTTCAGTGGATGAAGTCGCAACGACAGATTGCTTTTGGGAATGCCAACTAATGGGGGAACTGAAGAGATAGTAGACATAGCCCCCAATCGAACGGCTGTCGTCTTTGTCGGATGTGAAGTCTGAGTCCAAGTAACCAATGAGTCCTTTGTTTGATAAACCAAAGGTCAGGGAATGATGCGTGGATCCACGGAGGTAACGAAGGAGATGGTGAAGCTGGCGATAGTGCTCTATGCCAGGATTGCTCAAAAATTTCGACAGTGTTGATACTGCGTATGCGATGTTGGGACGACTAACGCGCATAGCGAAGTTGAGTTCCACAACGACATGCGCATATGGCATGTGCGTGAATTGTTGCACTTCAGTTTGAGTGAGGGGTGCAGATGACTTCGTCAAGGAGATGCCTGGGACCATGGGGGTAGACACTGGTCGACAATCTGACATCCGAGTTTCACTGAGGATCTGTTCGAGAAAGGAGGATTGGTTGATGGTAAGAAGCTTCTTGGAGCGATCTCGCATGATATGCATTCCTAAGAAATGACACGCTTCGCCAAGATCCTTCATTTCGAAATGTTTGCTCATCTCCAATTTAAAACCGTTAAGGAAATCCCGACAGTTTGACGCAAGCAACATGTCGTTGACGTAAACAAGGAGCCAAATGGTCTTGTCATCCTTGCGTAAAACGTACAGACTATAGTCTGCTTCACTGTGAACAAAATTGAAACCTTCTTTTCGCAAGAAATCATCGAGTGTCTTGTTCCATTGACGACCAGCTTGCTTGAGTCTGTAGATGGCTTTGAGGAGTTTCCAGACCCAATCTGGGTGCTCAGGGTCTTCGAAACCTGGGGGTTGATGCATGTAGATTTCTTCGTCAAGCTTGCCATTGAGAAAAGCAGTCTTCACATCCATTTGATCAAGTTCAAGATCAAACTTAGCAACCATGGAGAGTAGCGCACGTACGGTGTCATATTTTGCAACAGGAGCGAAGGTGTCGGTATAGTCTAGACCTTCAATCTGCGTGAAACCCTGCGCAACAAGATGAGCCTTATGACGGGCAATTCGACCATTCTCATCATATTTGTGCGAGTACACCCACCGTGAGCCGACTGCTTTTCTCCCTGATGGGAGTGGTGTTAAAATGCCCACTTCTTTTTCTCCCAACGAGGCTAACTCTTCATTCATTGCACTTTCCCAATGACCCGAATCCGTTGACGAGCGAGCCGCAGCTATCGTTTTTGGAGGGAGCTTCCGTCCATCAATCTTATTGCTGTCTGTCAAGGATATGTGTTTTGCAGAGTGTTCAATGGTGACGTCGGGGGTTGCACTAGTACCACAATCTTGTTCTTCATCAATTTCCTCCTCAACAGTGACCGGGACGTAGGTCCAACGCCGCTGTACTGGGACGTTTTTGGTTGGAATGGCAACAGATTTTGGAACTGCTGGTCGTGCATCGATGCGTTGGCGTGTTGAACGTCGTGGCTCAGGAGATGGTACCGTTTCTACCGGAACTTCAGTAGGGACGGGCAAAATGTTGTCGTTTGACTGCAGGAATGGCTGTGGTGGTTCAGGGATGAGAGGAGCAGAAAACGGAAGTACTCCCACTGAAACGGTACTTGGTCCTGGTAGCGTGATTTCGGAGCCATCTTCTCCAGGTCCCGGTCGTGTGATTTTGAAGCCGTCATCTGATATCAGCAAAGGATGTGGCAATGCAGGAGTGGAACGCTGCATTAGGGTGCGCTTATTGTACAATTCAACGAGGGGTGAGACAACTGAATTGGGTGTGCCGTAGAAGAAGTTTTCATCAAAAAGGACATTCCGGGAGCGTACCGTTTGTCGTGTCGCCGGATCCCATAAAAGATATCCTGCGTCCTTGATGTGTCCTAATAAGAAGCACCGCCTTGAAACAAAATCATATTTGTGGCGATTGTCGTCTGGGATGTGAGCATATGCGAGGGAGCCAAACAGACGTAAGTGCGAGACATTCGGTAGTTCACCATAAAAGAGTTCAAATGGCGTCCTGTTGTCAGTGGCTGATGACGGAAGGAAATTCTTGATGTAAGCTGAGTTGAGGATAGCGTGACCCCAGAACGAACGAGGGAAGCCACTCTGGTGGTGGGCACTTAATGCTCGAGTAGCAATTGTCTGGTGTCCGCGTTCTGCAACCCCATTCTGTTCTGCTGTGTACGGCATCGTAAGTTCATGTTCAATTCCCTTACTGCACAGGAACTCAATGGTAGCGTGAGAGACATATTCACCACCGTTATCACTATGGAGACGTTTGACCCGTTGTCCCGACTGGTTCTCAATCCAGGCAATATATCGCAGAAGATGAGAATATACCTCACTCTTGTGCTTAATGAGATAAACAGTTGAGAAACGTGAAAAGTCGTCCATGAAGGCAACAAAATATGTTTCGCCGGATAGGGTTGCAGTGTTGACGGGTCCCCAAACATTGGTGTGAACGAGTTCTGCGATGTGTGTTGCACAGTGCTGAGCATGAGACAGGAATGGCAATCGTTTTTGTTTGCCCATTAGGCACGACGGACAGTCAATATGGTCGCCAGGTCCTGCGGACTTGTCTAATAGGTCAAGGGACAGTCCTACTACAACCTTCTCAGCCTTGTGCAAGGTGGAGTTTGCGGCATGGCCCATGCGCACATGCCATACAGCTAGTGGTAAAGGCATAGTCGAAGCAGACCTGATGGCAAAGGCCGTATGGGTGTGCTTGGCTCGGAGGCAGTACAGACCAGCAGAGCATTCCACACGTGCAATCACAGCTCTATCGGCACGGTGCATCTGTCCTCCTTCAGTATCTGTTTCGAAGAAAATTCCTTCCGACGCTAGAGCAGACACAGATATTAGTGTGCACCGTAGGTCTGGTACATGGAGGAAGGGGAGTTCGATGGACTCATGTCGTCCGTTATTGTCGAACGCTAGCGTGATGAACCCCCAACCTGGGGCAAGAACAGTATCGTCATTGGCAAGTTTCACGATTAAGGGAGGGTTATAAGTTTTATAACGAGTGAAGAGGGAGTGCTTGGATTCCATATGTGTGGTGGCGGCAGAGTCTACGTGGAATTGAAAGGAAATAATGCTTGTATTAGAAAAACTGGAAGAGTGTGTAGAAAGACGAAGGAAAAACGGAACACTGTCAGGTTGTCCTGATGTGAGAACCGACACGTTAGTGCCTTGTGAGGGTGAGGGAGGAATGCACGCTGACGTATTGGGTGAGTCCGATTTTGCTAGGCGAGCACAGCAGTTGTGCCAGATGTGGCCCGTGCACTTGCAAGATCCGCATGTCGAACGCCATGACAACTCCCATTTATCTCCCTTGGAAGCATCAAAATCCTCCGGCTTGGCACGTTCGGTAGGTTTACCTGCTTTCACCACCCTAGCGGCCATGGCTGTATGGTGTGCATGCGGGTTTGTGGAGCCAAAGCTCGCATAGTACTGTTCTGAGTTCCTAATCTGGCTAATTACGCCTTCCAGCGTTAGCTTTCCGGCATTGGCGTCAGCGCTATGAAGAATAAGTTGTGAGAGTGGGGCGTAGAAGTCTGGTAATGCATGGAGCAACACTTGTACAAGAGTGTATTCGTTGCAATTCCATTCCATTGATTCAATAGCTTTGAACTGGGCCTTAATATCTGTAATTTCCTTGATTGAAAGTGTGAGTGAATCACTGTCTGAAGCTTTCGGGAGGTCAAAAACGCGAGTCATAAGACGTGTGAAACGGATACCGATGGTGGCCTGGTACTTATTTTCGAGCACCTTCCAAACAAGTGCAGGTTCTGAAACACCCGTGAAATGGATTAAGTCGCTGGAGTGCACAGCCATCTTGAGCAATCCTTTGGTAACACTCTGTCGTTCACAAAAGGACACGACATCCGCACTTGCTATATGCGTGGCAAGTCGTTGCGTGAAAATCGCATCGGATTCAGTAGAGAGTTTGATTGGCAGCTGCAGTTCCGTTTCGTCATCAATGAGAAGATGCCAGAGGTTGAATAAGGATAACCAGAGGTCCATAGATGTGACCCATGACGAATAGTTGGATCCATTTGCATCAAGCGGAGAATGGGGAAACGAAGAAGGAATTCGAATATTGGAAGACATCTTGGATGATGACGAAAAGAGCGTCGGCGATGGCGACAATTGAGAAGACGGAATGGGCAGTTTGAAGGTGGAACGAGAGGAAAGAGTGGGCGTCAACGGTGGTGACGGAGGTAATGGGATGGATAAGATCCGCGGGTCAAGCGGGGATAGAGGGCGACCTTGTTCCAGTTCAGGAAAAGTCGGAGAGGCTCAGATAAGGCGAGTGGAAGCGAGAAACAAATGTAAGGCCTGGTCTGAGCCAGGGCTCATAACCTATTGATAGGTGACGAGACTTGGACTAAGGACGGGAACGGACTCAGTCTCGGATCGAAAGACTCAGATTAACTATGGATCATACCTAAGGACAGGAACGGACTTAGTAGAGTAGTAGTTAGTAAAAGGTAGAGTAGCGTTGTTAATAAGAAAGCTCACCTCAGTCTTGGATTGAAAGACTGAGGGAGATTATTCGATGAGGAGAGGAATTAATATGTTTGATTGAGACGGAGAATCAATGGGGAACGTGTATGACGCATGGTAGGAGGAGTGATTGTGTATGTAAAAGAAAAAGGTTAAGTACATATAAAGGTCATATCTTGATACGCGCAGCATTTATAACTGCTTGCGAGTCTTTCGATGTTCGCCGACGATATGATTTTGAAGTATCCCACAGGTCATCTCGAGGGACTAGACAAATGGGGCATGGCCAAAGACTCATTATCCCTTGAGTAAGTGACATGACAGATCTTGTAATGATACCATTAAGTAATTAGGAACAAAATAATTCAGACCCCAACGATGAAATCAACACTCACTGTTCTTCAAAATCAGCTGATAGAATGAGGATACAGAGAAAAAACCAGCACTTGACACCATCTAGGCATTCGAACCACTGCCCTGTTTGTGATTTCAAGGCTAACAAAGAGATAATCCTGGCAAATGACTTGTGCCAGACAGTATTTTTGAAATCTACCCAGCTGGGCTTTCCAGAGTGTAATTTTTTGTCCTTAACCTATGTAAACTGCATCAGCAGCACTAACAGCAAGTCACTAAAGGAAACTGCACTATTGGTAACCATCCAACAACATACCCGCCACCTTCACCGCACCCATTTCGAATTGCAGTCGGTAAGTTTGCTAGACGAGCGTAGACTGGATAACCTTTTGCTGTACTGAAGGAGGAGAGTTTCATCTTATCCGCGTACAGTATATATGCCAGCGGCTTCACACCCAGTGGGAGTTGCAACTACAAAGTAATATAATGACATAAGGCACATGAAAAACTACAAAGTATTATCACATACTTGTACATCCCAGATATCTCGCGCAGTGAAAGGCTCATCAACAAAAGAAACAAATGTGTTACCATCAAACTTCAAGAGGCAGTGTGCATCAAACGTGAAGTGAGGAAAGAGCCGGGGATTGCGAAGCATATCGGCAGCCAGCTCCCAAAGGTCTCGGTAATGCACATCATACTCCCGCAGTTCCTCATCTCCAGTGAATGGGACTGAGATCACTTCCTTCATAAACTATACTTCATGCTATGTCAGACTCATTTGAACTAGAGAAAGGATATACTACTACCTTTGTAATGCGATGCGAGGCAGCCTCCCACACGTTGTGGATATCCTTGTGGTTTTTGAGTGTAAGTTTCTCCTTCCCCACAGCACAGTGGTGACATAGCTTGATAAGACGATCGGTTTGTTGATTGTTGAACCCAACCTCGAGCATGATCTCGGCAATTTCAAACTTGAGCCAAGATTTGAATGGACTCCAAGGTTGGCCATCAGGTGGAGGGACCAGGAAGTCTGCAGCACGACGCTCAAAGTTATCAAAGCTGTATACCTTGGCCTCAATGCCTGCTACTCGGATGATACTCAATCTTGATGTCATCTTGATTGAAGGTGGGGACTGTGGCCTCGACTTCTGGTTCATTGAGTGCAGAAGGGCCTGTATTGAATAGGGTACACGGCCCAAGTGTTAGTGAGATCAACGAAAACAATTAAGTGTCGACGACTCACCTGGACCAATCACTGGATCATCATGACCGAAGTCCACATCGAGGAATTCCGCATGATTTTGCATTTCAACTGTGAGTTTGTGAGTGCCGCAGATAGCAAAACAAAAATAAAATGCTACTACATACCTGATACAGGGATACGAATGGCTGATTGAGGTTTGTCGAGTCTCGATGATGAATCCAACACTGTATTTTGATACAATTAAACATCAGCTTCAACAATACATCAAGGCAAAGATATAACAGACGCACCTTTCTCCTTCCAAATCGCATCTACAATCACCTGATCCTGTTGTCTTTTGGCTGCCTTCGTCTCACAAGATTTTTGGTGGGTGGTCCATCCTCATGGCTTGATATCCTGGTCACATAAGTTACAGTGCTTTGAGCACTCTGGACCCATGTAGTTGACAGTATTGTACAGCTGTATACAAAGATAGTTGAGGTGGGCGTATAGAGCAAGGAATGCGCAAGAACGCGAAGAGTGTGCTGCAGGCGCTGATAACAAGTGATGATCTATGTGCCCAAGCACGTTACAAAGGACTTACAATATATTGAAACTCAGCCATTAGATTACCTTATCATTTCAGGAGGCATTTCAATTGATTTCAATGGCATGCAAACAGCATGTCAACATCACGTCATTGCAACCACTTTAGGAAATTTCTGACATAATGTAATCTTTCTTGTACCTTGTAAATTTTTGCAAATTGAAATGTAGGGTTCAATGGTTTGAACCTGTTCTGAACTGGAACCGAACCTTTGTGAACGCATTCATAGGAGTTCGGTCCAAGGTTCACCCTCACTGCCTGAACCTGACCAGCGGTCGAGTTCGAGGTTCGCAGATATAGGTCAATGAACCTGACCTGAACCGGACTTCGGCAGCACTAACATGGACTGGTGCCTGCCTGCAGAAGTTGAGAGCTCTGATGAGCCTGGCTTGTGCTCGAGGGAGAGTGTTGGAATCCGAGAGATCTGAGATGAGGAAGACCGACAGATCCAAGATAGGGACAGGGGGAGAATGAGAGGCATGAGCACAAGCCAAAAAGGATAAAGGCGAGCGACATATGACATCAGCATGCATGCTACTTTATTTTATGTTTCTTATTCATTTCTAACTGTAGTCAAGCTACATATGTTAAAAGCGCCTGTTGCAGCGCCCAAACATCTCAGTTCTTCCAAGAGACTGAGATGTAAGTCCATAACACTACCTACATGATACATTGTCTACTGTAGAGATACGCACCTAACTTCGACATAATTTGGGTGTGACCAACTGAACATTAGCTTCGATACTTCGAAGGCGGGTGTGACCTGTGACATCTGACAAATAGCTTCGAAGCACCACTACCAGCCGCTGTCAGTGCCTGCAGCAACAGGCTCTCGATTGGTCAATGCAAACAGTGATCCTCAGGTTTGCACTCACCACGGGGCACTTTGTATCTACCCATCTGTCAGGCTTCTCTATATGTGTATACAATGTCATATCCACATGGATCCTCCAATGTTCGGTAAGGCATCAGTTCAGCTCTTGGATGGTGAACTCTGAAACAATCCTGGACAATCATGGCACTGATGACATTGAGAGTGGTCGTGGAAAACACAGACGCACTGCAAATACTCGTTACAACGATTTTTGGCAACATTGATAGTGTTCTACACATTTTTTTTGTATTTTGACAATATGTCACAAATTAACTTCGACGACCTTGAATTTGTGTGACAGTCACTCGAAATAGCTTCGATTCGTTGGGCCTGTGACGGTGTGACGAAGTTAGGTGCGTATCTCTACAGTAATGTCTAAGTAGATACTTGTCCTTCTAGGTAGATCAAACATTAATATGAGTTCTTCCAAGAGACTGAGATATACTTGTCCTTCTAGACTCCTCGTCCTTCCCGCTCCTATTGTCTCCGCAAGAGCCTGGAGGGTTTTAGATCTATCGTTCAAAATACTAATAGCTGAATGTGCATGCGCGCGAACAACAGGAGTTGCCAAAATCAGACAATTATGTCAGCTCAAGTGCTGTTCAGCCACAAACCAAATTCCGAAAAATATTGTCAACAGTTTGCGTGCGGTTTTAGCAGGTCTTGGTTCATCTAGTTCGTCGTGAGCTCGCGAACGTCGTTGGCTTTGACCATATCAACCTCGGGGGATGCATCTATACAACTTAACGCTTCAGCCCCCGACGGCAGCTACGCAAGCTATCGTTGGCAATTTTTCTGGCGCCCGCACTCAGGAAATCATCATCTCCCGTGGCACTCGACTTGAACTCTTACGCCCCGATGTTCAGACCGGCAAACTATCAACAGTCATTGCCTCTGATGTATTTGGCTCTATTCGCTCTCTAGCGGCTTTTCGTTTGACAGGCAGTACCAAGGGTGAGCCCCTCGTACGTATCATCTTTTATTTCCATCTTATTCATACTCTATTCTCAGACTACGCAATCGTAGGCTCGGATTCTGGCCGTATCATCATTCTCGACTATGACCCGAAATCGAGCAGTTTCGTGAAGCTGCATCAAGAAACCTTTGGCAAGTCTGGAGCGCGACGCATTGTGCCTGGACAATACCTCGCGACAGATCCCAAGGGACGTAGCGTAATGATCTCATCAGTAGAGAAGGCCAAACTTGTGTACATCTTGAACCGAGATGCTGCAGCCAATCTTACGATTTCGTCGCCTCTCGAAGCGCATAAAAACAATGCAATCATTCACCATATCGTCGGCCTTGATGTGGGCTTTGAGAACCCATTATTTGCTGCTCTCGAAGTCGACTACTCTGAATCTGATCAAGATCCTACAGGGGAAGCGTTCAACAATGCGGAGAAGGTGCGTTCAGTGATTTTTTAGTATATGATAACTGAATGAGTTCTCAGATGCTGACATACTATGAACTTGATTTGGGCCTTAACCATGTCGTTCGAAAATGGAGCGAGGCTACAGATCCACGCGCAAATTTATTGGTTCAAGTCCCCGGTGGCCAAGTTGCATCCACAGACCGTTTCGATGGACCTTCTGGTGTTCTGGTTTGCTGTGAAGACCATATTATCTACCGACACATGGACCGACGACAGCATCGTGTCCCTATCCCACGAAGACAACATCCTCTCGAAGATCGTCAGCGAGGCATCATCATCGTTACAGCCGTCATGCACAAAATGAAGGTTGGTCTTTTGCAGCTTGTCACTATATCTTGATTCATATTTTGTCGTAGGGTGCTTTCTTCTTCCTCCTTCAAAGCGAGGATGGTGACCTCTTCAAGGTCACAATTGACCATGAAGAGGACGAAGTTAAAGCATTAAAAATCAAGTATTTTGACACTGTACCTGTGGCGTCCAGTCTTTGTATTCTTAAATCTGGTTTCCTTTTTGTTGCATCCGAGTTTGGGAATCAGTGAGCCTCTCAATTTAACGTCTCGCAAGAAGTCTCTGACATTAATTTCAGCTATTTGTACCAGTTCCAGAAATTGGGCGACGATGACAATGAACCGGAGTTTAGCTCAACGTCGTATCCGGGTACCGGAATGGCAAATCCCACCATTGCTTTACCTCATGCGCACTTCCGGCCACGACCGCTGGATAATCTCGCACTCGCAGACGAAGTGGAGTCCCTGGACCCGATAATAGATTCCAAGGTGATGAACCTATTACCAAACTCAGATACGCCTCAGATTTTCACCGCGTGTGGACGTGGAACAAGGAGTTCTTTCAGAACACTTCGCCACGGTCTTGACGTTGAAGAATCCGTTAGCTCAGAGTTGCCTGGTATTCCCAATGCCGTTTGGACGACCAAGCGGCGCGAGGACGGCAAGTCTTTGTTTCATAGGTGTTCTGAAGAACTTCCGTTGATGCGTACTTGCAGACGAGTTTGATACCTACATTATTCTCTCGTTCGTCAATGGAACTCTTGTCCTTTCCATTGGAGAAACAATTGAAGAAGTGCAGGACACCGGTATCCTGTCATCAGCGCCCACTCTTGCTGTCCAGCAAATTGGTGCTGACGCCCTCCTGCAGGTGCATCCGCATGGCATTCGTCATATACTTGCGGACCACCGCGTCAATCAGTGGTCAGCCCCACAAGGAAAGACTATTGTCACCGCTACAACAAACAAACGTCAAGTGGTTGTTGCTCTGAGTTCTGCTGAACTTGTTTACTTCGAACTTGATCTTGATGGCCAGTTGAACGAATATCAAGATAGGAAGGCTATGGGTTCGACTATTACAGCTCTAAGCATAGCCGAGGTACCTGACGGACGCCAAAGAACGCCCTATCTGGTAAGCCATCGTTCTTGGAGTTCTATCATATGCTCACATATTGCTAGGCTGTCGGATGCGAGGACCAGACCGTTCGAATAGTGTCTCTTGACCCAGAGAGCACTCTGGAAACGATCAGTTTGCAAGCGTTGACAGCACCACCAGCAACCATTTGCATTGCTGACATGCTGGATGCGAGTATCAACAAGACCCAACCCACCATGTTTGTAAACATTGGTCTCCAAAATGGCGTTCTCCTACGAACAGTGCTTGATCCTATTAATGGGCAACTAACTGATACTCGGACTCGGTGAGTTGTTTCGCTCATTGGAGAATCACGGCTAATTGTTTGCGATCAGGTTCCTCGGGAACCGACCGGTTAGATTGGTTCGTGTTCAAATCCAAGGCAATCCAGCCATCCTAGCGCTCTCATCCAGATCCTGGTTGAATTACACACATCAAAATCTCATGCATTTCACGCCCTTGATTTTCGATAACTTGGACTACGCATGGAGTTTCTCCGCTGAGCTCAGTCCTGAGGGCCTCATTGGTATAGCTGGTAGTGTTCTTCGGTGAGTGATCCCGTCCATCACGTCCTGTAGAAGATGAGAATAGAGATACCGGATGAACCTCTAAGAAGGACATGCCGAATATTTTTGAATACCAATTGTTCCTACTGAGACTTCCTTATTCCGTTGTTTATCGAATTAACACTGACTACTGTTTCCTTTGCAGCATTTTCCAGATACCAAAACTGGGGATGAAATTGAAGCAAGACTCGATTCCGTTATCCTTGACCCCTAGGAAGTTTATATCTCACCCCAAAAATCGCCACTTCTATCTTATTGAGGGCGACCATCGTGTTTTGGGCGATGAGGCCGCTAACAAACGGTTACAAGCGATGGTGAGTTTTGTTCTTTATGTTGCGACTATCGCAGACTTATCGTTGTCGCAGACGCAAGCAGGACAGTATATTGATCAAGAAATGCTTGATCTACCTCCTGAAATCTTTGGACGGCCGAAAGCGGCAGCAGGGATCTGGGCGTCCGCAATCCGCATCATCGATCCTGTTGAGGTAAGGCCGAATTATAACTAGCTGATGCATGAGCTCACATCTAGGTTTTGCAGGGCAGGACCATTTCGACTATCACACTAGACAACAACGAGGCTGCCTTCAGCCTTGCATTCGTATCATTTTCTGCACGAAACAATGAGTTACATCTTGTCGTAGGCACCGCTCAGGATACTTTATTGTCTCCGCGGTCATGTACCAGTGGTTTCTTGCGAACGTATCGTTTCACCGAGGATGGCGTGGGATTGGAGCTCCTTCACAAGGTGAAGTAATATCTTGATGAATACTTCATTTTACTGACATCCTTATTCAGACAGAGACGGACGATATCCCCCTTGCTGTCATGGGATTCCAAGGACGTCTGGTTGCTGGCGTTGGAAAGGCTCTTCGGATATATGAGATGGGTAAGAAGAAGCTTTTACGGAAAGCGGAGAACAAAGTAAGCATACACAACATTATGTCAGTTCACTTTGCTCACATTCACATTTCAGACATTTTCTACTGCCATCGTTAGCCTCAACACCCAAGGTTCCCGCATAATTGTCGGCGACATGCAGGAATCGATCCATTTCGCAGTATACAAGGCGCCAGAGAATCGACTACTCATCTTCGCAGATGACACTCAACCCAGATGGATTGCGGCGGCGACCATGGTGGATTACAATACCGTCGCAGCTAGTGATCGCTTTGGCAACGTATTCATCAACCGCCTGGACGCAAAGGTTTCTGAACAAGTAGATGACGATCCCACAGGTGCCGGTATCCTCCATGAGAAGGGTATATTGATGGGTGCCCCACATAAAACCAACATGTTGTGTCACTTCCACGTTGGCGATCTTGTTACCTCGATACACAAAGTGTCACTCGTTGCTGGTGGTCGCGAGGTGCTGCTTTACACTGGCATTCATGGCACTATTGGAATTCTCGTGCCTTTCGTATCCAAGGAGGACGTAGATTTTATCTCGACGCTCGAGCAACACATGCGTACGGAGCAGGGCAGTCTTGTGGGTCGGGATCACTTGAGCTGGAGAGGCTACTATGTACCAGTGAAGGCAGTTGTTGATGGTGATTTGTGCGAGACATATGCTCGGTTGCCAGGGTCGAAGCAAAGTGCGATTGCTGGAGAACTTGACCGCACAGTGGGAGAGGTGCTCAAAAAGCTAGAGCAGTTGCGTGTGACTGCTAGTGGTTTCTAGTCTAGGTGTTGTTTGCAGTCATTGTAGACTGAGTACTGATCATTGTATTGTATTCAAACTGAACTATTTTTTCTTGTGAACTCTGGTGGAATGACGTTGCAGGCGACAAATATTAATACCTCCGCATGATCTAAACTCTCACCCGTATCCTTCCTTCAGCCCCATTCAACATCCCAAACTTTTTCAAAAGCCAAAGCAAAGCAGTATGTTGAACATTGGTGCACGTATCGTAAGCACATCTCGCGTGCGGGCAATCCAAGCAACGCGGTCGTACGCAACCAAGGAGGCCGCCCCCGTAACCCTCAAGAACCACAAGGTGCTACTGACAGACTGAATGCTCATCCCTTCTGACAATGACGCGCCTTTTCAACGTGAATTATTGTGTATAGTACACCGTCCATGCTACCGCTGCTGGGCAAGGTCGCAAGGGCGAAGTCAACTCATTCGATGAGACCCCTTTCTCTCTGCACCTAGCAATGCCCAAAGCAATGGGCGGCAAGGGCGATGGGACGAACCCTGAGCAACTGTTCGCCATGGGGTACGCATGTACGTATTTTTGTTATATTAAAATCGCGTGATCTGGACTGAATATATGCGTCACGGATGTAGCGTGTTTCCTCGGAGCCTTGCAGATGATGGCAGGCAAGACGGGAAAGAAGGATGCCGCAAGGAACGCCGTGATCCACACGACTGTGCATCTTGGAGAGGCGGAGGGGCTTGGGGGGTTCGGGTTGGCCGTGGATATAAAGGTTGAGGGTGTGGAAGACGAGGAACTGATCAAGGCTGGTCACGAGGTACGTTTTCCCCACTTGGCATGCGCGGTGGGAGTATGTATTGTGATCCGCTGACTGTGGTACTCCTCCCAGGCTTGTCCCTACAGTCGTGCACTCATGCATGGTGCAGTTGTGAATGTTTCTAAGGCATAGGTACACTTTTAGATCTGTGGCCCGAGGAGCTTTCTTCATAGTTTTCGCCTGACTTGTTCGCACGTATTCCGGTCCTTGAGAACGTCACTGCAAAATAGGAGATAATTATAATGCACGCTAGTTATAACACATTGGTGGCTTGATCATCGACCAGTCCGTATGATACTACAAGTACACATGTCGGGGAGGGGTGTTGACAGAACCAGTAAAACACAGGAATGCGCATCCACCACGCTTTTACAAAGAGCTCCTGTACCACTTGTCCTCGACGCCATCAGCCATCGTCAAGTATGGCATCAAGTCACTCGTCAAAAATTCGCTTGGCCATTGTTGCCTGATTTGCTCCATGAGATACTTCTTGGCAATTGATAACTGGTTTTCCTTGACGCCCGGGGCGATCTTCTTGATGCCAGGGTGCCTGCTCCGCGATGATGCGGTCAACATACTGCGTCGTAATCTGCTCGCCAGTGTCGATACGTGCGCCATATTTCACCCACTGCCAGAGCTGCACACGTGCGATCTCAGCAGTAGCCGCGTCCTCCATCAGGTAGTTGAGAGGGATACAGCCATTACCGCCGATCCAGGCCCCACAGTATGCCAGAGCCACGGAGACATTGGAGCGGATGCCGTCCTCCGTGATCTTTCCGGGAACGCTGGAATTCAACAAGTCTGCGGCAGCTACTTTCACATCCTCACGTCTGACGTGGTACTACAACCGATACGTGAGCAATAGGAACAGGTAAAACGGCACCGCCGTGCGAACCTGGTTAGGACCGAGCATATTTTCGTCGAATACTTTGCGAGCAATCTGATTGATCAAGGGGTGCGCAATCCAGGTGCCATCATGGCCAGCAGTGACCTCGCGGAGCTTGTCTGCTCGAACCTTCTCCATTGCCACCTCGTTGGCTTGAGGGTCATCCTTGATAGGGATTTGAGCAGACATGCCGCCCATAGCAGCAACTTTCCTCCTAAAAACACAATAAATATTTATCCGTTCATGGACGAAAGGTGGCATTACCTGTGACAAGTTTGGATTAAAAGGCGCACATACGAATCCATAAATGGCACTGTCATAGTAACGTCTTTCCTATCTGGTAAGACGGCGCTTCTGTCTGCCCTTCGCTTCTTGATGGCGCTGAAAATATAGTCCCATCTAAGAACACACGCGGAAATGAGCGACTGACCCGTGACACATGAATGATACTCCTCACCTTCCACAGTTCAATCCGGCAGAGTGGTTTCTGAGCTCGAAGAGAATTTCCTCCATTTGGAACGCCGCGGGAAGCGTCTCGATGAGAACAGTCGCCCTGATTGTGTTATGGGGTATTCTAATATAGGACTGGGAGAAGAGGAAGACGTCGTTCCATAGACGGGCTTCGAGATAGTGCTCCATCTTTGGAAGATAGAAGTAGGGGCCTGAGCCGCGTTTGATGAGTTCCTTGGCATTGTGGAAGAAGTAAAGTCCAAAATCGAAGAGAGAACCCGAGACAGGGGTGTTGTCGACCGTGATGCGCGTCTCGTCCAAGTGCCAGCCCCTAGGCCTAGACCGAAAAAATGAACAACCGGATTCGGAGCTAGAAAAGGATGTGTGACGTACCGAACGATGAGCACTGCTGGTTTCTCAGATAGCTTGTATTTCTTGCCGCCAGACTCGAAGTCGATCTGACGCTTTATGGCGTCGCGCAGGTTGACTTGGCCATTGATCATGTTTGCGAACGTAGGAGCACTGGAGTCTGGAAATGTTATGTTGGCGTAATTCTGAACATCATGGATGGCATGCGAACCTTCGAAATCTGCCATAAAGGTTTTTGCACCACTGTTGAGAGCGTTGATGACCATCTTGCGATCAGTAGGGCCGGTGATCTCGACGCGTCTGTCTTCAAGACCGGGTGCAGGGGGTGCGCAGTGCCATGAGGGCTCAGCACGGATGTGCGCTGTTTCAGGAGGAAAATCAAGAGGCACTCCCGAGTCAAACTTGCGCTGCGCAATATCGCGCGCAACTAGGAGGCTATGTCTGGTAGACTCAAACGTCCTATGGAGTGCAGCGAGAAAGGCAAGTGCATCATCGGTGAGGATGTGAGATTGAGGACTATGAGCATCGACCTTTGTGTGAATCTGAACGCCTGCAACCATGTTTGAGAAAGATGAGTGGAGTTGTGGCAAATAAGGAACGGGATGTGTTATGTACTAGTCTCGGGACTCCGACATACCGCTGGTCCTTTCCGAGCCGACGTCATTCTGAGCATGTGTTTATTTCTGCAAGAACCACGCAATTACGTGAAACTGAAATTTAACACGGAATACAGACGGTCGAATCCGCGACATATAAAGCATACAGATCACCACAGTCCTGGACCTCCTACGGGGATCCGCCACTACTCCTTATCACGAGCTCTTGGAATCGGTCTCCATTTCAACTGGGACAGCGACGGGTTCCGAAGGTGCTGCACAGGTTGTCTTAAGTATCCAATAGTGATAGATATAAGTAGACTGAATTTACCAAGAATATTTTTTACCGTGCGCTCTCCAACTTTAATGACTCTGCGGCAAGCCATTTGCCACACTCCGACGCTCACAGAACCTTGGCGTGGGTCAATCATTAAGCCTTCGCGGACTGATCATGTTAATAACTGTGGGAATGCTGACCTTTGGGTGCGAAAGGGAAGGCCATCCACCAGCCAAGTGGGCCAAGCCAACCAGGAGGCAGGTAGAATACTGCAGCCTTTCTGTACCACCACCCAACGAAGAATGATAGTCCTGTCGTAAGGACCCACATCAGTGTGTTGAACTTGAGTGAGAATCCGGTCTTGCTAGACGCAAGCTCTCCATCTATGAAACACGTCAGTTCATTGGCAGGCGTCAACGTGTCGTAGAGCTCACGTACTGAGTTTCTCAAGGTCTGCTAGCCCTTTGTCAACGCCTCTCCTCAGCTTCGCCCACTTGGCAAATTGATCTTGTGCGCTTGTTTGTAGCAGCTCTTTCTTCGCTGTAAGGAGCTCGGCTTGCAGCTGGCGCTGTCGTGAGTATGAGACATTCATGAAAAGTCTGCTGTAGAGATCCCATGCCTAGAAGAAAGAAACTGTAAACTCATGCTATGAAGCTTTAAGAAGAACACCGACGAATTCAAAGAGGACAGTTTTCCCGATCCATGAGATGAGCTCAGTCAGAAAGACCAGAGCGAAAATCGTGAAGATGAGTGACATGGTAGATACGAATACGGGCCTTGCACTAGATAGCTAGAAAGAGAGGAAGAACAGTGAAAGTACAGGTGATGAGCGCTAGCCTTCAGCTGGTCAGCAAGTTTTGAAGAAACGTCAGCACTGCATACAGCCGAACACGTTGGTGCAAGCAATACGCCGCTCGCGGTGTTTGCACCGGATCATCGTGTTTGCTAATTGGCGGATTTGAAACATAACATGCATAACAGTCAAAGGGCTTGCTCAATGATAATTACTGTCTTGACGGACATTAACTCAATTGTTCGAAATCATGCAACGCTAGTAGCGCTCGTCGGAATGGGACAATCACATCAGAAGCGGACGCCAATATCATCGTTTGCGTTCTGTCAACTGTGAACTGATTACAACAGTGCACTATAGGCGATGAGAGTCCCAAGGAGACAAACATGACTCAAGGAAAAAAGAAAGGTCATATTTGCATGCGGAGGTGGTTGTATAGCCATAATATGCCAGTAAGGGGGTGATACATGCTGCGTTGCATTGGTGTGATGCGTCTCTCCGTGTTGTCTCTACCTCAACTTCACAGCGCCATAAACATCGAGAATGAAAGAGAAGGCTGCTCAGATGTTGAGCTTTGTGCGCCTCCAGTGACGGCGTTTAGCGTTATACTGTAAAGTATCAGCAACACTCTCGGCTCCTAAGATCCTCGGTACATACTTGGATTTTAGTGTCCGTCTTTAGACGGAACCACTGAGGGATGGGCCTGAAAGTGTTTTATGAATGGGGTGTAAAGGTATCGATACACCCTACTCACCTGTTCTGACGGCCGGCCTTGGCGAGGATACGCTTCGTTCTGAAGGACTTTTGGGAAGGCTTCAAGCGAATTCACTTGTCAATACATGGCATAGTAATCAAACGTCAAAACTCACCATTTTTGTCGATGTCGGGGTCGTTCCTCGCTGTGATGAGATGTGATGAAAAATAAGGTTATCGACGTGAACTCACTGTACAGTTGCTGACTCAGCGGCATGCACGGCACTGTCCGATCTTCGTCCCACGCTTCCGGTACCCGAACAGGCTCTGACGAACTCATACATACGCACCCACACGACCTTCAGTGAACGTTATTATGCAGTTCCTCAAATTTTGGTTATCCATGTTGGCATTGGCGGTGTGCGCGCTGGCCGCCGAGCCCCCGAAAGAACTGCAGATCGCAGTCACCTACTTGCCTGACGACTGCCCCGCAACTGCCAAGACTGGGGACGCCATTAAGGTGCACTACGTGAGTTTTGGTTCGTGACTTGTCTATGTCGTGTGAATTCACATGAGGCATGAAATACAGACTGGGACGTTGTTCTCCGACGGTAGCAAGTTTGATTCTAGGTCAGTATAAGTCTTTGCGGATTGAAGAAACTTGATTATAATCATCTTTGTTTAGCCTCGACCGAGGCCAACCATTACCTATCAAACGTGGGCAATTCAATTTGCATGCAAGGTGTCTTGCTAATCTTTTATTTATTCAGTCGGTGTGGGTCAGGTTATAAAGGGATGGGACGAAGGTCTCCAAGGCATGTGCCTCAACGAGAAGCGTACCTTGACGATTCCTTCCGACATGGCTTACGGTTGGTTTATTCCGGCAATCTATGATGTATATGCTCAACCATGGTTCGTTAGGTTCACGTGGATTTGGCAGTGTTATCCCTGCACATTCCGCCTTAGTCTTCGACGTCGAGCTTGTTAGCTTGCAGAAAGCTTCTCGTTCAGAATTGTAGACAATTGTTGATCAATGGTTATGCACTAATATTAATTGTGCTAGCGAATTTAATAAATGTACGTGAAAGTTTGGGATGAGCTACATAATAGCCTTCACTTTGGCTGCACTTGCGGCCCCTTGAGCTTCTCCGTCACAAGCTCACTGAATTCCTCCCTAAGTATAGCCTCTCGTCTCTGCCTCTCATCTTTCTGCAACTTCAATATGCCCCTCTTCTCCTCCGCGCTAATGACCTGGTTCTCCTTCCTCATACGCACTGCGTTCATGCGCTTGTGCCGGCTTCCACTCATTACATAGCCAACTGACTCGAATTGAGCAATTTCGTCCGAGGTAAGACCGATTTCACCACGACGTGGAATACGTGTGTCGGTGTCGTCCTGCAAGAAGGCAGCCATGGCGCTACCTTCACCGCGAAGTAGAGCACTACCATAAGCGCGTTCATCGAACTTCTTCGCGATAACCTTGTATAGCGGTTGGGGTCCGACATCCTCATCAGAGTCCTCGTCCATCGCCTCTCCAGAATGCGACGGGATAGTGGTTGGCGGTGGCATAGAGCCAAGACTCTGACCGACCGAGGACGAAGAGGCAAATGGTGCAGCTGCAGGTTTCTCCACCCATTCGTCCTCCTCGGGTGCATGAGGGGACGATGGGGTATGGCTAGGACTTGGGCTGCGAGGATGACTCTCGGTCTTGCTTCTCTCTCGGTCTTCTTCCGCACTGTCGTAGCTCCGGTGCCTGCTAGGTGCTCGACTCTTCTTTTCCTTCCTCTCCCTTCGTTCAGCCCTGTCTTTCTCTTTCTGCGCACGTTTTCGGTCTCTGCGTTTCTTCCGCCTGCGCTCATCCTCGCTGTCAGAGGAGTCAGTGGGGGTTGGTGACCGATCACGTTTAGATTTGCGAGATTTTGCATCGCGGGAAGGTGAACTGAATGTGATTTGAGTATACCGAATGTTAAGCAGCAAAATGAAAACATACAGTGTTCTTGTTGCAGCCTTGGGAGAAGGAGGCCAAATGCTTAGTGCCGAAGCATCTCTTTGTGCTCGACGACTATATGATAGTCAGTAAAGTATCCAATAATTCGATGACTGCAAACGTACCCCTCCAAATACTCGCTCCCTCCACCACCATACGACCCACCAGCATGCGGTGGTCTATCCCTCCCTTGTCGGTTAGGGTACAGATTCTCCTGACTCCGCCACGGAGCCTCAGCAGGCGGAGGCGTAGCAGGGCGCTTGTAGTCAGTGTATTCAGGGCTTGCCCGACGCCGCTCTCTGCTTCGGTCCCTCTCACGATCTCGTCCTCGGTCAGCGCTCTTGTCGCGCTGTCGTCTATCATCATCTCTTTTTCTGTCATCTCCTCCATCCCTGTCCTGATGCCTACTATCATCCCTCCTTTTGTCTCTTTCGCGTTCTCTACTGCGGTCCCGCGCTCGGTTTCTGCCGCTGTCTCTTTCTCGTTCACTATGTCGCGGTGGGCTACGTGCTCGTGGTGAAGGGGAGCGTGCACGTCTGCGAGCGAGATAAGTATCTTTTGGGTCTTGTGGGACCAAACCCATGCGTGAGGGATGTACGGTCGCCATGTTTAGTGACTACTTAGATGCGGAGAAAGGAAAGTCAAGGAAGATGTGGTGCGCGGCTGAGGAGAAAAGCGTGGGAATCAATTTAGATGCCGAAGTCCTAAATATTGAGTGAAGTACAAAGTTACGACGCAGGGAAAGTGCATGTATAGTAGGGAAAATCCATTACTCGGTATCAGAACGTAACTAGTCAATATGATACATACAGTGGTAGGTGTGTGCGAATTGAGCGGTGTCCAGAGATTAGAGATAGTCGTACAGGATGTAAATTTGAGAAGGATATTGTCCATGAAGAACGGAAAATGCGCAATTACACCGAAGATGCAATTGAACTGCGGTGTTGTGCTGGGGTATCGGCTCGTGGAGCTTGATGTCGTCCGTGTTGGAGTGAGGGGGGGTGAAACGGGAGCCGCAAAAAGTGCATAGAAACATCATTCATCCACTAACATCATCATGTCGTGCTTTGAAAGCCTCCTCCTTGAGTCACACCGCCTCAGATATTGACGCGCGGACTCCTCAAATATCTCGCACCCCTCAAAGAGGCTCTCAGGCACCACGTCTTTCCGTTGCTCCCAAGGCTTGAGGTCCACCACCTCGACGCGGTCAATCGCGACGAGTATCATTCCGAAACTATAGGCATCGGCCAATAGCGGATCCTGACACTCCCCGCGGAGGACCTCTGGAGCCGCAAATGGCCGCGTACCTGGGTGTATCTGCTCCACCTTCTTTTGCGGTGCTGCAGCTGCAGCCGACCCTGTCCGTGCAATGTACTGGAAAGGATCCACAGGCTCATCCGATGGCGAGATGAATACCGAGTCCATAGACACAGAACGTCCAAAGTCAAAAAGCTTGATGGTATCAGAGGAATGCGTCACTTGAATATTCAGCAGTGAGAGGTCTCCATGACTCAGTCTAAATGAATGTAGGTGCGTGAGGCCATCGAGGAGCTGGTTGTAAAAGTCGATCTTCTTTTTTCGGGTTAAAGCTGGTCTCGGGCGAATGACCTCATATAGAGTTCGTCCGTCGATGTACTCCAACACCATACCAACATTCTCCAAGCAGCCTAGAAACGCGGTGATATTGCGATGTCGTGACACCGTGGTATATACGCGCAGCTCGGCGAGGAACTGTGTTGTCACATCTGATGCATTTGACTGCATCTCTCCGTTGATCTCGAGCTGTACAACGTCGGGTTTCTTGACAACGCACTTGAACAACTCGGAGGCAGAACCTTGTGCCACAGGGGCAAGGTTCGCGGTAGGGTTCGGTGGCGCAGAGTAAGCGGTTGGCGTAGGGAAGGAAAATATCGAAGTTGGGTGCCGTGGTGGATTGTACACAGGTATCGAGGGGTTGGGAGATGGCATTTCTTTTTCTTTCTCTTCTTCGATCTTTCGATCGAAAAGGCCATTGTCTGGTACTACTGCGGTCTCTTCTGATGACGAAAACGAGTTGGTAGACGGATGTGCTGTCTTCTCGTCTTCCTGATCTAACTCGACTACATCACGACAGAAAAGTCAGGAATCAATGATATATGTAAACCGTAGCAACTCACCCATCCACCAGTTCTTCTTGGATGTCAGCGTCACCCTCTTGACGTGCATTTTGGTAGATTGCACAAGAGATGACTGTGGCAGACGTGGAGCATGTGACGGATATGTTTCAACCATAGTTGTAGGAGCCCGTGATAATGGATGTTGTAAACGTTGACTGCTGGCACAAACGTGAACTGACCAGCGCTAAGTGCTTGACAGCAGAGCTGGAGAACGTAATCTGAGACGTAAGATCAAATTGCCTTATTTTTGGTACCGAATGCATATCTTTCCGCCGGACCCGTATAAGTACCATACCCCACATGTTAAAGTCGACCTTATGACTTTCCCCGCGATCTTTATTTACACACTAAACTATTCAAGCCACTGGCACCTTCACTGCTTGCATGAGGACTTGGAAAAGTTGACTCGAGTACCTTGCACTTGCAATTTCAAACCAGTTTTATTATCTTGGCACGATCCGAATACCGGCAACGCTAGAATCATCGAGGCGTTTTACGAATTACACGGCGTTCTATGGTCGAAGTCCACGACTGGATATACTATGATGTAGCGTCTGCGTCTAAAAAGTTATGTAAAGGTGTCCAAAAGAATGCAAAGTGTTATGCAAAAGTACACGAGGCGTACTAACTTCGCTGGCTCAAAAAAGCAAGATAGCAGAGACCGCTCCAACGTATTTCATCATAAAGACCAACCAGTTTCTGGCAGAATGGACCAAGAAACTGGTACCGGAAATCTGCTTTTGTCCCGCCTGCGTCGAAATAATATTCGAGGTTGGAAGGTTTTGCACGGGCATCGTCGACTGTTTCTCAATCTTGCCAGAACCGCACATGACCTGAATACCGACGGAGGGGACACCATTAACGACCACGAATAACACTACAGTAAACTCAGTCATCCAAAATCACGGAGGGGACTCAAAGACGCACGTGCGGGGCCAGGAGGCATGATAGCTGGGTTGGGAGGTAACTGGTTTACATGAAGAACTGCGCTTCCATCGCCGCTTCCCGTAAAAGAGCTCTGTAATTGTACCGAGCGCATGCCCATGTTCTGCAGCGGATAATTAATCAATTATAAATTTAAGCAACTGAGTCTGTCGTACCATCGTATGTGTAGAGAAACCGGTCCTCATAACAATAACTTTCGCCGTTTGGATGCTGTCCACGTTGCCGAAAAGGTCTGCCAGTGTCAGCGAAACATTAAAATAGGAGCCGCCGTAAGAGAGCTGGTTCGGAAGACCCTGAGGTTCTGGCCGACGTTGATTGTAATATGAAGGATAGAAGCGTTCGATTCGATATTCCGTAGGATAGGGGGCGGTGGTATTCACGTCACTGTTGGGATTCGAACCTGCCACGAAGATTGAACCTATAAATGAATTAGCGAAGCTCTGGTCTGACTAGATTAACCCCACCATCTGGAAGCAAGGTAGCCGTGGAGTGATACATGCGTGGAATGCTACTCGAAGAGAATCCATTAAGAGACCAGCGTTTGGTAGCTGGTGCCTTTGGATCATACATGAGCGGCGTCAAATGTGGCTGGTCAGCGTATGACTGGCCAATATTGAAAGACTTGTTTCCGTAGCCGGCAGTACCTAAACGTCAAGGAAGGCACATTACAAGAAGTTTGTTGGGAATTTTCTGGCACTAACCTGTCTTTGCGCCGTTCAAACACAAGATTCTTCCATCAGGAAGCAGAATCAAGTTTCCCATCGTTCGACCCTCCGGCAATGCGTCCATTTCAACGTAATTCGGGGACTGGTCGGGGGTGATCTGCACACAGGAAGAAGACGCTGGCCAGTGAGGGATGTCCCAGTCTTGGCTCCATCTGCATTCGGGTATTAATTTTGTCCAAGAGACTTACGGTATGGAGTGTGGACTCACTGCTCGGTACGAATGTTACTACCACCACAGAACATGATCGACGCCGTATAGTTGTTGTCTGGGGTCAACGGTAACATCGTGTTTCCGGCACTCGCAGGATATACACGAACGGCATCTGGCATGTCCTGCAACGGAGTCTCCTTGTTTTGGTCCATATCAAGTAAGACCGTTTTCCAGCCAGACTGAACAAAGAGTTTGCCAGATGGAAGGAGCCATATAAGAGGGTACAAGTTTGTTGGGAGCGTGGACTGAAGGATGGGCGAGACAATTGGCTGACCACGACTGGGAAAGAATTCGTATGTGGGGTTGGTTTGTCCTGCATCACTAACGTAGCCTCCATATGTGCATCCTCCGGCCTATGGGGGTTAGTGGATCAAAAGTACATCGAAATGTGAAAAACGTACAATAATGACGCTTCCGTCCTGAAGCGTTTCTCTGCATTCGCGACATTAGTGCGGGGTGACACGTTGGCAGAGATACTCACAGGGTGGGATACCAACGCCTTGTAGTCATGGGTGCAACCAAAAACCAATTGCAGTCACCGCCATCGCACGGGTTGAGCATCCTAAATCAGCTCAGAATTATCTGCCATATCAGTTAGGAAAATTTCGTACCGAATACTGAGGTGCAGCGTGGCAGGATCATTAGCCTGATATATAAGGGAAAAAACGACTCGTACGATTGTCCGCCATCGAGATCATTATAGGGAGGTCCGCCGAGTTGGCCCGTGGCTACACCGCCATAAGTTACTGCTTGATTCCCGCCAACGTTGAGCCACGTCCCATTGCCTAAAACACTTCCTCCCTAACCGATTGTCGTCAATATTTATGCGGATGAATAGGGGGAAAGAATAAGCTCACCGCGCAGAAAGAGTTCGTAGTAACATCCATAGGACGCGTTTGTTTCGAGCTAGCAGACCATTCTAGAAGAGACCATCATCATACTGGAACTAAATGTCACGGAATAATACGAACCTGCAGCCCATGCAGGGTGTCCATTGATTTGTGTCGGGTTATTTTCTGTTTTGTCAATGATATACACCTTGTCTTCGGTGCCCAAGAATACCTAAGGTCGAATATCAGTCAAGTGAAGTGAAGTAGCGACCGGCGGGCTGACGTACCTGTTGGCCACTGCCAATACTGTTGCCAACGAGCTCAAACGCGTTAACCTTCATAGCCTGTTTGGGCTGGCCAGGTGCGTTCCTCGCCGCAAGGACATATCCGACAGCGCAGAGAAGGCATAACGCGAATTCAGATACTGTACCGCTTGGGAGAAGTAGGCAGAGGCATGGCGGGAATGGCGGAAGAAGGAAGACAGCTGACTTGACGCGCCAGACATTGTACGGATGTATATATGCTGAACAGTATTCCAGTAACCATCGATCAGCATCCAAAGCCGAAATCTTGCCGCGGAAGGACTCGGAAATTGCGATCACAGACATGCGCTCCGGCATCTGCGAGACGACACCATTCATTGCTGGCGGCTTTGAAGTAGTGGCAGATTTAGACCTGTAAAGTACGTGCATGCCCCGCCAACTTGAATCAATACTGATATGGAAATTACCGTGACAAGGCAAGGATGTGCGTATCGCTCATGTTTTATGTAGTCTCCCTAGCCAGACCTCTCGAAGGAAGGTAGTCGTTCCCTACTAGTAGGCCTCCAGGGTCCTCATGATGCATATGGTTTCCGTTCGAGACCGTGGCTGTCATACAACTGCCAGTGGGTTCCAGGCCGTTACGGTATACCGATTGGGTGACAAGTGAGTTGGCTCTACTAGTACTAGTCAACTCTAGTCCGAGTCACCCGTAGTGTTTCAGACCCTTCGTAATAGAATGATCCAGAAGACAGTCGTTCCAGCGTTCCTCGCTTCAAGCTCAAGCCTGTTATATATGGACTTACTCAGCACTATATGTAATTGTCCTCCATGTTCGTTTTTCTCACTACCCAAGTTGTTTAGGACCTCGTCGCGGCAATCAGTAACGTAGTCGACGGTGATTCCGGTATTGGACCAGAGATTGGACCAGTATCTTCTAGCAAGACCAATCGGTTGAAGGAAGATGATCGTTCATTAGACTGGACCACTTTTGATGACCGCGCACGATGGAGTTAAGCAGACCGCGCAAATGTTGTCCCTAGCTGACGCCAATGGAGTTTTGCATAATTCTAAACCCGTTCTACCATGAATTGACTACACTGCCCTTCCAGATGCGGAATGAGTCTGCCGGAGTATCACCTCCATCAACATGCGTGTGTAGCACTTAATTTCTATTCTGTGACCTCCACAGTTAACGTTGATCCGTCACCTCCAAGTAACTCGCATCGCATTGGAATCGATATATAGCTGGAAACCAACATCGAAAACCCGACTTCTGTGATACGTGGTATAGTCCACAAAGACTCGGAGTACCGACAGTCACGGTGGATGCAAGGCATCAACAAGAACCCCACGTTGGCCACTTCTACTCCTCAGTGAGTACAAGATCATGAGTAATAGAACACACCATAATTATTGAGCGTTCGAACGTAGGAATCCTTCACCAATGTACCTCCGTGAAGCGAGAACGGTCCAAGGCTCTGGTAAAAAACGCCGAATCAATACACAGAGCGTTGGTCTCTTGGTAGAGTTTTCCTCAAACGGTCTGACGGACATGCTGGCATCATGATGATCAATGAGCCATCGATATATCTTGTAACACTGTAACAGGAAGGGAAATTCCTGCGACAAAAGAGAAGAACTTTCCTCGGGCATCCCCACATCTTCCCCCCAGGGACCTGCACCATTCTGTCGGTTCCTACCGGTTCCACAAACGAAAGCTCTCGGGTTGTCTTCAGCATAAGTCTTCTGTACCTAATTTCCGATCAAAACATGGTCCCGCGCCGTTCTGTCGGCTCTTGCCGTTCCACAAATGAAGATGAAGTCATGCTTGACAAGGCATCAATTTGGTATGTTTGGCACCCCTGAGGCCTGAAGGAGGATGCTGACAATGTGTGAACATATGACACACGTATGAAATAATCATTGAAGGTCCTTCTGGGATACGCAGGTTTCGCCCGTTGAGCGACTGTGTGCTTTATGTGACATATATTACCTCGGCGTCAAACTCAATATTTGCAGCTGAAAAATTATCCCTGGCGCGGTTGGTGGTGGTACACCACGTCGAATTATTATCTAAATGACCACTCGACAGTCTCGACGAGGGGCTGTAACAGATACTACTGGGAGATAGAACTCAGGAAGCAATCAATATTCAATGTTGATGCAGTCGAGTATCAATAACGCTAATAAACTCTAGATTCCAGAGTCTGAGTTCAAGATGAGCAGCTTTGAAATTCCGCTTCGAAAACGGCGCGGAAGTAGTATGTTCCGACGTATTTTGTCGTGCATCTTGTCGTTTCGGCCACGTGTCTCGGCGCAAAGTAAACATTGTTTCCAGTAGTCACACCTAGGTAGTTGACGTCGTTTCGGTCATTTGTCTCTGCACTAATACCATGGCATGTCTTCTACTCCACCGCGGTGACAGATTTAGCTTCTTGTCATCACATCACTATCTTACGGATATAGGAGCTTGTCTGCATGTAGCTGGTTCGAGAGTTGATAATCCAATGGCATTAGTGTTTTTGCCAAGGATTTTTTGAAGGATTTTATTAACTTGAGACCCGTTGAGTTTACACCAAACCTTGACTACTGGAGTCGGAAGATGTTAAGTTAATTTTCAGAACCTACATCCTGTTGAGCATGAACCGACAACAACAGCACGTTCAACCTTTCCTGGGCCTTCAAACCTTTTTATCCACACTATTGCACGTCATAATCAATAGAAAAGTGGTGTTTGCTGCGTACATGTATCGTCACGGTCGTGCGGCGAACATCCTTGACTCAGGGTTAATGCGGCTAGCACAATTTTAGTAGCGGTAACAGACTCGATGGACGGAACACTCAATTACAACGTTCTTTCTTTGATTTGGTACTTTAACGCATTAATTCTCACACTTATACTACATCAAGTGGAACACCAATTTACATTCTGAAAAGCTTGAAAAATCCTAAGCAAACACACTCTGCTGTTCATAACGATATTTAGCTACTGAATCTCGAACGAGAGCCGGCAGGACGGCCGGGGTGTCGGTGCCTCCAGTTCATTATCTTAGATCTAACATACCGATTGCATTGCTCGATCATTTGATATGGAAGTCTTCCGAAACTATTTTGACGAGCATCCAAGGAGTACCGCGGTCTCCATTTTATTGAAGCTATATCATGCATTCGTGATGCAACGTTCCACGCAAGGAATTTTAATTTTTTTCGACAGCCTGTAGAAAGCCCATGAGTTACACCGTTGGTGGGTGTGTGCGTAGATGATACACAATTTTCTGATTGTCTGCAAGTGTGAAATAGACATACTGTAATACCAAAACATTTGTCATGTCTCGGGGTAGGCTCCTAAGTCCGCAGAGAAGTTAGGAATTAATACAAGATTTGTTGTGAGTAGCACAACAAGGTCCTGGATGAAGTGAACATGTTCTGCGCCGATCGCATGGAGTTAATGTCAGCTCCCCTATCCATTTTGTGCATGCAAACAAATTGACTGAACCAGCAGCTATGAAAAAGTATCAGCCTAGAGCAAGCGGGTGAGTCAAAATGATTTACCGAGGGCTGGTTGTAAGCTACCTACTATCTTTACAGGAGGAAAAAAAAAACATTTATGTAAGGATCCTCTTCCAAGCACCTAAAGGTTGTCGTTAAAAAACTACATTTGGAACGCCGGGGGTCACATCATGGGAGGCTGATAAGCCGGAACAAGAAGGGTAAGTCTGACCTTGAGCCACCATTCTGGGGCGCTACTCCCTATCTAAGTATTTTGCTTGGGAGGTTTCTATTAGGCAGACGGAACGGCGGCTGTTGGCACGGTTTCATTTATATCGGCAAACGCCACATTCGAAAATAGTCCTAGCTACTAGTGCTACGCGTCAATCAATAAAGCTGCTGCTGCATGCACTGGTTCGATAAGGAAAATTAAATTTATGCTGCGCGTCCAACCTCATTGTACAGACAGGATCTACTGGATGTCCCTGGAAGGGACGTTCATTGATACCCGATCATGACTAGACAGTACACAAGTCGTGACGTCACGACTACATTCCTCGGATCTCACGCCACTTATCATGAACCTACTCCACCCGCTATAGCCAATAAAGTTCTTTAAATGCTGCCACCTTTGCCGCATCAACTACGTCCACAGTTGACTAGGACTGACTACTTAGCGGCTGAAACAAGAGCCCCACTTCCTCCTCTTTCGCACTTTTTTTACCGGTCTCGGCTCTAGCTCTGACGCTCATTCAATTAGTATTAACCTGCTGATCACATAAATCATCCGACCAGTGGCATCGATCTTCAGACTACTCCCCCCGTTTGTCTCTGTCGACTTACCCCAGAAAATGCGCGGTAATGGTGATGCATCGACTGATGCTGCCCCCAATTCAGACAAATCTACAGTCTCCCAGAATCGTAAACGTATATCAGGTAAGAACTATTTACAACTCTCACTTTCAAATCGCTTCTTTATCTTCTCTATGCTGTTTCGGGCACTGACTCGCACTGAGGGCGCTGTCTGGCTCATCGAGAGTGTTTTCCATTTTGTTCGCTTTCATTGCGCCGTAAATTACAATCATGGTGGTTCTCGATGGCGTTTCTCACTCGAACGACCTTTCCTGCCACTCAGGCTGGTCTTTACCATTCCAGTCTCCTTTGACCACACAACGAAATTACATCAATATTGGCGTTGGGCGATTCTCGTTGCTCAACTTGAACTTGCTTTCTGGATCTTTCAATATTACTGGCGTGTATCGTTGACACGCGCTTAGTCTCTTTTTATGTTTTGTTTGTGCCTCTTTAATTCCCCGGGATTTTCTACCCATTCCGAATCGTTCTGTGCGTCATGGCTTCGGACACATAAACCATTTCCGGATATCCCCAGGGACCGGATATATCCGTTCTATCGTCATACGGCACGGTTAAAGACCTAATTTTGTCGCTTCTCACTCAATTTGTCTTCGTAACTTTCAACTCAAATAGCAAATTTCGCTGAACTGTTGTTATGTTGATTTTTTCCTAGAATATCTGCACCTTCCTCGTTCACCACCACCACCTTCTCGTCGGTCGTCCTTTTCGAAGCGACACGCCTCTTTCCACTCGCCTCGAGAGGTTCCCCTGCCATCCTCCCCGTTAACGTGTTCTCAGTCAATGGGCTATCCATTCCCAAATACGGCTTCCGACATGGGAGCAACTTTGCTTGGCTCGAAAGGGTACATCTTGATGCTTCTCAGTCCTTTACCAGGGTCTTATGATATGCCGACAGTGACGACTCTACAGCATTGGATCATAGCTCCACCGGGTCGCTTCATTTGTCAGCGTCAACACAGTTACAACCTATCCCACGTACACCGCCAGGAATCGTAAGCCCTGACTCATCGCCGGACATGATGATTTCAGATCTCCCGGCCAGCAAGCAACGTGATACTCCTGATTCCTCAGCAACTATTCACCACCAGTTCTCGTCACATAGTATGGAAACTCAATCCGCACTGGCAGCGCCCATGTTTCCGTTCTCACGACCATACTCATTACCTGACAGTCATTTGTCTACACCACCTGCCGATTGGATAGATGGTAGTTCCACAACAAGTTTGCCTTTGCCACTGCAAACGCCTTACAATCGTCTACCCAGGATGGATAGTTCAGTCCCTTCCACACCCGGTGGCAGCCAATCACTTTCGGAGGCATCCGGGCGGCGACCGCTACCCATGCCACCGCAAACCAGTGCAGCACTTAACGATTTGCAATTTAGACTACCCAGTTCCTCGCAGACGGGTTGGCCATGTACGCCAATCCCATCGTCGCCTCCTCCGCCCTATTCGCGCGATCTTTGTCCCGATGACCAAACTCACTCGCCTGCTTTATCAAGGTCACCTTCTAATTCACACTCGTATCCTGCTCCCGAGGCACCAGTGATTTTGACACCGCCGACACAAGCTGAACGCTGCGGAGAAGATGCTGATAGACGTGCTCCACATGACTCGTTTCTTTGCCATACCCCGCCCCCAGATACTTGGATAGCCGTGGAGACTTCGCCGTCGGAGTATCGGTTGGTCGTGCGACTCCCTGGCTTCAGAAGGGATGGCATGTGAGTTTTGATGGTTTATACTCCCCGGGAAGTCTATTGATCACTTTCTCAGTACGCTCGCTACCCGCAGGCGCCGCATACTTCACGTTGTTGCTGATTCATGGGAGCCTGAAGGCGGTAAGCTGTCGAACTTTATTCAACTTATAGTGTGCTTATCTTTAATACAGGGCACTTCGAACGTCGAGTGTTATTCGGATATGACGCTGATCTGGCGCAAGTGCGCGCTGAATTTGATGGACAGATTCTTCGTATCATCATTCCTCGGCGTGTTCCGCCAGTTTCTTGGTATAATCATCAGTAAATCCTATCGTGGTCGAGCATTTGTCACTCCACTGCCATGTCAATAACGACGCATAACTTGCATCCGTGGGTTCAACTTTATCGCGCAGTTTATCCTCATCTAGCATGGCATTTCTTCGGATCCATCCGCCGAGGATATGCTCACTTCCACCTGTACAGTATTCATGTTGCCCATTTGACCACTTCTATACTCCATTTCCTATATTACCCTCTCGTTGGCTTCATTTATACTTATTTTCTCAACCGGTTTGATCCGATGCCACGGAAGGTCGACTTTACGTGATAGGCTCTGAGTTACTGAGAGCATATCAGTAGCTGTCCTTCCAGCGCATCCTCATCCGACTGATTTATTTACCCACCATTGCTTGTTCCAAGTCCCCCACCCGTCCGACCTGTGCTGACACAGCATATTTGGGTGTAATCAATTTGTAATGCACTTGATATATTTGTGAATTGAGAAGCCTTCCAGCTCCGTCTGGCAGATACGATCTGATCGTGTTGGACTGGTCGGAGCGCTAGCTCGGTGTGTGGAGCGGGAAACCTGCTTACGAATTCGATCGTGCACTGACTCATATGCGATGCGATAAGCACAACCAGAATATATATCGCATATTCTATATGCTATGATATATTAAACGACGAAAGTTCTGCGAAACCATGGTAAAAGGGAGTGGGCGCAAATTAATGTACAATATATATTTAAGAACTAGGGATCCGCGCTGCCGACTTGTAACCGTGAGGAGCGGGTTGATTCATGCAAATACAAATACAAGATATAAATACAGTTTGATTCGTAGTCGACATGGAAAGCTTTCAACTTGAAGCTTCCTCTGATTGAACGGATTCTTCATGGGTATCCGTGTGAATGGTAGATCCCGGATTTTATAATGACGTTTTCTGCGTTAGGTTCTCTTGAATATTTCCATAACAGGTCTTTATTTGTTAATTATTTGAATCTGTAAATCACGCAAAATATTGTAATTGACCCTGGCGGTAATAACGAGTGAGGATATACGTGAAGTATGTGTGGTACTTACTTGAAAAACGAACAGAGGAAGTTACACGTGGTGCCGGGAAATTCCGACAAGCTACGTCACCCGGCAACTGACAAAACCTAAAAGTAGTGATGCGTCATAATTCGCACTGGGGCTCCACCTTCTGATAAAAATCGGACCCGTGTTAATAATTAATTAGATCATATAAAACGAACAATGTATATCGGCGACTGCTAACATGGAGTGTCGTTTAAACGACTACTGTATGAATTCCCACACATCAGTTCAGCAGCCAAGTGATCTTGGCAAGTTGTTCAAGTTCAACGGCAAGCTAGGCCATATATCTCACCTGCGTTCAAGTTCCAGCTTCGTCTGGCTCTAACAAGAGATAGTGGCATGGTCGAGCTGGTTCGAGCGTTAGCTCAGCGCTCAGGCCTCAGGGCGGGAGTCCGTGGGACGCAAGCAGGTGGAGCCGCTGGGAACCCTGCCAGCACTAGTGATTGCCGTAGAGTTCGGCCGCGCACTGCGTATCATGATGCCAAGGCAAACGATCAAAATATATTTCGTTCACACTGCAATAACGACGAAACAATGGAACGACGAAAACTACGATGTGTGGCCAAGGTTGGTGCAAAGAAAGACGAGGATGCACGAGCTATCTCGAACTCTGTGTCGGTGGTAGCTGATCGAAGAGCCAACGCTCAGCTAGGTACTGGGATCTATCGGGATACTCCGACAATCTACGTCACTTGGTACCTGGCCTCAGGGGGCTTGAACAATCGCGCAATCATATATCTCTACCTCCTTAACGTTACTCATTAATCACGCTCGATGTTCGCGTGAATGTTGCTTATCGCCATCCAGCACGACAGTTCCATATGGTTACAATCCTCTGCGGCTACTAACTCGGTCACCGACTCAGAGTCAAGGAAGATCAGACAAAGTACATTCTGAGCCTTCTAAAGGACCATAGTAACTCGTCTTATCTCGAGGCCATAATACTGAAAGTCGTAGATTACCAGTTTTGCAGATAACAGCCTCAGCAAGCCTTAGCACACGTCACCCCCTTCTAGTGCCGAGTCCAGGCCTTCAAGAATTCGAACACCCCTGGTGACTCGTGTGAAACGCGAATTTTAGCTCGATTCCATATGCACCACCGATCATCACTTCATAGGTATATCTTCCACCAGACGGGCAATCACAGACCATTAAAACAAATAGGCATGGAAGCACCCGGGGCCGATGGACGGGAATGTAAGTCTGTATATCTGCCCCGGCGCCAGTTTGAGCGTTCAGTGAGGCATCATTCTATTTTGGTTTAACCTTGGAAGTGATCGAGTCCCTCACATATACTATGTACCTTAGGAGCCCAGGTCACGGAGGTTTTCTCTTCATCTTCAGGGCGGGTATAAACATCTGCTTTATTATGCGGCTTTTTAGCCGCTGATCACTCACCTACCTACCTGCTCTTCTATATCCTCCCCGCAATACCCTGACGGCCCTACCATGCCATTATCTAAACATAACCAACTTCCTGACACACTGGCACGTACTTCAGTATACATTGACATTTTACCAGAGTCTAGTTCACGGTGGAGCTCATCTTCATCACATTTACATGGCCTATACAGGTCCCCCCAAGGTGTCATTGTGTTCCGCCCCTCCTCGAACACGCCGCGTCGCATGAGAGATATTGATCACACTGTAACTTTCGTCTCTACCTCTGTCGTCATTGCCAAGTCATCCTATATCATCTTATTGGATGGCGCACCCATACACAACGAGGACACAAAACTCGATTGTATTGGACCATATTTCACCGGTTCTGCGAACCCATCGGATGAAGGTCCATTGCTCTACAGCACAGCCTTGGTTCCAAAGTATTGGGAATTCTTGTGCAAATCCCCAGGTCCGTATTTTCTAACCTTCACATACAACAGACGCATGATTATTCCCAAAAGACCCCACCGTATATACCATCCTTCATGATGTGTACCGTCCTGCAGACCCGAATCCTTGTTTGCCGAGGCGCTTAGGCCGTCCACACCCGGTTCTTATCTTCTCTGCTACATACCACTTCCGGTACCTAGTGCCAGCATACATGCCCCTATCTTCCGTGACACCAAGTCGCCCAGATCAAGCCAACGCACCTTTCATGGCAAACGCAGCCGATTACGATTTACCGGAGCCCATCTGTCCGCAAAAACACTCTATGCATCTCAGCCTCTCAGATGACGATTCAGAGAGCCTTCGGTCGCACGAAGGCAGCTCGCAAAATCTGTTGAATGAGCAATTCATACCGGACGTCGGCTTGGATGATAACGACCTCATGATCAACATTCATTACTCACCCGAGATCACATCGAAGGGTATGATACCACAATCGTCGGTTTCAAGCCTCCCGAAGGACATTCGTAATTACGTGAGTAAACGATTCAACAAGGAACTCCGCTCTTCATATCTCCATCAGATCATGTAGGAAGGCGCGCACCTACAGAAGTAACATTATTTTGACGATTGAAAGCCGGGAGTATACCCCCCCCCCCCCCCCCCTGCAGTCGATTGGGTCTACTATGTCCGATATAGTGTTTTCGATCCCTTTAAATTAAAAGAAAAGAAGACATTGTATTGTGTGCTTGTTATTCTAATTATTATGTAGGTTTTGGAAGAAGTCTGAAAATGGAATTAGGTCATCACAAGCCTCTGTCTCCGACTTCTCTCGCTGAAGCTGGCGTTCCTCCGCTAGCGTTCAGCGTATTGAACGATGGCGCCGTGCACCTTCGATACTCAACGCAACCCACCGGCCCCCCCATCTACTTACTGAGTTTAGACGTAAATGTTCACGCCGTTCGGTGCTGCAGTTTCTGCTGCCGCATCTTACATGTGGCTTTCAAATTTCAACAAGCAACGCCTCAGATAAGATGGACGGCAATCTACTGCATACTGATGTATAACAGAATTCTTCTATATGCAGAAGTAAATCCGCATGTATGTACAATTTGACAAGACCGCGCAGCGGCAATTGGCAATAGAAAAGACAGAGTTTATTACGTAGGTCATGGAAGAAGTAAAGTTTTCTCACACTTACACCACGCCTCTAAGAGTTGGACAAGGAGGAGGAGAAATCAAAAATGGCGACGAACGAAGCAGCAACAACAGCGGCTCCAAACCCCGCGAACATAATCACCGCCCTGACTAGTGCCTTTAAAAGCCAAAATGGCGAGGCAGCATCAAGCACGCGCATAGCCCAGCTCCTCGAGCAGAATATGGGCCAACTTGGCGAGCTTATGCGGCAGGGCAAGCTCACTGCCGTACAGATCCAGCAGGTCCGTCGGCTTTTAAACCAAGTGAGATTTATTTATCTCACCTGGGCGTCTTATCTGTAGCTGAAAGATTACGCTGAAAAACACAAGTCCGCGACCAGTGCTGCTTCGGGAAGCGTGACTGGCACTTCGACCGCGAATGGCAGTACAAAGGTATGACTCAATGGGTAGGAACCTCCTTTGTCTCATCCCGTTTGTGGTAGACCGGGGCTGCTGCAACGACTGCTACCGCTTTTAAAAGCGGGTCACCAGCTCCTGTTCTTACTTCCACACCTGGTGACGGGTATCCCATTAGCCAAACTCTCAACACTACCAATCCAGGGCCCGTCCAGTGGGCAGCTGCACAGCAAGGAAGACCAACTCTTACAGGCGGAATGACTAGTGGCAGAGTGTCTGGTGAGTTCCTGATGATTATTTACCGCGATCCCGTCCGAGTACCGAGTTTGATCCATATTACCAGGTACCCCTGCTCAGATCACACGATCTACCGACGACGCTGGCATGCTCAGCTTAGATGACAACCGTTCACGAAGAAAGAATACCCCGGGAGATCAGAGCATGAGACGATCAATACAAGATCTCGTGTCAAGTGTTGATCCCAATGTTCGGATCGAACCTGAGGTGGAGGATGTAAGCCACTGCACTCGGGTGCCTTGATGTGTCTCTCATTGTGTCATCTACAGCTACTTCTTCAAATCGCCGATGAATTCATCGACTCGGTCACGAACTTTGGCTGTCGACTAGCAAAACATCGCGGCGGCGACACGCTGGAAGTCAAAGACCTCCAGCTTCACCTTGGTAAGTCTGATTAGTTCGTTCTTCCTCATTCTAGTATTCATTGCTCTGTCTCAGAACGCAACCACAATATCCGTATTCCCGGATTTGCATCAGATGACACACGAATAGCATTATCTCAGGCTGCCGTAGCACCTTCTGTGCCTGCAGCAGCAACAAAGAAGGCAGCCCAGGGTACATCCATGACTTTACGCAGTCACCGCTTGGCGCAGGTGCAACAAGCGAAGAGGGAGAGCAAGCTCGCATAGTGAATCGCTCTGGACACGATTTGGATCATGAACCAGAAACAATTTCCATTGCGACTTGCATGCACGACAACGTTCAACGGCTAGCAAGGTCTCACTCCCCGACGTGCTGTACTTAGCCTTTGCACAGGCGCATTTGCACATGAACAGCTGTACACAGCTCTCTCCAGAGTGTGGAATCGTCACGACATTTAAACGTTGTTGTCGATTAGAAATGAGGCAAAATATCAGCAAATGTTGTTTACTCTTCGCTACTAGTGTAGATAAGTAAGAAATGAATATGAACAATACTTCTCTATTCGCAGGCGACAGTCCAATTAAAAAATTAGCATTACGATACAGCATGGCACTCAACGCCGCGTCGGAACTCTGCGATCGCAGCACGGTGTTGGCTGATAGCGATGACAATAAAAATGTGCCAGATTGCGTGGGAGCCGCCACCACACCAGTCAAGCCAGTGAGAGTACCGCTCGGAAAAAAAAACGTTCCGGAATGTGTGTTGCGTAGAAGACGAGGCCGATGAGGTATGATGTAATAGAAGGCCAAATAGGATCTAGAAAAGTTCATCAACACGGGGGAAGTCAGGGAGCATGGTAGAGAAAGGGACTCACAAACGAAAGCGAACATCTGCGCAGGTGATTGGAGGTATGCAAGGGCTGTCATCGGGGCAGCGGCGGTAAATGCCAGAAACAGAAAGAAAGCAATACGACAGTGCTGAAGAAACTAAGTCAGTAAGAAATTCAAAGAACAAAAAACAACATCACTCTGTATTCGGCTTGATCGAACCATTCGAAGAATGGGAATGCGTTCCCTGCAATCCCAGTCATAAAGCTACAAACAAGAAATGCGTTTCCCACTTCCGGATGACAATTCTGGAAGCCATAATATACGATGGTGCCAACTGAGGCGCTGATAAGCCTGGAGGGATGTGAATGGTTCGGCAAATTCGGGAAGCCCCTAATTGTGCTCACCATCCAATGCCTACATAGTCTATCCGTGCGCAAAGCTCCATGCCCTGAGGATGTGCACAGCCGGCCATTGTGTGCCAGACCACACTGCTGAAAAGGCACAGAAGAGAAAATGAAATAAATGCAACCTCCGGGGTGTCTACAATAGTCGATGCATTAAATATGGGTATCAAATTGATGAGCCAAAGAACGAATGGAATGAGATGCGTGTGTATATTCACTTTGTGATAGTCAGCGTGTAACATATTTATAAGAAAAATAACATACAGGTTTCATTGTGTACAGCGAAAAGCGACATAAGGATAAGCGGCCATCTTTCTAGGGGGATGAACCTGATGCACAAATAAACATATTGCAAAGAAGGCGGGGCTTGCCACATACCGATAGCCTCCAAGGACAAATGGGTTGTTTCGCCATTTTGGCGGAAGGTCGACATACTTAATTAGCCGTGATCCTTGGAATGATTGTTTTACTGCACGAGAAATGTCCTTTGCCGCCACTTCTATGATAGCCTCTACTTCAGTGACATCATCAGATAGTTCAGTGATGAGTTCGGAGGACATGATGGAATCAATGAGGCCGGATATACGAGAATTTCCCGGGAGAGACGTGAGCTCACTAGAGCGAGGATCAAATGAACGTAGGTGCGCATGGAAGGACTGGAGGCGAGCGGAAAGTGTTGGTAGAAAACCAGAAAAGTCAAAGTCGGAAAAGCGGGAGCAGGCATGTTCTAACAGCGATGTTATGTCGCTCGGAGCTAGGGCTGCAATATGTGGACCGACGCTCGGAATATCAGGTAGACGCAAGCGCACGTCGCTCAGGGAAGGAACATCGGGGAATTCGGGGAGATGAGACTTTACTGGAGACATGTCTGGAAGATGGAGGTCCGGGAAGTGAGAGCATACGTCCGTTCGAATACTACGGAGCATTTCGAGGGCATCTTTGGCCCACTGTCTGGCTTCTTCGACAGAGTGACCACCCTTTGTCTTCAAAGCCTCAGTGAGGTGAAGGTCAGTAATCGGCGTGATTGGAGACTCGAGTTTGGCCAATCGCATCTCAATGTCTTCTAAATATGATAGGACAAGGTATCTGAGCGCAGCAAAAGTTTCTTTGGCCGAGTTAGATGAGAGGTCGAGTGCCTCAAGTGAATGAGGCAGGCGCTGGCAGATAGCCAGACGAAGGTTACGCTGCGCATCATTCGTTGAAAAGCGGCGTCTGTGACGAGGACGGAGTTCACTATTGGTCTCTGTCGCAGTTGACGACATTGAGTAAAAATGAGAAGGAAGATGGAAGATGGAAGACGGAAGAAAGAACAAGCAACTTGAGCCTCACCTATCCGGACCAGTGGACCGTGTCTGAAGTGAGGCCATCGGAATTAATATTCATCCTCCGAGGTACTTCTAAATATGGTATGCTCGGCGTAACTATTGGGTCACACCTCATCGGGGTCACGCTCAGTTTGACTTGGGTGCACAGGCTGCAGCTATGTTATGACTCAAGGAGCTCTTGAGGGCTTATTAAAACTCGATTCTTCCAATTGACCTTCATTATACTAACAACCAACAAATTTCGCAGGATGACTGTCGCTTCAGGACTTCCCCAACTACTTGTCGTAGGTCTGGGTAACCTTCCATTTCCCCACACTCGCCATAGGTGAGTTCCCATTGCTACAATACAGTTGACAGCCGGCGTGAAAGACTGACATAAACCGCAGCATCGGGCACCTCATAATTGACGCATTAGCCGCAAGACTGCATATACATATGTCCACTGATAGGACGATGGGCGGCGTGACTGGACGTTCACAGGTCACACTAGGCGAAACTGCCGTATCTCTGACACTCCTGAAACCAAGTTAGTGATCCAACTGTTCTAATTTCTCAATGACTTTTGAACATTCGGCCAGAGCCCCTCATGAATATCACTGGTCCATCAGTAGCAGGAGCTCTCCGCAAGTCTGTGAAAGTCTCAGATGCAATGATCATTATCCACGATTCACTGTCCCATAAACCGAAGGCTTTGTCTCCAAAAATAGGTGGTTCTGCCAATGGGCACAATGGTGTCCGTAGTATCATATCTGCACTCGGAGGCGAAACCCTTTTTCATCGATTTCGCATTGGCATTGGTAGAGGTCCTGGTGATGCAGCGGAATATGTTCTGTCGAAACTTCCGGAGGAAGAGAAATTATATTGGAATGGCGATGGCATAGGCCTTGACCTCATTTGTAACGAACTCGAGCGCATAGCCCGCAAACAGCTTGGGAGCCAAGGCTTACCGTGACTTCCGTGGGTTTACATTTCAATGTTTTGTTAATTTGCTAATAAGTTCTGGCCTTAGACTCGGACAAGTATGTAGTATTTGCCACGATGCGTGGCAAACCGCATCTCGATCCTCGGGTGTGACGGCTTCATCTCGAGTTTATCTCCGTTCAACACCGACAGTCTCGACTTGAACGCGCCCTCGTAGCAGACTGATGCTTGTACTTTCAGGCTCATTCATATGTATATCACGTATTCTGCGCGGCGTGGCCATGGCGATGAATCTCATGCATTCAAAACTACATCACGGGTATACTTAAACCTCACCCACCAACTTACACGCGATTATGTCCGACAGTGTTCGGGTCATTAAATGAATGCATATAAAATTTTCGCAAGATCTACATAAGCGGTCGGTATTATATAGCGTGAGCTGACTTCCCCACAAGTTGATAACGCGAACCGAAGTACGGTTGTAATCATGGTTGGCTGGCTACTGGCATCTGCTGCTGCAGTGTGTATTGGCACGACATACGCTCAGCCATCGCCAGAAGTTCAAGCGCGTATCAGTGCTGCCATAGTAGCTACCCAGGTATCCAATTCCACGGATATCGACTATACTGCTTTCGTGAATCCTTTCATCGGAACTGGTAGATCGCTTTTTTTTCGGCCGCTTCGCCTGTTCTGACAGCTATTTCCCAGATTACACCAATTATGGGGATGTTTGGTAAGTTTCCCTCCTCGACGCGTCATGAACCGTTGAATGACGCGTGCTATGCAGCCCAGGCGCGTCAGTGCCCTTCGGAATGGTATGTCTGAATTCGAATATCACCGTGACAACAATACGCACACCTATTTCCAGGTCAAATTCACCACCGACTTCACGGGTTACGCACCAGCGGGTAAGAAGTTGTTCCGCAGGTCATGTACGCTTCGGGTACGATGCATGCTGAATTGTCCATAGGGTACAACTCGGATCCGTCCCAAAAAGCTCGCGGCATGAGCCCCCTGCATGACAGTGGCACGGGGTCATCACTCGGGACGTATGGTAACTTCGAGGTCATGCCCCTCCTTTGTCCTTCAGGATTCGACACGTGCACCACCACGCTGCAGGCGCGTGAGAGGTATAGGAAGAATGATAGCGATGGTATGATGTCGTGTGTCGTATGGAAGTCCCGGGAGCTGAAATAAACGCGACAGACGCGTACCCGGGCTACTTTTCGCTGACTCTAGATAATGATATCAAGATGGAAGCCACAACGACGCGTCGTGCTGGGCTAGAACGCTTCACGTTCCCAAGGGGCTCGAAACCGTACTTCGTGCTCGACCTAGCCAATGACTTGCCGGCGTCATTTGCGGGCGGAACCCTCGATATTGACCCAGAAAATGGTCGTATCACAATTGGCGGCCACTACGGCTCTAGGTAAGTATCGAATGTCCTTTTGGTCAGTGACGTTGTAAATCAGCTTAATTGTGCGTTAGCTTCGGTCCCGGCGCGTACCACTACCAAGCATTTGCTTGTTATGATCTCTTGAACAGCGGAACTCAAAAGCTGAGTGAATATGGTGTCTGGACCGGTGATACGTGAGCACTGCGCGCTGCTGGTATATTTGATCTAACAATACGTTCATCAGCTACGGCCTTGACGCAAAAGCACTCGGTCAGACACACCTCAATCTCTCTCAGAACTTGATAGGCGGTACACCCTACCAATCAGGTGCACTCTTCTCATATGAGGGTAACCCGGAGGAAGTGATTCTTCGCGTGGGTGTTTCATTCGTATCGACCGACCAGGCCTGCGCCAATGCCGAGGAGGAAATTGGCACAAAGTCTTTTGAAGAAATCCAGAAGGCGTCCAAGGCTCTTTGGCAGGAGAAGCTCAGCAAGATCGAGATTGATGTCGCAAACACACCCTCTAATGTGACAGAGATGCTGTATTCATCGCTGTACCGAGCGTCTTTGACTCCTGTAGGTGTAAAACATCGTAGCGACGTTGAGCTAACCGTGTTCCTGCAGAATAATGCTACTCTAGAAACTCAAGGCGCGTTTGCGAACACGACATCATTCTACTTTGACTCTCTTTACTGTAGCTGGGATACGGTGGGCAGCAATAATGTGATGTCATAACTTTACTCACCCACATGCGCAGTTCCGAACATTTTACCCCCTCATGACTCTTCACTCCCCAGTCGAATTCGCACAAATCGTGGACAATTATATCGACGGCTGGCGTAAACTCGGCTGGATGCCTGAATGCCGCGCAAACAACCTTCCCGGGTGGACGCAGGGAGGGTCTAGCGGTGACACCATTGTCGCACAGTTTGCGGTGAATTATCACAATGAAGCGAAAGCGCTAGGAATCGACCTCGACGAACTGTACGCCGCGCTCGTCACGGACGGGCAGGTGAATCCGCCCGAATGGAATACAATGGGCAGGCAGGTGAATGTGTACAAGTGCGTAACTTCGTTGGTGGCGTGTTAGGTATGAGCGCTAAATTATATTTGCAGGCAATTCTCCTACGTACCTTTTGCTGTTCTAGACACTGGGAGCACCGGTAGACAGACCAGGGAGGGAAGTAGAACTCTTGAGGTGAATTCTCCGTGATCAATGCTGGTGTTTCGATCTCAAGATCCGGTTATGGCCATTCTAGTACGCATTCCAGGACTTCGGTATTCGCCAGGTGGCACAAGTGCTTGGAAAAACAGACGATGTTGAATACTACACGAACCGATCATATGTGAGCGAACAGTGGCGTCCAAAGTTACTGATCGCAAACTTTACAGTGGTACCGCAATGTCTGGGATCCAACTGTGGAAAGTGATGGATACCAAGGTATGTTGTGTCAGTGTAGTCATAGGCATGTCGATCCTGACGTTGTCATCGCAGGATTCATGCAGAAGAGATTCTCCAATGGAACCTTCTATAACACCGACCCTGTGGACTGCTCGCCAAAGGACACCAGGAGCACTCAGGAGTGCTCGCTTCAGGAGGATAACCAGAGCGGGTTCTACGAATCATCAGTCGTGGGAGTATAGCTGGTGAGTGTTTCTGTTCTTGCGTAGAGACGTGTTGGATGCCTTACGAGGGACAATAAAAGGTATGCACCGCATGATACGGGATACTTGGTTGAGCTCATGGGAGGAAATACAACGTTCACGAATCGACTCGATCATTTCTTTGAGGTGGGTCCATCCTACGGCTCGTCCTAACTAACATTTACCTTAATGACATCTAGGCCGGATATTACCTGGCAGGGCAATGAACCTTCTTTCCAGGCTAGTCTTTGATATACAAGGTTGAAACGGTGCTGACCTGTGGAGCAGGCACCCATCGGATACCACTATGCAAACCAACCTTGGCGCTCTGTTGACCGTGTCCGCGATGTTGTCATAAACAACTTCAATACCGGTAAAATTCGAGAAGCTAGCTGATATGGAGTGATGCTGAATTAGATCCAGGCACTGCAGGTCTTCCTGGAAACGACGACCAGGCCGCAATGGCAACACTCCTCGGGTTCCATCTCTTAGGATTGTACCCAGGTATGTTCCTCATTCGTTCACCCACCCATGAAATTAACTCGGGCGCAGTTCCCTCAACGACGCGCTACCTTATTATCTCCCCCTTCACGCCAAAATATACCATTCACAACACCTACCTCAACACCAGCACTACGGTGACTGTTACCAACTACTCTTCTGCGTCTGTGGCGTACCCAATACCCAATGGTGTGCCCGCAGTACGTGAAAAACGTGACGATCAATGGAGTGCCTGCGAAAAGTAGATGCTATATTGATTTCTATGATACGTTTAGAGTGGGTGGGGAGATTGAAATAGTTGTCACGGAGGACAAAACGTATGATTGCGGTGGGCATGTACCAGAAAGTCTATCGATGGGGGGATTTGCTAGTGCACGGTAGAAGATTGATGATAACCAGTTCCCTGTTGCGAATAACATGCTTTCGATAGCAAATAGTAGTCAAGCTCAAGCCGACAGTCACAGATCGGATCGTCTGAACGAGTTATTTGTGCTTGTTTGCCCATATAGGTCCGTGCAATAATCGATGATATTGATGCCTCGACTCGCGATCTGATCTTTGCTCGATCACAAATTAAAGGGCTGCAAGGTCCACTCAGCTAATCGGGCTCGCCATCGTTCACGACGCATGTGACAGTATGGAACATGTTATCGCCATCGGTGTTGGACTCGCCCTACGCGCCGTCATCGACATCCTTACTGACAGTGATTATAGGCTTACTAGTGCGTCCCATTATAAGTAGCAGAATGTTAATATGGCTCATCTAATTGTTATTATTCAAGGTACACTCGTCGGGCTCTGGGAAGGTTTTGTGCTCTCGCATTTCCTCCATAAAAATCCGCGAAATCCCAATGACGCATATCTTGCCCTTGCTACTCGGTTCGTTATCGACTTTTTGCTCGTGAACTCGCCAGTCCGGTTTGCCCTCACTGGCGCATGGACACTCGTCGGGCTCCTCCTTGCTGACGTAGCGCCCAGCGTGTGGCGAGAGACAGGGCTGAGGTATGTATACAGGGCGCTAAGGAAAGATGTCAAAGCTATGAGGAGGTCCATGCCACGATGGAGGATTGAGAATGATATACAGGTCCCAAACATATCTATCTCAAATACTGTACCAGGTATTTTGTCTCGTCCATCATCCACTATTGTGTCGAGCACGCGCGCTGCCCCGCCGGCTTCTCCGGCCCAAATCCTGCAGAGGCGCTCAACATCAGGCTCGCCCTCTAGCCAAGGAACCCCTTCCGTGACGGATACTCTTACGCGTGAAGTTCTTCCAGGACCCTCCCCGGCCCTCATTCATATCGACGTCGACCCTGGCTTTCCTCCTTCTTTCAACCTAGAGCCGCCCTCTCACCTCCCGTCCCTCCTCTCTTCTAGTTCTGATTCTGATTCTTCAAGGCACGACCCTATACCAGTTCCAGATGACGACCGAGTACATACCGCCGTGCCGTCCCAAATGCAAGAACGGGATCAAGAACAGGAACAGGAACAGGGTCCAGACCTCAGCGTGCTCAACCTCACTCCACCTGTAGCCGTACTCGAAACAACAACCACATTCGAAATCATCTCCCCTACCCCCCGCGCGCTCGTCAAAATTCTCCCTCCCATTCCAGATTCTGAGATTGATCTCTCTATCCATGCACCGCCGGTTCCACTACCGGAATCACCTTCTACTTCCCGTGTAGGGAACCTATCATCCACCTGTAGCGCGAGCATATCGAGCCAAAACGCTCGCACGAGAGTCGGGGAAGTTGGTCCGGACCGAGGCCCTGATTTCGGGAGAGCACACACGCCATCCCATCAACGGGCGAGCTCGCCAGGGGTGTTGGGACAGACACAAAATCAGCCTACCTTCGGTAACCAGCCGAATTCGGCAGGACACCAGGCCAGCAGTAGATGGGAACATTCGATGCTCCGTCACCCTGAACACAATATCCTGTCCGATGGTGCTGCTGGAATCGGTGGGTTTGTCGCACGGGCAGGTGGGCAGATGCCTCAGCACTCTGGTACGCCTCAAGCCCACTCCGGCAATGACGGTGTGCGCACGAGCTCAGCGCTTGGGTCGAGCACGCCCCTCTCCGCGTCCAAAACGCCCGCTACTCTCCCAAATCCAGCGCCTGTTACTCTCCCAAACCCAGCGCCCCGCTACTCTCTCAAACCCAGCGCCCGCTTCGGCACCCCAGACCAAACCGCCAACGCCAGCGCCCCAGACCAAACAAACGACTTTCCAGTCGAACTTGACATCCGGCAATGCAGAGCTCCGTTCAACCACACCCGCACCCGCGCTTCCACCCAAGACCCCCACACCTGCACCTCCCTCCAGGACCCGCACACCAATACCCCCATCCAAGACTTCTACATCCAGACCAAGATCGAGGTGTACAAGCCCAGGTCTTACATCCACTTCCGTCCGCAATACCGATTACGACCCTGCGAATCCAATTCGTCCCATGCCAGGCCTCAAATCTCCATCTACCGAACCAGACCCAATCTTTCCAGGTGAAGGGGCGCGTGATGAATCTGCCATTGGGGAGTTTAATCTTTTAGATACCGGCGATGTTTATGACGATCCGCCACCGCCATTTAAAGAATTCGAGTCGCCTGTGAATCCACGTGCGGCGAATTTTGGTGCAGGCGTTGATGATAGGAAGGAGTCAGGCGAACAGGTCGCGGAGGGTTCGAGAAGTGAGGGTGCCAAGGGCGTTGCGAAAGAAAAAGGGCTAGAGGAGGTCGCCACAGGAGAAGGGGCAGTTATAAACCAAAATGTCGCGGATGATGTGGGTGGACAAGAGGCAGATGAGGGTACTAACGAGAACACTGAGACTTCTCAAAACGCTGGGGATCATAACCAAGACACGGGCAAGAATACCCCAGAACGAACTCGGGAAAAAGTGGAAAATGGCCCAGAGCAAGGCACAAATAAACAAGACGGGAAGGGTAATCAGGCAAGTATTCAAGGAGCGGGTAGAGGTAGCCAAGTCATAGGCGAGGATAGCAAATTTGCAAGCGGGGATGCCCACGAAGCAGGCGGGAATACTGAAGACGCAGGTACGTTCACCCACTGCCTACAGTCTTTGAACCAAGCTAAAGCTTCATCTCTAGACCCTTCGCTCAAACCAGAGCCAACACCTCTTACCCCAGAACAAAGCGAGGCTGAAGCCAACCGCGTTGCCTTCCTCCTTAAACAAGTGACCCGACTTGAGGCATCACGGACTAAACTCAAATCTTCCGATGTACAGGGTCTGTCCGAAATTCAGGCCCGTCTGGATCTCATCCAAGGGAGGATCACAAGAACCAATTTCGCTGGTACGTTTACTTTCCCTGACCTCGCTTTCTTCCTTCCCGTGCTCATGCTCACCCCCACAAAGACGCACCAAAAGATCCGTCACCCGCTCCCGAAGTCTCCGCCCCGCCCGGGAAACCTTCTGGTGTCATCGAAGAACTGGCGAATATGATCGTCAACCTGCTTATCGACCGGGAGGACGCTGGTCTGATTGAAGTGAACGTGTCTTTTCCTTCGAAGAGCAGGCAAAAAACTTTGGGTGGGCCGTTGAGGGAGTATGTTGCCGAGTGAGTGTATTCGCTTTACTTCTTTTCCTTTTGTAACTGCTCGTGACGCTGATGCTGATGCTGCAGCAACAAATTCTCCCTCCGTTCTGATCCTACCGATGGGCATTTTGTGTTTGTGATAACCGTGTAAAGGAGATTGTACGACATACGATACCCCCGACAACGATACCCGCCCTCTTCGGTGAAGTTACTTGAATCTTGATGCACTCTCAATGATAGCGATGGCGATGACGGCAAAGTAATTATATTTGTTGTATAACGCATGTAATACGGTACTCTATCTAAGTTATTATGATAAGCATCATTGATTTACTATCGGTTGATGCTGTTGGCATTGGATCAAAGTTTTAAAATAAATCTGTGGTCTATTGGATCACCTTATGAGCAATCTATTAAATACGTTAGGCTATGTGCACTTGCCGTTTTGATTGCACCTCTCATCCTCCAGTACTCCAGCTTGAATAAATTTCTTTCAAACGTGAATCCCCTTGCTAGCGAGGTCTGAAAGTACCCATGAGAGTTCCTCTGCAGTTATAAATAGTTGCAACATCTAGTGGTCCATTTATTCTAATTTCCACGTCATTGGTCTAGTATAGGTGTTACGGGGGTTGTCGGTAATGCCAGGAAAGGTCTGTCTATCAGAGCTTTCAGCTGCCCACTTGCTGTATGCCCGCATATGCAACAAGAACGCGGAGTTCCTCACTAATTGATCGATGCTATTTCTGGAGGACCTGCCAATAAAGCTGCGTCAGGACGAGATTCGTGAAGCTCGCACAGGAACTGACCTCAATCATTGGCAGAAGAGAAAGCTTCCTCATATTCCGATCCATGCCAAAGGCCGCCAGATCGGCGTGAGACTGCCAGACCTGTTGCGTCTACCACTTCGTGTTCCGCTCCCAGCCAAAGCTCCCCAGAGCGGCGAGAGGGCGTCGGACCTCCTGTGTCTACTTCTTCGTGTTCCAACCCCTCCCAAAGCTCCCCAGAGCGGCGAGAGGGTGCTAGACCTCTTAGGTCTACTTCTTCGTGCTCCAATCGTTCCAAAAGCTCCCCGGAGCGGCGGAAGGGTACTGCAGGAATGGTAACACCGAAGATAGAGGATGCGAGAGCGAGAGCAACCGTGAAGCGAGATAAGGTCAACATACTACTAGTGAGATTGGATCAAACAGACGTGTTTACCAACTAGATGATGTTGCGACACACACAGACACTATGAGAATCAGAATGCGTGGAGTCCTCATCCAATTTATAGGACATGTTGTTGCCCTTGAACATGCACTGCGTTAGCATGAAGTGCGAACAACACCGGGCTGATGCGACAGTAGCAGAGTGCAAACTAGTTTCATCATCAAGCAGTGATTACTCCTTGACGACTCCGCGAACCGTATCACTCAAATTCGAGGAACGCTCGGTGTCAGCGTCTCCAACATTCTGAATCGTCTCAATTCCGGGGGGATGAATAGGCCGTACATTCGGAGAGGTCCTACCAAGTGCAGAAACTATGTTGGTTTCCTGACACAACAGCTTTTGGCGTCGCAAAGGGAGGTGCAGGCTCACGTCCGAGTACGATTCATGATAACCCACCGCCGCGCGAGAGGGTTTAGATATACTGAGTAAAAGCATCTAGTGTTTAGTTTATTATGAGCGCGCGACCGGTGCTGATGCCTGAGAGTTAGTGGTAGTCATTGTAACGATCACGAGCTGAAAAATCAAAAGGGGAACCGCACTTGCCTCTGATTCGAGACTGCAATAAAATTTCTCCCAAATGCGCGCAGCCCGCTCTTGGAGCAGCCGTTTTTAGTATCAGTGATCAGATAGATACAACTTCGCTCTCGTCTAGGGGAAATTAAGAGCCGACCCTCTCACTGTAGGATAATGTTTATTGAATCTATATCAAGCAAGACAATGAGCCGTTAGCCATACTCGTAACCGCTCCCTGCATATACGATTGTATTATTTTCACTACTTACCTGTGCGAGCGGGTTCGAGATTGCTACCTTGGTTGAAAGTCTTTTGCAATGAAGCGTAATAATTTCGGTTGTCATCCTTGCTTCAGGAAGTTGCCCATTCGGACTCTGTACATGTCATGTCCGATTATCGCGTCGTTTGAGCCCCGCAGCCTGCCGGGATTGTGGAGTTTTGACCTGTCGTTGCCATCAGGACATAGTCACAACCAATTCATTGGAAACACCTATATCACATCCGGTGTGCAGTGTGCACTGTGTTCCATGGCCTCCGGCCCAAGCAAGAACTGAGACCACGTAAGTATGAGTTACAAATTCCAATTTCCAAAACGTGGCGCATTGGGGTTCGACCGAGCTCACCATTAACACCTTCCCAGCGGAATATGGCACAATTCCTGCCTGACTACATGCCCTCTCACAAAATCACGGTGCTTAGTAGCAGGCTTTATTTTCGCCATCGATAGCAAAATTGATAGGGGCATCTTCTCAGATGACGTTAGTAAGCCGGCCGGGAGAACCCGTTACTCAGACACGCTCGAAGTTCCGAACTTTTAACTTGGTCATTGGATCAAAGACAGTTGTTTCTAGAGTGACTGTACATCTGGGACTTGGATCAAATGGGTCATTACTCGCGGGGAAACCAACTACACCTTTACTCACCAAACCTTTTCGTCCGCAAGCCTAGACAGCCAACAAGCCGCAGTGGCTGGCGGCCCGCCAGTTGTGCCATCTGAATGGGGACATTGAAGTACTCCTGAAGCTTTTAAGTACTGTCGCTCACCACCTTCCGTCATGCGCCTTTAAAAAAAACATTTGACAGCTTGTTCTTGAAACACGATTGCCAGGATTAACGCGACAAAATAATACGTAGTTGCGGACTGACACAATTAATGTTTCCTCAATGCACATACTCAGACTCACGAACGAGATAATGTCGGCGCTTCAAAGTGGTAAGAAGTGTAATTTTCGAACCTTCAACTCTTCAGCCCTCCCCAGTCTCAAGTCCCGAGCTGCTGACGCTGACGCAGACAACTCACTCTTGGTCGCTTGGAAATGTTGTACAGAACTGAGAATGGCAAGTAGTTGAAGTTCACTAGACGAAAATCCTCCCATTTAATATCCTTTCCGAAGCCAGCCTGCTGCGAGAACCTTCTAACACTGCTTTTCAACTGCTGCGATGCCGTTCATGAATAATATGGTTTTTCGATCGTTGTCTATTGCGCAAGGGCACATGAAACTCTCGATCCACTATCCAGTTGCTATGCCGCTTGCCTTAAGAATCGGTGATCTTCTCGTGAATGGCGCTTTGAAATAGCAATCCTAAGACGTACGTAGGTGCAGGTTCCTCAACACGTTGAATAGCCGCTATGATTTTTTAGTAAGCACTAGTCAAACGATCATTCATATAGACTAACACAGCTTTGAAGCCATTCCCTTCGTCTTCCAAAAAGAAACAGCGGGCGTCGATTCAGGTTCATTTGCCCTGTTATTGCCTGCTGTAGTAAGCAGAAATGGTAGCTCAAGAACAAGTCGAGCGTTTTTATCTACCTCGACTAGGTGATACTTCCTGATGAACGCCTGTTTGCCAAAGAGCACCAACGAGGGGCGTCATTCGAGCCTTTGCCGTATGCCGACCATCAGCGCGGACTGCGGGTGATCAATTCAGGCCGCTGCGTTACGAGCTATGACCTCTTACCTTTACTTGGGATTATTTCGTCGTTGACGGTTGTTGTCCACAGTCTTTACATCCTGAATGTCGGCAGCGGGAACTATCACAGGGATCAGATAATAGCTGCGAGCGACATCTGAAGATCCACACCAGCCATTCCCTGGGGCAACTTCTTTATACAGGTTATCAACATTCAGCTGAGCTGGAACATAATTCGTACCTGTGTCTTTAACAATGACGCGGGCGGCGCACGAAATGTGGAGTACGTATAAAACGTAAATGAAGGACAGAATGTTGGGGCACATTGTGAAACTGTTGCGAGAAGTGAGCCTCACGTGTTTGATGGAATACGCGTGGACAAGCTGAATTTATAGCAGAAATGCATGCCTCATGGATGTGGGGCCTTCGTAGCCTTGCAGAAGCGATCGTAGGTCTCCTCCAAGAGGCCTACAGAATCAGCCCCGGCCTTACCCACATTATCTACGCTTCGGTGCTGAAGCGAGCTGCCAGAGCACAGCGCACAGTGTATGGGAAGCTCAGCTGCTTCGAGAGGTGTGAGAGTAGCTTCTCAGGCTACCGCAGTACCATAATCGCTGGGATGTTCAGAACACGCCGTGTTATCGACACAACAAGCAAGCGAATAATCACAGGCTGATAGGTCTTCTGCACTAAAAAGAGGCTTTCGATAGGTCTTCCTTTTTCCGCGTTAAGGTCATCACACACTCAGCATCTGGAGCTGAAGTTACTACCTCTGATATTTGGCGGTTAGCTGATGAATGACCCGACAATTGAAGACACTGAAAATCAAGATGACTGCGGAGTCCGGAACGGCATATGCGAATTATTTGTACCATGTCATGAAGCTTGACGCACACCGCGGATGGTTGGTGTTCCGGAGTCCGAAGTGTTTGATTGACCATGTGCAATGAATCACATCCCTAGTAGCGCCCGCAAATTATACAGAATATAATCAGAAGTGATTATTCGCACAACATAAAAAAACTATGTACAAAAGAATACATTACTTGTACCGTGTATCTGTGAGTGACCATAAATCAGAGCATAAGGAACAGAGACAGCGTTGTCCAGCAGTGTTTGTTTCCAGGTGATGAAATCGAGTGCGCAGTATAGGTAAGATATCAATATCGTGGCGTGATTGGTGGGGTAGAGTACTTGCATGGTTGAATAATCGTCGTAGGTCGTGATAGGATCCACATATACAAAATATGCGTGGGGGTCGTTGCGAATACGACACACACTGGTGGTGAAAGCGCCGTGGGCATGGCGTTCAATGGGCGTGTAACACGCGAACATTTAAAACGTGATATTCAGAATAAATGGCGTCCCCGGGTCATTCCGGACCTTGAACTTGTTCCTACAAGGTGAGGCATTAGTGCGAAGCCACATAGAAAAGAAGAAATAAAATAAAATAAAACCCATCTGCTCAAAGTGGGTGGAACGACGGGATAAAAAAACTCACTCTTTCACCCAATCTACAACAGCGTTCTTCAAATCACCTGTCTTTCCGTTTCCCCTCTTCTGCTTGTTGATATATCCAACGACCGCCAATGGCTCCGCGTGAGGCGTCTCTAAGAGCAGATCTACAATGGCGGTATGCACAAGGTCAACGGCTGACGGGCCATCGATGCCTGAAAGGGTGAGTTGGTGTGGGGTTTCAAATTCGGTGGAGGGGTCTGTGTATGGGAAGAGAAGGGGGAAGATTCAGCATCGTGGCCATAGCCAAAATAATTCAAATCAAAGAAGCACCTTCATAAACCCTCCTCTCAACTCTCCCTCTGACCATCTCAAGCCTCTCCCTAAGCCCATCCAGCCTCTCCGCACTCAAGGGACTTGGACTTCCCCGCCCTATCCCACTCTCCGCTTTCGCGATAAGCATCTCCAGCTGCTTCAGCTCCCGCATCAAGAATTCCCCGCGCAGCGACTCGCGCTCGGTCTGCTCTTGAGTAAGAAGAGTCGGCTCGATAGGCGTCGCTACCTCCTTGAAGGGCGGTGGCGGCGAGTTGGGGCTACTGTCGGGGAAGTCAGATCCTTGCACCCCACGGACGTGCCCGTGCTTCGTTATGTCCGTGTCTATCTCCGTCGTACGCTGCACAGAAACAGCCGCGTCTTGCGTTGGACCATCTGAGGTGGGAAGGGGGTCTGATGCAGAGCCTGCGGGGTTTTGAGAGTCAGGACCTGGTGTTTGAGCACGGGCAGAGGTCTGCTGTTGGTCTTGGGGAGTAATTTCAGGTGGACCGGGTGTGGTGCTCTGGGAGGCTGCCTGCGTGGCATTCTTGGCCCCTCTCTTCTTCCTTTCTGGCTTGCCTGATTTTTCTGGTTTCGGAGCGGTGGTAAGAGCAGGATTTTGATTGCTGGCAGAGTCGTCTGCATTGGAGATGGGGTTCGGGAGGGGATTGTCGGCGGCGGTGTCGATGTTGGCGCCTGGAATACTATCAGTGTTTGATGGTTGAGTCCATTCCACGAGAGGTTGGGGATCGGCAATCATAGACCTCGTGGTTGAAGCGTCAGGTGGGGCGGGTGTCTGAGAGGGGTTCCCGGGTGGGTTTTGAGACGGTACATTGGATTGTCCTAGTGCAGACAGAGGTTGAGACGCAATGCCTGACTGGATGGCAAACGCATTCCCGGTACATTCCACTGCAAATCCACCCACAAAATCATCGGGTGCAGTCACCTCGGTCAAAAGTCCGCCTACGAAAGCCGCTCTTCCAGTACCCGACAAAGATTCCGACATACCGCCGAAGATGGGCTCAGTTCTTGCGCTTTTCCCTACCGCTGAACCCACCACCGATTCATCGTCATTATCAGCATGCCTGAGCATTGAAGGTCCAGGGCCTGAGCTCATGCGGCGATGTCCCGTCACTGCGCTAGGCTGGTGCTGTGCTTGTCCGATAGTTGGACGCTCCCACTCAGTCGTGCTTACCTGATGCTGAGTAGCATCAATTCCAACGTCCAACCTGGCCTTGTCGCTGCGCGCGCGATTCAATATACTCTTTGCGCCAAATAGGGAGAGGACGCTGCCTATGACGGATGCGGGCCGTGATTCCGGCAGTGGCACTTGGTGAGCGGCGATTGTAGGGAGGGAGCTAATATGCATGCGAGGTGTTGGGGAGACAACTTCGACGTTCGCGGTGATGGTTTGGCATTCAAATGTAGGTGGAGGAATGTCGAGTGCACTTAGCTCTGGGTCCTGCCCTTTTTCTGGCGAATGTGAAGACACACTAACGTGCACCCAGCTGTCATTATGGGTAGTTATAGAGTCGCGTCTCGAAGGCCCAGCATCGGAGAGGTGTGAAATATGTTGGAAGTGCAGGTCGACGGGTGGAAGACAGGCGGGATCGACCGTAGTTGATATGAATGCTGGGGATGGACCCGGAATGACTTCGCGTACGCGACTAAGCTCAGAGTTCGTCTCGGAAAGGGCAGGGCGGCCAGGGTACGTCCCAGGTGGCATGCGTCTTTTGTGTATTTGTTGGGAGGGCGAAGCGGGAGGTGCAGCGCGGGTACTCGAAACAACAGATGATGGTGGAGCACGTCGAAACAAGCTTCGCACGGGATATTTGATGGAAATTTTCGGTACTCGCAAGTCATTCTTGACCTTCCATCGCGGTATGGCCTTCCTTATAGCTCTCACCTCCCTCCTTAGTGCCTTATAGACACTCTTCAGACCTGTATCGCGCCATATTCCAGGAGCGACGTCTGCAAGGAGGAGCCCAACCGGTGTCCATGCGCATGTGAGGGCAAAGCGAGAAAGTGAGTGTGATAAGTAGATGTCGATTGCCATGCGCGTAGCAAGGGCGAGGTATGGGTCTTTTGACCTCGATCGAGAACGGGTATGCTTTGAGAGGAAGTGCGAGAGCACGACGCCTTCCCAGAGTCCGATGAGTATGCCTTGCAACGAAATTAATGAGATATACTTGGAAAAAAAATCAAAGACTGCTCGAAACAAACCTATGAGTTTGTGATCTTTGCCTGTAGCAACGTCGAGAACGACGCGCAGAGCAATGCCTGCTCCAATTGAAAGTATGTTTTCCATGTCTTTTGTGAATGCATAAAGTACTGCGTTAAGCTCAATGTTATTATTCCTGTTGTGCGTTCGGCAAATCCCGTACACCAATTGCGCTCACTTCATGCACCGTGACATTGCACATCCTCAGCCCATCTCAATCAGATATTCCAGTTTGCCACTTCAGCGCTCAGCTTTAAAAGGTACTGGAAATTCTAATCATAAAAATCAATGAAGAAATGAGACTGAGGCGAGACAGTGCCAAAGTCATGTGATAGCCAAATGACTGAGCAATCGTACTACTAGATGATCTAGCATCTCCAAGCTCTCCTGGAGGTGCACATACAGGCGGCGGCCCTCTACTAATCAGGTTGCAGCCCGTGTCCTTTACCCAAGACAGGACAATCCTTTGCTGAGTCCGTGGAAGGAGGAATTCACTGTAGTTATCATCTGGTCATTCCATTCCTCTGCCTTCATTGAAGCTTATATATATTTTACAGGATTCACCATTCAAGGATACGTCAGAAAATCAGCCACCACTTGAAAATATCTTGCCTGGTCCTCCTCCTCCAGGAATGGCATGTGACGCTGCGAGAACTGCACCCACTTCACATGCGGGATTCTGTGGAAGAAAGGACTGACGCAGACGTCCTGCGCTTCATCCATGACACCGTTAGTGAGGAGAGTAGGAGTTGTGATTGTGTGAATCTGATCTAAACACGACCATGACTTCAGCGTGCCCGTAATGGTGAACTCTGACGGTCCAATCCTGGCAACAATGATCAGTACATGTCAAAAAGGTACGTTAAGACACCACCTACATCGTATGATACACAGTGGGATTTTGCATCATGGCTGCAAAGGATGTCTCCATCACCTTTGGCCAGGGGGTTTTGCAAATGTGCTTTTCATAGAAGATCCCCATCATTTGTTGATATTCGGGGCTATCTGTTGTCCCTTCTTTCTCGTGCTTCTCAATAGTCTCCCTCACATCCGCTGGCAGCGCGTTCAGCAGCTGGCCAGTGCTTTTTTCCCATAATGCCATGGATGGGGCTCCGCTGGTGAGGATGAGGTGTTTGAGACCCACAGGGTGTCTGTGGCTGGCATAGTGCGCCCCTAACATCGCTCCCCAGGAGTGACCCAGAAGAGCAAAGCCATTCTGCACACCGAGGTGGACAAGAAGGTTGTCCAGTTCATCCATGAACAGATCGACTGTCCAAAACTCTTTGGGCTTCTCGGCCACACCTTCAAAAATGGACTTGCCGATGCCGATCTGGTCGTAAAAGATGACGGGGATGTTACATTTGTCGTGAATTTCAGCGAGAGGTGTCATATAGTCATGCGAGATGCCAGGACCGCCGTGCAGCACGACGAGAGGGCGTGTACCCGAAGCGAGATTCCCGACGATTTTGTACCAAGTCTGGTACGTGTCATCACCGATTTTGAAATCTACTTTGCCTGTAACTTCAGTCATTGGAAGTTTAATGTATGGATGCGTTTGGAGAGCGAGCTAGCAACCACTAGGACGCAACCCTTTATAAACGAGAAGGGTGTTCCAACGTTTCAACGTTCAACGGACCATTCCGGCTGTTTGTCCATCGCTCGAAATGAAATGGCGGTGTTTAGGAGGTTGATCATAATATCGGTCGTACTAGCGCTGTACATGTGCATGATTCTTTGAGGAATTTAATGATGTAGCAACACTTGATTTCGCAATTGGTCTTGGAAATTATATTTATCCCAAACTCCAAACACGCGAATGCGGCGATCAGTAAGGAAGAGAAATTTGAGGCTTCGGACTAGGCCGTGACTCGAAATGTTCTATAGAGGTCGTGACGGTCGGTATGGAGCTTGGATGAAATGGGCACTCAAATACATATGTAGTACCAGCCAGTCAAAATCGACCATCATTCCCTGGTGATTCGAGTAGGTTCCGCTACCTTTTCAACCTGCGTCTTCCCAATAATTAAATTTGAACTTTCCATGATGGTCCATTGCTTTGCACTGATACTGATATGGTGAGGGTAAGATATCTGGTATCTGAACTATAACCTCATGCACTACTTCAAACGTTCAGAGCCTCAGTAATACACATCATAGTGAACACTATGCCGTTTTCAAAGAACTTTCACCGCTCACACTGGGTTAGTAGTCATCTCGTATTTATGACGAATCCTATCAGTCTTAGTAGTAGTATACTGTTTTTTTGTCGAGGAAAGTTGCTTCACCACATGTCATGTACTACAAGATGATCGTCTCGTCTGTTGTTCCAATATTCTTTGCATTAACTTTGAACTTTCCCGGCTTTAAAAGCATTTATCTCCTCCCGATGCTACTAGAGGTTCAAATTCATCAGCCAAGTCCTACGCCATCACCGGGACCTACTCACAGGATACACCATCTACGTTGTCACCGAGATCGGTACATTCCGAGATAGGGACTGCTGCTGTGAATTGCGCGAAGGCCACAGACAAGAGTATGACGTAGAAGCTGATGTTGAACACGCTCATGGTATTGAATGATGCTGTCCGTTAAGGCTCGCGGGTTAAGATGCGTTGGTTTATGCCAGATGGAGATTGGTGCTTTGACCCTTTTAAACATCAGCTCCTCGAGGGGGGTGCGTTGATTTACAATTCGGGAATGGTTTTTCCGAGATGTAGTACCAAGTCGCACGATATACGGTACTAAGAAAATCCCTTGTCCCTTGGTTCACACATACTTAATTGCGCGAACCTTTTAAAATCACCTTACCTTCGATAGATTGCATGTGGATGCCGGAAATGATAACAGTGGCCAAGTTGCCACATGAGTGAGTGAGGCGGAATCTAAAAGCACCGTGACTTCGCGATATACCGTATTTCTGCCGGCGGTTTGGATACCATCAGCAATGATTCACCGATTGGGCCAGCATCATAATGTGATGATTATGTGGCCATGCGACCATATTGTGGTCCATATGAAGAAGGAGCGACTGTCTTCCTTCTATCAAGATATGACAACTAGCCTCACCCAGGAGTTCAAGACCCTGCCTCGGTAATTCATTCTCCGACGTTCGGACTGGGCGCAAATTATACGTGACCTGCTGATTGAAACTGAAACAAAAGAACCAGTTTGACTGTGATGGGTTCGTAATCGTGTATCTCTAGCTTACCCGCAGCAGAGTAAAGTATTTTAGGGCTATGGTAAACTCGCTGCTTGTGCTAATCATATATCAGCAGGGTTTCTGGGCTTGCTTGCTTCAATAATCAAGAACTTGCGTTAGTACCTGCAGGCAATTAATATCCATGATGTCTCGCGGGGAACTGGTGGTTGGATGGATGTTCGGGATGCTTAGTATACTTGTCACCGTGTGGCACGTTCGCGTCCGACTGCAACCGGCACAGCATCGCGAGTACCTTCCATACGTGTTGAAGCAAAAACATGATGGACTGACCTCGGCATTTCAGAATCTATAGAATACACCTACGCTGGCGATGATTACCCATGGGAATTTCCTGTCGACCTCACGCATGAAGCCGTCGCGATGACTCTTCATGAAAGTGTGCATTTTGCTCTGAACGCATCTGACACAGAATCTCAACTGGAATGGAAAAGCCTCCCAAGTTGGCCGAAAATTATTGGTCGCACCCATCTAGGACCAGAGCACCGAGTTTTCGTGGTGGTCTTCGGTCATCAGCTCCACTGTTTATGGATGCTGCAGCAAGCTCTCCTCGACTACAACCGTGATCAACCCAAGGTTACATATCATCACACACATCACTGTCTCAATTATCTTCGGCAGACTCTTATGTGTGACCCTGCACATACGCTGGAGATGGGAGACTTTCTGAGCGTCGATTACGAGAAGGACAGAATCGGGGACACATTAGTATGCAGAGACTGGGGCAAGGCAAATTCTGTACTTGAAGAGTACCACGAGAAGTGGTTGCAGTGGAGGGCGCATTGGGACTAAATTGACACACTACTTCATATGCTTCAATCTGTTTTCGCTGAGCGCAACTATGTATTATTTTACTAAGTGATTCGATAGCCGCACTAGGTTTTAAATGTGTTCACTTTCAAATTCAAGCCTGTTTAATACAACGAAATCGTTCAGTCTTTAGTGCTGCCTCATATTACCGAGTTGCGCAATCAAAGTTTCTCGAGTTCAGTCGAAGAAAAAGTACCACAAATTGCCTCCTGTAAATTACTCATGTGTCTTCCCAAAATGTTAATTGTCGCAATTCATTCAAGGTAGGATGGTCCCTGGAGCCTATCCCTCGCTGTACCCGTGGAAGGAGGAAGTCACTGTGGTAATATGGTCATTCCATTCCCGCGCATTCAATCTTAGTTATATTTTACAGGATTCAAGGATATGTCGGAAATTCAGCTACCACTTAAAAGTATCTTGCCTGGTCCTCCTGCAAGAATGGCATATGACGGCTGCGAGAGCTGCGCCCACTTCGCATGGGGAATCTGTGGAAGAAAGGACTGACGCAGACATGCCATGATTTCAGCGTGCCCGTAATGGTGAACTCTGACGGACCAACCATGGTAAACAATATTTAGCACATGTCAGAAAGGTACGTCGAGACATCCATCACCTACATCGTGTGATACACGGTGGGATTTCGCAACATGGCTGCAGAAGATGTCTCCAACTCTTTTGGCTAGAGGGTCTTGCAAACGCGCTTTTCATAGAAGATCCCCATCATTTGTTGATATTCAGGACTAGCCGTTGTCCCCTCTTTCTCGTGCTTCTCGATAGTCTCCCTCACATCCGCTGGCATCGCGTCCAGTAGCTGGCCAGTGCTTTTCCCCCACAATGCCATGGACGGGGCTCTCCATGAACAGATCGACTGTCCAAAACTCTCTGGGCTTCTCCGCCACACCTTCAAAAATGGACTTGCCGATGCCGATCTGGTCGTAAAAGATGACGGGGATGTTGCATTTGTTATGAATTTCAGCGAGAGGTGTCATATACTCATGCGAGATGCCAGGGCCGCCGTGCAGCACGACGAGAGGGTGTGCACCCGAAGCGAGATCCCCGACGATTTTGTACCAAGTCTGGTACGTGTCGTCACCGACTTTGCAAAAAAGTCCGGCGGAGAACAGCGGTAAAACTGGTCGCTGACAGACGGCCCTTGCACCGATAATGCAGTATCAACTTTACCATCTGGCCGCCCAGTCACAAGGTTTGCTCATCTCTCCTGCAACTCGATGCACCCTTTCAGCGAGACATGCTAACCACTCGCTAGAACACCATTAACCGAGCTTGGAACGTTCTGTCTTGTCCCTGTCGCGAATTTTCCATGACATATCCTACAACCAAGGACGGCTGGTCAGTCGCGAGTCAACTAGTAGCATGAGGGGGAACTCACCGGCAGGTATGCCTTCCCATCATTGATAACGCCCTGTTTGAACTTTACTGGCAAAAGTCATCTAAGTAGCTGAGATCTCATTTTGTATGGAACCCGCATCTCGGCCCGGCTCTGAGATGCGGGGTCGATACGAAATGGGTGTCCAGTGTACACTGGTACTGTACGTGCCAACAAGGAGTGATAAGATTAGCACGTACCTAGGTAATTTGAACGTCCGGCAGCATGGTGGGGATTATGAACGACTTGATTGTTAGCACGATGCCATACATGCCGATGACGGCATCACGCTGGATGAAATCAACCACTTCAAACTCAACGTCAGTCGTAAACGAGCGATTCTCGTAAAAGGCAGTGAAGACATCAACAAATCGTTGACCAAGCAGTGAATGACCGAGAGAACGGCTGACTTCAGGAGATACGAGGGCATGGGGAACATTAGGATCAAACCAGACGCATACAAGAATAAGACCAACGAAGCCGACATGACGATAAGGGAAACGACAATGGGTGCCAAATAGCGAAGAACAAATGGGAGAGAAGATCTGGCCGGACCAATTGTAACGACAGAAGCTGGAGAGAAGTTGATTGATTGAGGTAGCTACGAATGTGCCACGTCTGGCTGTGTCTGTTCGGGCCACTAGATACCAGGTACGAAGGAACGCAAGAAGCCGGCGGTGTCGAAAACTGGCGCGTCAGCGGCGATACGACTGTAATTGCACCTTCCTCAAATGTAGGATTCTACTATTGGCACCAGGCTGATCAGGCATTTGCGATCTCGGCCACGTCATTTTTTAATGTTCTTGAAGACACCACTCACGGTTCACCGCACGCACTGGCGCCCAACGGTTGTGGTGCCAAAGAATATATTATTTACGAAGGTGCTAACATCATGATCGTGACTCGTTCCCGCCCACCCTAGATCATTATTCCCCCAGAAGGATCCGTCAAGTTATTCTGTTCATCATTTGATCCATCATGTCATCTAGTTGGACACCAGACGAATCGCCTGAAACGCTTCTCGCAGAGAAAGGTTGGTTGCAGGGTACAGTAGTTAGCGCCGTTGCATATGGCATTGACGTCGCACTGTACTTTATGTGCTTCAACCTTCTTTTCCGGCAGATGAACCGCATGAACTACAAAAAGCGCCTACCTCTACTCTTATACATCACCACAACTTTCATCCTCAGCACCTTATTTATGACAGCGCTGGCCGATTTCACGCAACTCGCATTCATTCAATATCGCGATTATCCAGGTGGTCCGAACGCATTTGAGAATAACATGTTCGGCATTCCTGTGGACAATCTTGGAAACGTCTGTGGGTTTCTAACGATGATGCTTTCAGATGGATTGGTCGTAAGTAGAGGTATTCGACGTTGAAAATGTTATCGCTAATATATCTATGCAGGTTTGGCGTTTTATGGTAATTTACAGAGGGTGTATGGTGCCAATGTGGATTATCATGTTATTCCCTGGTCTGATTTTCGCTGCGTCCATCGGTCAGTTGCTTCCTTCGAATATCTGTGACTGTGTTGGATGCTTACCATCGGACCGGTTAGCTATGGGCATAATGTTCCTGCTTCAAGTAACCTCGAATTCCCCATATTTCTCCTCGACTAACGTCAACTACACCGTTCCATATCTCAGCCTCTCACTCGCACTGAATATCATCATCACGATCGTTATTGTGCTTCGTCTGCTCGTATATCGTCATCGCATTTCCAAAGTTCTTGGCTCTAGCTATGGCACTCAATACACGTCAATTGCTGCGATGATCATTGAATCCGCCGCTCTCTATTCCGCGTTTTCGGTGGCATTTCTGACACTCTTCCTTCTAAACAATCCTATCTCGACGACATTTATTGAGTCGCTCACTCAGGTTCAGGTGAGCACTGGAAAATAGAGAGGAATTCGCACTGTTTATGACATGCCACAGATAATTGCAATGTTACTCATAGTTTTCCGGGTCGCGCAAGGAAAGAGTTGGTCTCAGGACACCATGTCCAGGGTCATAACCTCGAGGCCATCAGCGCAAGCAATCCGCATGGGTGATCTTGCGTACGGCTCCAAAACGGTCACCGGTTCCAGTAGTTTTGGGGCGCATCAGTCCTACAAGAGTAGCGACCATGAGTCCGCGGAAGCAGCCGTGTGAGCAAGGTCGCTTAGATACTTGCTATGATGGTATGGGCCTCAGGATTGGATTATCTGTGCTCTACGATTACTTTGAAAATAACACAATCAGCGAAACCTTGGGATTTACGTAGTCGTTCAATGGAAACACATTAATGTTGACTGCATAGAAGATGGCGTGTCAGTATATCAGTGTCCAACCAGTACTGGTAAGGACTGGCCTCATCGTGGGGTTGGTGCGCCCAAACTACTAATGTCCGCAGATACTCACCACCAGGTCCATATTACGCTAACGTTTGCCTTCTGTTGGCTTTATGGCACCTAAATCTTCCGAGCCACGCAGTGATCTGTCGCCGAAGCAATCCTCCCCGTACCTTGTTCTGGCATCAAGTGCACAGGTGACTGCTATACTACTACTGAACCGCATTCCGAGTCCGCCGCGGCATTATACAGTGACTCGATCGGGAAATCATGAGGTATCGTAGCGTACCGCCACAAGGCTACGTGTAGTTGAACAATAAGCGCAAAAAGTTACCCCGATTCCCTGCAAACAATGATGAGACGGTTTGTCTTTGCTTTTAAAGTGATACTGGCCACAGTTGTAGGCATTGGCGTTGTCAATCTTATTGCGCGAATACCTTGGTCAGTGTCCGACGGCAGGTCTTTCAAAGGAGTTGTTCTCAACCATGGTATTGCTACAAAGCTTTTTAGCGTGTCCTACAGGTTTGACTGACGATTCCACGTATCAGATCTATCCCTTCAAGTGGAATTTGGAGAGCCAGTATGGATGCGAGTAGACCAAACAGCACATTACCGCGCCGATACGGATGAGGGCGGAGAAGAGTTTGCGAAACTCATTCCGCGCGGAGGACACACTATTCAAATCAAAGATGCGGAGACGGGTGAAAGTCGCATTTACACAGTGACATTCTTTCACCAGCTCAAGTGCCTGGGAATCATCCGTGACAACTACGCGGCAATGCGCGCCCCATCATTGATCACTCGTCACTGCATGAATTATCTTCGCCAATCGATTTTGTGTTACCCTAACATGAAAATCGAGCCGGCTATAAACAATCTGGGGTCCGCCGTCAGGGGATACGAGACCGTCTGTCGTGACTGGACAAAAGTTTATGAGGAGGTGGACAAGCTACATGGAATGACTTCGGATGTTTAGGATGTTTAAACGGGTACCTGCACAGACTGCACTTCTTGTTACCCCCTGTAAGTATACAGCAGTGCGTGAGTTTGCTGCCAAAGTATACACAAATACTATGATTGTACTTACATACGCAAAACAAAATGTATCTACACAAGTTTAACCAGAGCCGAGGATAATTAAATCTGCCGTGTGCGTAAGAGATCGTCGGATGGTTGTAGTCCGAGTCGGGGAGAGCGGCTAGCTGCAACATCCATAATTACACAGAGAGTTGATCAACACCAAAACTCGGTGCTCTGGTCCTGTCAAGAGCAGTTAATAGCGTCCGTCTGACCACCCGGACATGACGACAAGTGACATATATAAATCACAGACACTTTGCAGTACCTGACTCCTTTTTCCCCCTTTTCTCAATCCTACTTAAGACGTCGAATATCCGTCAACGCACCTCAGTCTCTTTACCCGTGACTGAGGTGTGTATTGTTCGTTCTCTCTACATTATATCATTGTACTCACTACATGTAGGCTCGTGTCTAGGTTCGTAGTACAACGTTAATATTAGTCTCTTTACCCGTGACTGAGGCTCGTGTCTAGTTCTCACCTTTCACAGGTCCCACTACTACCAAGTAGCTAGGCGCGTGCGACCATCCAGATGAATCTTCGAGTCAAATTTGTTGAGGTTAAAATGTACGCTCTCGTGAAGACTCATCGCGACGGCTTCATGCCTGAGATCGACACTTGCCAATATTGACAGGAGGTCACGCTACTCGCGATGGTGTGCTAGGCTAGTGACCACAACGATTGGATCCATGCATAGTCACTGTGTAACAAGCATAACAAGTATCTTCAACACCCATCCAACCGTTAGTCCTCCGCCAGAAATCATGAAAACTGTTTGCATCCAGGTGACATTGCAAATTCTTGATTATTAGGCCTGGAGTTCGTAAGTCCAGAAATCCTGCTGATACAATTTAGAATATTGTCGGTACTTGGGTTGATTCATATCCAAAATGCTGTGCTCTGCTGTGTCGCTAGAGCAGATGTCGCCGGGACTGGTTGTGAACCACATGTACTTTCGTTTCTAGCCTACCCCGAGCTTCTTGATTCTTGAACCACTTTGATACGATCATAGTACGTGCTGGCATGGTTGCCCTCGGAGGAATAATCAACCACATAGCTACATGATAAGAACGTTCATACGATGTGCCAATATTCCCGGAAAATCACCATAACAGCTTGTAAGCCCTCGGAGGAATTAATAAGCGCATCGCCCACAATGAGAATGAATGTGCCATCGCCAAGCCATCGCAGCCTGTATAGCAAACCCCTGACACGTTACGTGATTTAATGGCAACACTGTGCTGCGGTAGTTTCCGTTACCCTGAGAGATGTAATTCAGCACCTTCTGATACACAGGAGTCGTAGGTGCCCTGTTACCATTCCGAAGTCACCTTCGGCTCCCAAACGTTGAGAAGAACAAGGTACGTACACATTGAATTACCTCACGTTCAGGTGAGGTCCGACAAGACCTCCAGCACCGCTCGGTGAGGAATTTTCTGCTTGTGTATGAGGTTAAGCCCCTTGCCAAAGCGCGTCTGCTACTGCCCACCACGCTCGACCTGCAGTCTCCCACCGCCTACCACACCTAACCTCCTACCTGCGCTCGGCGCTAGAGCGTGACCTCACGAGGCCCTTCCCGCCGCTTCCTGCTTATTTAGCCTTTTTCTACTTCGCAAAAAAGCATAAGACGGAAGGTGATTCGAGAAATACAAGTAAATCTGATCACTCTCTGACCAAGGAAGGCAACACACAAGATAAGGAGACATAAGAAAAAATATTTCGAAGCAGAAAAAATGGAGACGCGTCCCTATGTTTTTAAAGCTCTTCCAACTTCGACGAGTGATCCTGAAACGGACCACATGTCTAAGCCGTCGTTGCTGTTTGTGATTGTGAGGAATCCTCCATACCTGGGGGAGATGTAGTTGAGGCTGGAGAGATCGAGATAACTCGGTGACGGCGTGACCAGCGTTGTCGGCGGGATAATGTAGGATAAATTGACGGAGGGAAGGCGGGCTTTGGCGGAGAACGACGATAATGGCCACACGAGAGCGTGGGCGTCAAATGCGCATCTTCAGTCAGCGGAGAAGGAACGAGGGCAGCGAAGGCGACGGACGAGTGGTGTTTGGTGCGGCGGAGGGCACATGCACTGATGAAATTTAACTTCAAGACTTGGGAGTTAGATGAGCACATCGGATGGCGGGTCGTAAGGCCGCCATATTCTGAGGGTAATGAACAATCCGAGTTATAGCGAGGTTCAGGTGGCGCCTTTCGTGTAGACAAATCGTCGCTGCCATTGGTGAGCGCCAGAAAGTTGTCCTGGCCGTGGTCGAGAGGTTTTGCCGCCGCTGTTCCTACTACTCGCGCAAGTCAGGCAAATTTGCAGCTGATGAGGTTTTCGAGGTCTTGTCATTACGTTCTTACGTTACGCTGTTCTTGTCAACATTTGGGAGTCGAAGTACCTTGGAAGGGAAACAAGTGCATGGTCTTGGAATTTGGGGCCGAGTGAGTGCCTTCATCAGTTACTTAGCTACCATAGAGTTGAAGACTCGATCTTCACATTTGAGCACTTTGGCAGACTTGGAGGATCAGGTGTTGGTGCCTAAAAATGAGTTGCACTATATTAAGCTTCAGCTTCATGCTCTGCGATTTTGTGTCAGGACAGCAAATATTAATTATACATTACACAGAGCTACCATATGCATCTATGGGTCAAGTTCAAACCGGATATAAGTGAGGGACAGCTGTACCGAAATCGTGACTAAATCTATGCAAAGAAACCCCACAGCGCAAGCCCGCTCAGCGTTACAAGAACAGTAAGCACTCTCACCTCATCCCCTGCTGTGCTGCGCTCCAACATAAGACCTAAGCCACTATACTTGGAAGTGCCTGGACGCAGGTTCAGTAAGAATCGTTGGATTCTCATTTTCCTCTCCCTTGGCGGGGAGGGGGATGTGAAAGGGGAGAAGGCCAGTAACGGTACTGCTAGTGGGATGGGAATGCTCGGAAGTGTGAAGGGCAGACGTGGCGCAGGTCTTCGCTCGGTGCAGCTCAGAGAATGAGGGAGTCCATGTTCGTCGGTACGAATAACGTAGCTCCCACTCTCCTCATACAAACCAAAATTGACGGGGGTGAGAGATAGAGGAAGCGAGGCGGAAATGAACGTCAGTGCAAATGAGTGTAAGCGTGGGATCGCTTGTACGACATGGGATGCGCAAACGCGCAATGAGTCCTCTGTGGCTACCGGAACTAACGTCAACCGTAGGTGACGCAGCCGAGGGAGGCTGCTGACGGACTTGGCTAGGGTGTCCTGAGAGATATCAAAGACCTTAATATACAGGTGGCAAACAAAAAAAAACATACAACTTTGAAGGATGACCTTCTCGCGCACGTCATCTCCAACGTGGTCAGTCCAGGGCAAGTGCTTACAAGGTTTCTAATCAAGTTTCCACTTTCATATGAAGAATGGAAAATAAAGGCAATGCGAAGTTCAGTGAGGCAATGCAAGTTCTGCAATACCCCTGCAACTAAAAGAGGTGCGAGATCACGGATGATTAGCGGCTCCTCGATTGCTAAGTGTGTGATTTGTGGATGGGAGGGGGCCAGGGCTTGAAGATGCTCCAACGAACCAGCAAAATGGGTAAGGTGTGGTAATGCGGATGGATCGAGTGAAGGGAGTATATGAGGACTCAATGCAGTGCGGGATGTACGAAAAAATCGCAGACGCTGATGAGCCTCCAAAAAAGCTATGAAGGGGCGCTTGGATGACATGGGTCCTGGTCCTGAAGACCAATCTAACATAAGATCCCCTAGAGATAGGGAATGCAGGAGAGGCCAGCGTGCGTTGCAGAGTGGATGCACTGTTCCGTCTAGAATCAACGGTCCACCTAACACATGCAGCTCCTCGAGGTCCGGGGAACGCCGGATCAGCATATCCCAAAGGCGACCATCGAAAGGAAGAGCATCTGTAACGCGTCAAAACACTAGGAAATTAGATGTCAACAACAGCACAGACCTTGAAAGTCATCTGAATGATGGGTGTAGTATCCATGTTTCAGGGTCAGCGAGAACCCATGGAGGTTCTTGAATTCCAGCAACTGGAGAGAATGAATGAATGATACACATTTTTTTCATGCACATACATGACTTCGTTCGCTGGGTATCACAGATCCGTAACATGTGCCAAGTGTGCGCAGCCGTGGGCACCTGTGACAAACTAAGTTATTGGTGAGAAATGAGTCACCGATTAAACATACGACATTCGTAGGGCGAACCACATATCATCGCATTGCGGGATCTCATCCGCGTCCCAGATGAAAGTGTGAAGTGCGTCTAGTTTCGGCGCAAGTTCCCTCAGCAGCGCTGAGACCGTAATTCCATTGATATCGACCATATAGTCGGAGGAGGCGGAGGAAAATCGAATGTAAAGTTTCTGGATATGACGTGCAACGTTCGGGCAAGAACGGAGCATCGACAGAGTTCGCTGGCATTGTTCTGCAGTTCCAAGGTGTACATGGGCATACAATACAGGGCATGTGCTAGCGAAAAGGTGTTTGCTCTTCGTGCAATGAATTCAGGAAAGATCAAGTCAGAATTGAGTTCGAGATACTTACTGAGAGTGCCAGATTGAGGACATCTGTTCTAGAGGATAGGCATGATGTCACCTCCAATAGAAGATCGCCGGGTAGGGCAGCAAAGTTTCGATATTTCATTTACAACGAGTGTCGGGTATACGAGAGAGTACAATAGTCGTATCTCTCTACTGTTTAGAGATGTTGGTTGCAGTGCTGAGAGAAATTTGACTGAGCTCACAGCACCCGCAGTCCAAGTGCTGTGAGCGTGGTAACTTTGTTGTGTAACACCTTTAGGCCAACTTTAGCCTATCGTTATCGATTCGATAAACAGCCAGCTGGTGGGTCACTTGAGCTCAGAAGGTTCATACATAATCCATCACATATCATGACTCCGAAAATGGCCCGGAATAAGAGCATCTGACCACAAAGTA